GAAGTCGACGCCAGAACCGGGACTTAAACTGGGGTCCTCGGTCAGAGATGACGTCGTCGGGGAGGCCGTGGAGACGGATGATGTTGTGGAAGACTAGGTCGGCGGTGGATTCGGCGGATTCTGACTCGCTGCAGGCGATGAAGTGGGCCATCTTGGTGAGGCGACAGTTGACGCTCAGGATGGAGTCGTACCCGTCCACAGGAGGCAGACTGGTGATAAAGTCCAGGGACCAAGATCCCCAAGCGCGGGTAGGGATACTGCTGGGCTGGAGTAGGCCGTATGGTTTGTGTCGACTGGATTTCGCTTGGCTACAGGTATCGCAGGACTTGACGTAGGCCTTGACGAAGCGCCACTGGCTGGGCCACCAGTAGTTGCGGGAGGCGAGTTCGAGCGTCTTGGACATCCCAAAGTGGCCGGCTAGGGGAGTATCGTGCATGTCGTGGCAGACTTCGGCTCGGAGCTCGTTGGTGGGGACATAGACCAGGTTATCGTGCAGCAGGATCCCATCTTCATCCGAGAACCGCTTGATACGATCTTGGGTTTCCTCGGTTCGTTGGGCGAGGGGTATCTTGAGCTTTTCGCGAATGGTCTTAGCGAGGGGATCAGAGGCCTGGGCGGCCTTAATCTTGTCAAGCAGCGTGGTATCCATAGGTGTGAGGTAGGCAGCCGCGAGTCGAAGGCGTTCGGGAGTCAAAATTGTGGTTGCCTGGGAGCGGAACGCTTCTTCCCCCTCTTTTAGCTCATGTTCGGAGCGTCGGGAGAGGGCATCGGCTTGGTGCCGCTGGGAACCGGGGCGATAGGTAATGACAAAGTCAAAATCCGAGAAGAATATTGACCAGCGGGCTTGGCGGCGATTCAGGGTGCGGGTGGTCATGAAGTACTGAAGGTTTTTGTGGTCGGAGTAAACGGTGATCTTGTGACGGGCGCCAATGAGATGGTGGCGCCACTGGGCAAAGGAGTCTTGAATCGCCAGAAGTTCCTTGTCGTAGATCTCGTAGTTGATCTCTTCGGCCGTGAATTTGCGAGAGTGGAAGGCCACGGGGTGGAGCTGATTGTCCTGGTCAGGTTGGAGGAGAACTGCGCCAAGAGCGAAGTCGGAGGCGTCAGTTTCGACGACGAAGGGCTTCTCTGGGTCAGGGTGAGCAAGGATGGGGGCGGTGGTGAATGCTTTCTTCAGGCTCTCGACGGCGGTGTTTGCGGCGGGTGTCCAGGCGTACGGGATGTCTTTCTGGGTCAGGGCTGTGAGCGGGGTAGCGATCTTGGAATAACCTTGGATGAATCGGCGATAGAAGTTGGCAAAGCCGAGGAACCGCTGGACGCCTTTGACATTCTTGGGAGGTTCCCAATCCGTGATGGCAGCGATCTTCTTGGGGTCCATCTGGATGCCTTTCTTGGAGATGATGAAGCCTAGGAACTCAACGGATTCGCGGTTGAATTCGCACTTCTCTGGTTTGGCGTACAACCCATGCTGTCGGAGGCGGGACAAGACTTCGCGGACATGTTTGGGGTGGTCTTCGGGGTTCTTGGAGAATATCAGGATATCGTCGAGGTAGACGACAACAAACACATCGAGAATGTCGCGGAAGATGTCGTTCATCAGGTACTGGAAGACGCTAGGAGCATTGCTGAGTCCAAAGGGCATGACATGGTATTCGAATAGGCCGTAGCGGCAGCGGAAGGCGGTCTTCCATTCATCGCCCGGGCGCATGCGTAAGAGGTTATAAGCGCCGCGGAGGTCGATCTTGGTGAGACGGCGGGCGCCGCGCAAACAATCCCTGATACCGTTGATCAGGCGCCAGTGGGGCTTGCGTGGCTTCAGTGAGGCTTGGCGCCTTTTGTAATGTATCACCGAGAGCTTGGGTGGCCAGCCCGGGTCTCGGATCAAGTAGAAGTAAAGAGATATAATATGAAATACAAGTGAAGATGAGATATCCCCGACAATCTGAGCCACATGGCTTCTTTACAGGCGTCTGTGAGTGCCATGTATTCGCCTTTGGTTGAGGAGAGTGCTGTAGTGCGTTGTTTGCGTGATTTCCAGCTTACTGGACCGCCAAAGGTGAGGAGGTATCCTGTGGTCGATTTGCAAGTGTCTGGGCAGCCTCCCCAGTCTGAGTCCGACCATCCCACAAGTTTGGGGGTTCCTTGGACGGCTCCCAGTCGAAGTTGGTAGTGTTTGGTCATCTTGAGATACGCCAAAATGCGTTTGGCATCTTTCCAATGTCCTTTGCCTGGATTGGCTAAGAACTGGCTCACAGCTCCAACTGCTTGGGCTATGTCTGGTCTTCTGCCGATCATTGCGTAGATCAGACTGCCTACGATGGCTCAATAGGGCTTGTTCTGCATCTCTGCAGTCTCTTCAGGCGTTTGAGGTGCCATTTCCTTGGTGAGAGGGCTTCCCACGACGCTGGGAGTTGATACAGGCTTGCAATCGGTCATCCCATATGTTTCAAGCCATTTTTTGATGTACCCAGCTGGTTGAGCGTCAGGAGTCGTTTGGCTTGGCCTTGGGTGACTAGGAGGCCCAGGAAGTAGTGTAGGACACCAAGGTCACGCATCTCGTACTCTTTCTGAAGTTCCTTGGCCTTCAAGTTGTCAAGATCGAGTCTCTTGTTGCTCATAAGTATGAGATCGTCCACATAGAGGATCAGGATGAGTAGCCAGCCCTCAAAGAATCTGATATAGATGCAATGGTCTGAATCAAGACGTGTGAAGCCTTTCTCAACTAGAGTGCCGTGGATTTCGATGTTCCTTTCCCTGGGGGCTTGTTTAAGACCATAGAGTGTCGTCTTGAGTTTAAGCACCAGATGCTCTTCTCCTGCCTTGATGTAGCCCAGTAGCTGCTTAATATAGATCTCCTCACTGAATGTCGGGTTCAGGAATGCGGTGGATACGTCCATTTGGTCCATTTCGAGGTCCTAAGCTGCCCCCCACGACAGGAGTAGCCGAATGGTGTCGAACTTGGCCACTGGTGCAAATGCTTCATTGTAGTCAACTCCCTCTTCTTGTGAGAAGCCTTGGGCAACTAGTCTGGCCTTGTAGCGTTTGATACTGCCATCAGCATTCGTGTTGATCTTGTAAATCCTCTTGCAGCCGACAAGGTTGCGATCTTTGGGTGCTGGACAGAGCTCCCAGGTGCCGTTCTTGACAAGGGATGCGTATTCAGCATCCATGGCTTCCTTCCACTTGGCTGAGTCATTCGAGTTTAAAGCTTGCTTGAGAGTTTTGGGCTCTGTGTACAGTACTTCGGTAGCCAGGGCATAGGCAAGGTTGCTTTGGCGTACTCGAGTGCTCTGGGAGCGTGTGATGCGTCCGTAATGCACCAAATCGTCATCTTCCTGGTCTTCCTGGTCGTCTAGGTCCTCTGGGGCCTCTGCCCATTGATCAGTGTCAGGTTGTGGGTTGGGAGATGCGTCAGGGAGCTCAGGATCCCCCCCTGCAGCGTGCGGGTGTAATTTGGTGGTGTCTGTGGGCTTGGGTGCGTATGAAACGATGTTGTCAGGCTCAGGATCGAATTCAAGGCTAGCTAAGCTGTCATAGGAGCGATCTGACGTGTCTTCATGCGTATCTTCGTTGTCCAAGCTGTTGTAGAACTTGTTTTCATTGAACTGGACGTCTCTTGATTCGATAATGGCGCCCTGATCATTGGGTTCGAGTGACTGGAGCCTCCAGGCTTTGCTGGAAGAGCTATAGCCGAGAAAGAGGCACTTCTTGGCTTTGTTCTCCAGTTTTCCTCGGTTTTTCTTGAGTACCATAGCATAGGCTATGCATCCAAACACTCTGAGACGAAGGAGGATGGGTTTGCGACCGAAGAAGGCTTCGTATGGTGTCTTGGAGTTGTCTAGGGCAACTGTAGGGCAGCGATTTCTAATGTGGACAGCTGCAAGCAGCGCTTCTCCCCAGTACTCGTGTCCAAGACCAGCCTGGGTGAGTAGGCAGCGTGCCATTTCGACTAGAGTTCGATTCATACGTTCCGCTACTCCGTTCTGCTGTGGGGTGTCGGTAGCAGCGCGCTGATGTTGGATTCCAGCCTTTCTGAGTGCAAGAGTGAATTGGATGGATTCGTATTTGCCTCCTTTGTCCGATCTGAGGACTTTGATGGATTTCCCAGTCTGTTTCTGCATAGTGCCTTGTATTCCTCCCATGCATCAAAGGTATCGCTTTTCTTGCGTAGGAGCTTGACCCAGACGATTCTGGACTTGTCATCAATCCATGATGCGAAGTAAGTACATCCCCCAAAGGTAGACGTCCGCATGGGACCACAGAGGTCCCCCACCACAGTACAGTACTGACTGGGCCATCACCACCTTAACTTCGGAGATCAGACGGGATCCGGTGCTTTCTGGTGTGTATGGCCGTAGTTCCACTCCCCACATTGCTATCTGTGCTGCTTTTCCAGTGAGGAGGGAAAGAACGAACTTGAAGGCCTTAGATACTACGGCCGTGCCAGCAACGCAAATAGGTCACGTGGCTCCACGTGCACCCCACTTCCTGGGCATTGCCCATTACGATTATCAGTGTTATCTATGGCTTAATCATCTCATGGAGCCATGTGGCCGGGTTGGTCGATGTGGGGGTGCATGTACCGTATTTCTAACAGAGTCACGGCACTTAATGGTCACAATTAGAATCACAGGCTGTGACTGGGACCATGCCATTAAACGCGCTTTGGTCAGATACACACTCTGTATATTCCCAGGTACTTTCTGCAACATGACCGACGCGTGGTTCTCCAAGTAGACAGGACAACCCACATTACAGTGTCAAACTTGGCTACTGGAGCAAATGTTTCGTTGTAATCCACTCCCTCTTCTTGTGAGAAGCCTTGGGCGACGGGTCTGGCCTTGTAACATTTGATACTGCCCTGAGCATTCATCTTGATCTTGTAGACCCAAACCCCTTTATGACCTCTGTCACCTCACATGCCTGAGAAGGCTCTTACGGCTGTGTCAATCGCGAAGCTTACGCCTCGCAGAAACCATCCAACCACTCAGAGACTGACGGTGAAAACAAGACTCGTAAGATGCGAATTGAGGCCAATGTTTAGCGGCTTTCGGGAAAGTGAAAGGGTATTGCACGGCATTATATACATGTGTTATGATGACAACGGGTGCGTGTCAGTTGTATGCAACAAGCAGCTCAAGTGGTATATGCGCAGGTTCTATAAGCGAACTGTCCTCGTCTAAAACGCTCCTAAGTCGATATCTACAAGGCCCGAGCAAAGAAGGAGGCCAAACGGTTATACACGTCCTGGAAGTTCTCAGCACCGACCTCGTTCGAGAGGTCTGCTCGGGATCCTGCAAACCCGTGATGCATGCCAACAAAGTGCTTGAAGTCGTTCAGTTTGTTGTCAAACTTCTTTCTGCTCATAATCTCCTCCAATTGCTTCTGAGCGTCCACGGACTCGTCATCGGAGATGTATGAGGCAAGGGGAATGGTTAGACCTTCGGCGTCTTCGGGTTCCATACGCGCAGGGTGGACCTGGGCGATGGCGCTGAAGGCCGTTGGGTTTTGCGATGCGGTCAGGATGACGAGCTTACCGCCCCAGCAGAGACCATAGGCGCCAATGTTGGCGATGCTCTCAGTGTTGCGGAGGTGCTCCACCACGGCGAGGAGGTCTGGCTGGCGGGTCGCAAAGTTGGCACTGCTCCCCATGAAAGCCATTAATGCGCTCTTCCTGCAATTTCAGAGAACGAGTAGCAGGAAGACCATTTGCGTCAGATGTCAATGTGTGTACGGACTGGTCCATCACTATTTGAACATCTACTCACGTCTCAGCGGTCATCGTGGCCAAAGATTTCATTGGAGAGTCAAATGCCGGGAACGTATCGTCCGGGAAGGGCTGACCACGGAAGAAGTCTGGGATGACGACCTTGTAACCCTGAGTGCCGAGCAGATCCGCACCCTGCTTGACTTGTGAGAAGTTCATGCCGAAGATGTCATACACGGCAATGAGGGCCTTGTCGGCAGTCTGGGGACCGGTGACGTAGCATTCGAGCCCTGCGATGGTTGTGGTGGTGCCGACGGGCTTGTAGGCCGATTTTACCGGGGGGAGGGAGCAGCAGGCTGATTGTTGAGGAAAGGACCGTGATGATAAGTAGAGGACCGGAATACATTATATTAGAAACCTCCCTCACCTTTGTTGATTTCGGTCATATTCGGGTTGATATGGTTGTGCAGCGGTGGACGGGACTTGTAAGAGGAGGAAGGCAAAGCGTGTTGGGGTGGCAGGCGATGGCGACACCCCTAGCGCCCTTTTATGCTGTCGAGGCCCTGTTACGCTGCTTGTCCACATCCTGGCGGAGACGGTCGTCGCACCTTGCATGCCGGAAAGATGGGTGGGACGTCACTAGATTCGGATTATCGAAAGATCGATTGTGCCTACGCGTACCGCTTGTTACACGACTAACCGCGTCGCTCTGCTGTGGCGCCCAAAAGTTCTGATTCCGGAATTTCCTTATCGCTCTTTACCGCGGCACACGATGGTTGGTGTTACTATGGTTGCGGCATGGGATACAGTATATCCTGTATCGTATGTAGAGCTTCAGATATGGATTAACCATATAATTGAATTGTCGATGTCGTGGTGGACGCGGGAAAGTCCAGGAACCTCTCAGAACTGTTGGATGTTTCGGTCAGAAACCCCAAAAGCGACACCCCGTTCACACAGTTTACGCGACGATGTCAACCGCAGGTAATGGTAGAAAGACATGATGTATATGGAGTAGAAATACAGCCGGAACTCGTCCTCTACGACCGAAACATACGACCTAAATACATACAGATGGGCATAATGATATCAGCATGCGGTGGAGTTTCCCGCGCTGCCAGCAATCTAGCGGGGACTTGGTATGCATGACTACTACGGCTATGGGAGAGGGGGGCACACTTCCAGTGCGGGGAAAGGAAATCAAGGGATGCGTTTACGCTCTAGCCTGAAGCGGAAGCGGCAGCGGGGGATGAGAGCCGACGAGTCGCACGCTGCTTCTTTAGATGGCGGCAGCAGTATTCGTAGCAGTGGACTCGGCACGAACGCCCTTTGTCAGGAACATCTTAGTCAACCCTGGGCCAGCAAATTGTGTAATCTGCTTGCAGTACGTGTCGATTTGGTTGGTGATAATAATGGATTCGAGCTTGGAAGGCTCGTTGGCCATGAGCTTGACTAAAGACGGGCTGCTGTTCAGGGAAAGGTCGTCGTCGGTCCAGACAGCGGGTAAACCCTGCGCCGAACGTGTCTGGTTCTCCATTCTCCGCTTCGCGATGGTCTGCTGCACCTTCTGCTGTTCTTTTTGCAGGTTGCGCTGCCATCCCTGCCACCTCCACTGCTCCTGACCGTGTTCGTCTACGGCCTCGCTCAGGTATTCGAGGTGCTTCTCCAGGTACGCTTCGGAACTCAAGTCTAGTTTGTCGAGGTTTGGCCAGAACGGGGACACATCAGCCGTTGAGGGAGGTGCGGCGAGGGTGGACAAGGGAAGGCTGAGGCTGGATTCGAGAGAAGACGGGAAGGAGACCTGGACGTCCAATTCGTGGAGGAGGGCGTTGAGGAGATGGGAGTTGTGAATCTTAATGGGGAGGGTCTCGAAGATTGTCGTAGGAGTGAGCTTGTGTTTGTGCAGAGACTCCATGGTGAATTTGCGGTTCTGGTACAGATCCATGAAGCCATTGCTCAGACGAAGGGCACGCAGAGAAAGGTTACCCTGAAATTTGAAGCGATTTGGTCAGATATTTGCGAACGAAACATGACCACTTGAGGACATCCGATATTTGACCAAGTAATCTCGCCGCCGTGGCAACATGGCAGGAAGAATGCCAGTCCGAGATGTGAAAGAAATGAACGCTTACCTGTGTGGTACGGGTAGAGTCGTAAACAATCACGACGCTCTGGGGCATCGTCTTCTGATAGTTGTACTGGGTCTCGATCAAGGATTGGTTCCAGAACGAGCCCAGCTGCGTGGACTGGTACCACCCAACGGTGTTAGCGTCGTAGTTCAACTTCTTCAGGCAGCGAAGCATCTGCAGCTGGTATTCCGCTCCGTCCATGTCGTCCTGACCGTCATCATCATGGGACTTTGATGTGAAGGGGAAGCAGTTGGTGACCTCAAGACGTCCGGATATGTCGATTCCGAGGAGTTGGCCGGTGGCGGTTGAGGAGGGAGCGTATTCACGGCAGTGTTTAAGGATCTTCACGACGACAAGAGCGTCGAGCTGGACCTCGAACAGCGGCTTCGACTCGAGCAACGCCGGATCAAGTCCTTCGAGGTTGACAGCCGGAGCTTCCGCACGCACGGCAGCTGCGAGATTCGCTTTTGGTGGGGCCATTGCTGCTGTGTTGTTGGAGGGGACTCTGCCTTTATCACAGAGGGGTTGAGTCGGATTGCACAGCTTGTGTCGACGGTGCGAAAACGCTCTCTTGTGAGCGACCTGATACCCCCCTGCGCCACGACAGCGCCACGAGTTTGCTGCAACCACACGTGGCACCTGTATAAACACAACGCTTTTCGTATGTCTCCAACCAGCTTCCGTAGTGTAGTCGTCATCACGCTTCGTTTACACCGAAGAGGTCCTCGGTTCAATCCCGAGCGGAAGCAAATTCTCTGGATTTACCTTTTTGTTTTTGCCAGAGCCTCCTTTTTAGGTTCTTTTTGGATGTGAGAGAGCTACGTACTCGCGAGCCGCCGTTCGATGATTTTGTGTGGTGTCTGGAATTTCTACGGAAAAATCCGTAAGATGACGGGTGACTTGCTCCGATCTTTCCACAAATTTCTTAGAGAATGTAGCCATCTATGCGTCAAATCTATCCTACAATCTTGCTGTCCGAAGACACTACATATTCCTTTGAGAGCTCATAAATGATATCAACCCCTTCCCGAATTTACATCCTCACAAACTTCCCCAGGGATCTCAAAAACATCAATATCACCCACACCCACCCCAGATCCCGCATCAGCCGTCGGCGCCCCACCTACAAACGCGTGCACTGTGGCAACGATGCAGTTGACTTTACGGTGCACGCGGTAGCGGGTGTCGAGGCGCAAGGATGATGGTGGAGTGTTCTTCGTGTCTATTGTTGGAGAGGCAGATGAGATGTCCACGGACCGCCAGATGGCGACCACGCCGTCGATTCCGCCGGTGAGGAGGGTGCTGTTATTGTAGATATGCGAGTTGGGTACGAACGTCCTGATATGGTGGTTATCCCGTCAGCCGCGTATTGAAACAAGGCCTTCGCAAAAGTGTCCTGGACGAAGACGTTCGGACGAACTTACATCGCAGCGACGGACCACGTATGGCCACCCTCCAATCTACTCCTATACATCCACGGCGCTCCAGATGCCTTCCCTTTCCCCTTCGCCGTCGTCGTTGATAAGGGCGGCTCGATCAGAGCGAGGGCGCCGTCGCCTAGCCCGGCGGCGAGTATGTTGCCGTTCGGAGAGAAATCCATGCATTGTACGAATGGCGGGTTGATTGTTTGCGGGGCTGTTGGTTCGGGGGTTGGTGATGGGGATGGCGAGGTTGAGGTTTCGGGTGGCGATGCTATGTTGGGTAGGGGTCTAGATTAGACCATGCCAAGGGGAGGCCCGTGCTCATCTAACTTCCGACGAGTCACCCCGCTGCCCCATGCTACTGATGTTCCGCGTCACCCACCCATATCAAACTCCGCAACTGGTGCTCCTTTTGAGTAGTCCCACGCAATGACTGTGTTATCCATCCCGCCGCTCCACAATGTCCATGACGTCTGCGGCTGGAACCGGACACACATCGCCAGCTAGAGCCAGGGACATAGCATGTCAGATTTCGTCTCAAAACCAGAGGCATTCTCTTCTTGAGTAGAAACGTGACGAGCTTGCGATGTTTTGTGTTCAAACTCACGCTGTCATGTCCTCTCCGAAACCGCTTGAAAGGCCGCCGAGTGCGCATATCAAGAACACGGACCTGCCCGCTATCATCCGCAACCGCTAGAAAAGTGCCTTTCTCATGCAAGCATATCTAGAGATTGCGGTTGTTCCGCGGGCCAATGAGAGACCGTAAGCTGCCTTCCGCCGGCGATGCCGCTTCTGACTCGTACCTGATTGATATCGTCGTCCGCCGCCGGCCCGACCGGCGTTGATGCCGTGATCACAACCCCAGGAGACCGGAGATCCACCGCATGGACCTATCGAACGGCGGTTGTTTCACACGGTTAGCAGGCTGCCGACAAAGCTCTCCCCTGTCGCTGCGTCGCCTTCCAGAGATACGACGCCATTTCTCACTCGCTCCGCTCCCAACCACCGCGGCGTTCTCACCTTCGCACCGGCAGCCACATACACCTCGTTCGGGTCCAGACCCCAGCACACGCTGTTGACCTCCTCGCCCGCCCCCCCGACACGTATACCCCTCCGGCACCGACCCCTCGCCACGTCCCTGTTGGAGCACAAACCGAAAAAAGAAGAAAACACTGTTAGTCATACAGTCATCCACACTTCGTGAAATACAGCGCAACGAAACCCAAACACAGTGTACTGAAAAGGCACCTACCATATCCGCGCGGTGCCATCCTCTGCGCCTGACGCGAGGGTAGTTGGGTCGGCAGGCAGTGTGGCGAGGCATAGCACTGGAGCCGAGTGGCCGCGCAGGCTGGTGATGGGCTTAGGGGAACTTGTTGAGGAGGTCATTCGGGAGTGTCGGTCTAGGTTCTGGTCTAAGTTATTGCTGGAGGTCAAGTGCACACGAAAAAGTGCACACGAAAGTGCACGCGTTGAACCTTTGGGTTGGGTTACATGCTTGACGACCCAACGAGCACCTCGCGACGAGCACAGCGTTTGACTCTGGATCACGGAGAGTTTGGACATGCCGAATATGATGAGCATTAGGCGGTAGGTGTTCAAAAAGACACATGAATCAGGGTCAGACGCCGCTAGTAGTCTTTTAGCTCAGAAGAATATCTAATACCTATTCTAGAGTATCTACGAGAGCGCAAGGGGACCTTACAGGAGCAACCCCACCCGGATCTATTCTACAACCTTCAAATGATACTCCTTTAATGCCTGTCCCGAAACCCCCGCAGGGCTCCCAACAAACAAATCCCCTCCACTCAACTTTGGAAACGCAATAACATCTCTGATGGAACTTGCCCCACACAAGATCGCAACCATGCGATCAAACCCAATCGCCATCCCCGCGTGCGGTGGGCAGCCAAAGCGGAGAGCGTCGAGGAGGTGGTTGAAATCGGCTGCGACGCGCTCAGGGGTCATGTGAAGGATCTCAGAAAAGATACGACGCTGGAGGTGCGGGTCGTGGACCCGCACGGACCCGCCGCCGATTTCTTGGCCGTTAACTACTAGGTCATAGTGCTGACCTAGGGCGTCGCCGGGGGAGGTGAAGAGCGAGTCGTGCTGTGTTGTGGGTGACGGCGAGGTGGTGGATGGCGGTGACGGCAGTAACGGCGCGGTGAAAGGGTGATGTGTAGCTTCGTACGTGGCTTCGGTGCCGGCGGGGATACGTGCAGGATGCGTAGTAGGGGTAAAGAGCGGGAAGGAATGCACCCACAGGAAGTTGTACTCGTTGTCGGGTGAGAGGGCGCCGGTGCTCAGCAAGTGCTTGATGATATGGAGTCTCATGCGGCCTGCGATGGTATGCGGCCCGAGGTATCCGTTTAATCTGCGGTTAACAACCACCAGATCGCCTTCTTCCACACGTCCCATTTCTGCTTCTATTTGCTGCTTTCCCGCCGGCGAAACTTCCAGGCCAAAGCCTAGTTTGCCAGTCCAACCAGCCTCGCCAGAAACGCGAATAGGATACAGGTCTTTGGGATCCACTTTCCCTCCCAACAACGGGAAGGCCTCGGTCAAAATGACCTCCTTGATCTTCTCAAATGCCTTATTGCTGATTTTATTTGCGCCGCCTTTCACGCAAAACGCCTCCACCACAGTCCCGTCATCCGACACGTGGCCAACCGCCTCGGAGACGTTACAGATCTTCATGCCGTATCGTACATCCGGCTTGTCTGACCCGTATGAACGCATCGCTTGCTCGTACGTTATCCTCGGAAACGGCCCATCAGTCTTCCACCCGATCACCGCGTTGAAGATCTGCTTGACCAAGCCTTCCATGACCTCCATCACGTCCTCCATCTCCGCAAAGCTAAGCTCAACATCGATCTGCGTGAACTCAGGTTGTCGGTCTGCACCGAGGCTTTCGTCTCTGAAACACTTTGCAATCTGGTAGTAGCGGTCCAGCCCGGCAGACATCAGAACCTGCTTGTACTGCTGTGGCGATTGCGGCAAGGCGTAGAATTGCCCTGGGTGTCGCGTGGGGACCAGGAACTCGCGTGCCCCTTCTGGCGTGGATTTGAAAAGAAGGGGTGTTTCAACCTCTACGAAGCGCTGGACTTGAAGGTAGTTGCGGGCCGTATGTGCAGCGAGCGCCCGTTTGCGGAGATTGTCCTGCAGTTGTGACCGCCTGAGATCCACGTAGCGGTATTTGAGTCGCACTTCCTCAGACGGCAGCTTGGCTCGCGCCGCCGTCGAGAATGGTAATGGGTCTGCAGCGTTCAGGACTTCAAAACCTTCGAGAACAATTTCCACCTCGCCTCCGCACTGGTCCTTCTTCACGGCCTCCGTGGGCCGTTTTCTTACGATGCCGGACACGCGCACGACAGACTCTGGAGTGATGGACAGAAGCGCGTCCCTGATACTCTCTCGCGCTTCAGCGGAGTGGGACGAAGAACTGTGCGGGTCTTCGTAGACTAGCTGGGAGATGCCCGTCGCGTCTCGAAGCGGTACGAAGACCAGATCTTTCCCTGCCTTTCGCGCGGATAATGCCCATCCACACAGAACCACCCGCTGCCCAACGTGGGAGACATCAACGTGTCCGCACATATGCGTTCGCTTCCTCGACTGCTGTGGCGGTTGTTGCGCTGAAGGTGCATAAGTGCTGAGGTGCCGGTGTGACCCCCCAGAGCATCGTGTCCCGCTTGGTAACGATTTTATGCGAGTTTGGGCAGACCGTCGAGCGCCTGTCGCGGAGAGCGAGCTGAAGAAGGTGCGGGGTTGGCAGGCGGCGAAGATGCTCTCTGACTCCAATAGAGCCCGCAGGAGCCGCCTATCCCAGTTGTGACGAGGTATACGAGGGATCATTGCTGTGTTCTCTGCCCTTCTGGCGATTGTGGTGAGCGTTGGCAAAGAGTTTGGCGGCCCTCTGTGAGCGATTTCCGACTTTACGTAAGCATGACTCATAACACACTTATGACCACAGTAACGGAGGACAAATGCCGCGTGCTTCGTCTGAGCGGTTGGTCGCCTGAACTGTGGACAAGACGAACTGCTCGCATAGATATATACTGTACTGTACATTGGGAAGACTTGGAACCTTCTCCTCCCAAGCGAAAAAGTGTTCTTGGCATAGCCAGTGTCATATCTTACATACGCCGACTCCTGAAACCATCGTATTGCATCAATGCCACTTCTCACTCAAGCGCTCATCGGCCTCGTTGCCGTCGAGCACGCGTGCTTCATGTACGCAGAGATGTTCACGTTCGGCACACCAAGCGCAAACAGGGCTTTCGGTATCCCCAAAGCGGACGCAGCTATCGCCGCCCATCGCCTCACTCGAACCCTCGCTAAAAACCAGGGCTGCTATAACGGATTTCTCGTCGCTGGCCTCGTGTGGTCGCTCACGCATACCGACATCAAGTTTGCTACCGAGTTGGCGTACTTTTTCCTCAGCTGCGTCGGCGTCGCGGCGCTGTATGGAGGCGCTACCGCTGCAAGAAAGATTTGGCTGGTACAGGGGGCGCCAGCGCTGGCCGCTTTGGCTTCTCTTTGGGCGTACGGCTTGTACTAGAACGGAATGGAGGGCAGCGGCGGAGGGTCGAGAAGTAGAATAGCTCTTTGATGAGCCATTTGTACATATAAACACCCTCGTGAAACGTAGTGGGACATGCAATTCGAGGACGTCAAGCAGAAGAACATCGATGCCTCCTATGAGTATCACCCTGTATGGATATGGTACTATAATTTTTCAGCAATCGAGCAGCGTTCTGATGCATGGTGAAGCTAGGGTCTCCAGATCCAGCGTCTATAGCCAAGTTGGGCGAACTTGAGAATGATGAGTCACAGGCGCAAAGCGTGTTCTCCAGTGCGGGGCGCCGGCGAGCGAGACAAACGATGAGGCGCAACTCATTTCTCCATTGAAACGGCCACGCACCGCAACTTTACAGTTGTCCGCCATCAGCACCGTCGGGTCCTTCGCGAACCATAAGAGCTGCGACACACCGAACACTACCTGTCCTCTCTTCCAGATCGGTCGCATCATCGTCGCACCAAAGCATAGGGCTGCACCTCCCGCACCCAGTCACTTCTGACTCCAGTTGAGTACTGTGAATCGCTGGGACTTACAAACGCGTCAAAGGAGGGACGCCGCAACCCTCACAAAGAGCGCATCTAAATCGGTACTTTTTCCCACAGCAGTTGCATCAACACCGGTTGGCCAACAACACCAGATACAGTCATGTCCGGGGGTCAGAACCTGCCCATCAAGTTCCAGGAGCATGTTCAGGTAGGAAAGCCTCCTTTAAGGATTGCGTCGATAACTCTTCAGCTTCTCAACTGTCTCCGGTTTTATTGTGTAGCTCCAGAATTTGGGCATCAATGCAGCCAACATCGGGTTTAACACCCTGACGATGGAGTCAGATAAATTCATCTGCATCCGGGAGAAGGTTGGCGAGCAGAACCAGGTTGTCATCATCGACATGAACGATCCATCGCAGGTCATACGGAGACCCATCACCGCGGACTCTGCCATCATGAACCCGGCCACGAAGGTCATTGCACTGAAAGGTCCGTAGGGTCTTTTCCGTCATTGTACTCTGCAGCGTTCTCAAAGCGTTCGTTGGGCGTTCTGCAGCCGGACGACAATTGCAAATCTTCAACATTGAGATGAAGGCGAAAGTGAAGTCTCACATGATGGCTGAAGACGTTGTGTTCTGGAAGTGGATATCATTGTCGACGCTCGGCGTTGTGACCGAGACCGCAGTCTTCCACTGGTCCACCGAAGGCGACGCTCAGCCCCAGAAGATGTTCGATCGCAACGCCAACCTTGTCGGGTCGCAAATCATCAACTACCGTGTGTCGGCCGACGAGAAGTGGCTTCTGCTGATCGGCATCTCGGCCCAGGTAAAGCGGAAAACTGAATACTCGCAGTCGGACTTTTTTTTCTCACTCAGATCTATGGTAATAGCAAGGACGAGTTGTTGGAAACATGCAGCTTTATTCGAAGGAGAGGGGCGTGTCTCAGCCCCTGGAAGGTCATGCTGGTGCTTTTGCAGAATTGAAAGTCGACCCAGCACAACCACCTGTGAAGCTTTTCACTTTTGCCGTGCGCACTGCGACTGGAGCGAAGGTGAGGCATGAAGCATGCGGATCCGGCAACTTAGGTTACTAACCGATTCTCAAATCCGCCAGCTGCACGTTGTTGAGGTCGATCACAAAGAGGGCACGCCAGTTTTCCAAAAGCGTGCTGTCGATGTTTTCTTCCCTGCCGACGCGGTGACAGATTTCCCCGTCGCTATGCAGGTCAGCAAGAAGTACGACATCATCTTCCTTGTGACGAAATACGGTTTCATCCATCTGTACGATCTGGAAACCGGAACATGTATCTACATGAATCGCATTAGCGGTGACACCATCTTTGTGACCGCTGAGCTCGAGTCGACTGGTGGAATCATTGGTGTCAACCGGAAAGGACAGGTACTGACAATTGAAGGCATGATCATGAATTCCCCCTCACGTTCCATTTTTTGCAGGTCCTCTCCGTCAGCGTTGATGAGAACAACACGATTCCGTATATTTTGAGCACTTTGAACAACCCAGAGTTGGCGTTGCGGCTGGCTACCCGCAACAACCTACCTGGAGCTGACAACATTGTGGCGGAAAGGTTTAACCACCACATGCAGACGGGAAACTATGCGGAGGCGACCAAAATCGCCGCCACCTCTCCTCGCGGTATGCTGAGGACGCCCGCAACCATCGAGCGATTCAAGCAGGTTCAAGTTGCGCCTGGTCAGATCACTCCTATTCTCCAGTACTTTGGAATTCTTCTGGAGAGCGGCGTTCTGAACAAGTACGAGTCTATCGAACTTGCCCGGCCTGTGTTGCAGCAAGGCCGCAAACAGCTCTTGGAGAAGTGGTTGAAGGAGGACAAGGTAGAGCGGGGCAGTGGTTGGGTCACGATCTTTTCGGTAGCTGAATGATATTCGTTTCCATAGCTCGAGTGCAGCGAAGAGCTCGGAGATATCGTGAAACAATTCGACTCGACACTTGCGCTTTCTGTCTACCTTCGGGCCAATGCCCCTAGCAAGGTATGGACAGAGTCACGAAACCTATGGCTTTGCAGAACATTTCCTCATCCATGGACGAATTTTCCAGGTTGTTGCATGCTTCGCCGAGACGCAGCAATATGACAAAATCGTTCTTTACGCAAAGAAGGTCGGGTACCAGCCCGACTATGCCTATTTGCTGCAGTACATCATGCGAATCGACCCCGACAAGGGAGGACAGTTCGCCAGTCTCCTCGTCAACGACGAGAACGGACCCCTGGTCCCGCTCGAGTCGATCGTGGATGTGTTCTCTTCATTGAACATGGTTCAGCAAGCCACTTCGTTCTTGTTGGACGCTTTGAAGGAGAACAAGCCCGAGCACGCTGCTTTGCAAACAAAGCTTTTGGAGATGAACCTTCTGCATGCCCCTCAGGTCGCTGATGCGATTTTGGGCAATGAGATGTTCACTCACTATGACCGTGCCTATATTGCATCGCTTTGCGAGAAGGCTGGGTTGTTCCAGAGGGTAGGCTCTTGTTGCAACTCTTATACCTGGGCAACTTTCGCGTAACCTAACCACTTCATATTTTTTTGATGTTAGGCGCTTGAGCACTACACGGACATTTATGACATTAAGCGCACCATTGTTCACACTCACCTGTTGAACCCCGAGTGGGTTGTGAACTTCTTCGGTCGCCTGTCGGTGGAGCAGTCTATTGAGTCTCTGAAGGAGATGCTCAACAACAACATTCGCCAAAACTTGCAAATCGTCGTCAAGATTGCAACGAAGTACTCGGAACAGCTTGGTCCGAAAAACCTGATTGACATGTTCGAGTCTTACAAGAGCTTCGAAGGTGGGTTTCGTGATGACGATGCTTGCGATTCATCCCGTGTCTAACATATTCTCCGTAGGTCTGTACTACTACTTGGGATCTGTGGTGAACTTCAGCCAAGACGGTGAAGTCCACTTCAAGTACATCCAGGCCGCCTGCAGGACCGGTCAGCTCAAGGAAGTCGAGCGCATCTGTCGCGAGAGCAACTGCTACGACCCCGAGCGGGTTAAGAACTTCCTCAAGGAAGCCAAGCTGCCTGACCAGCTTCCCTTGATCATCGTGTGCGACCGTTTCGACTTTGTCAACGACCTCGTCATGTTCTTGTACCAAAACAACTTGTACAAGTTCATTGAGATCTACGTCCAGAAGGTCAACCCTAGCCGCGCACCCGAGGTCATCGGTGGGCTCCTTGACGTTGACTGCGATGAGAACGTCATCAAGACCTTGTTGATGTCTGTTCGTGGCGCTGTTCCCATGGATCGCTTGGTGGAGGAGACGGAGAAAAGGAACCGATTGAAGCTTCTCTTGCCGTTCCTTGAGAGCAAGGTCAAGGAGGGCAACACCGATGTGCACATCTACAATGCCATCGCGAAGATCTACATCGACACCAATGCCAATGCCGAGCATTTCCTCAAGGAGAACACCGTGAGTTGCCAAGCATCCTGTCGTTTCATGCGCGGGTTCATTCTTGCTTACATTCCTCTGTTACTTCTAGTTCTACGACTCTCGCGTGGTCGGAAAGTACTGCGAGAAGCGTGATCCCTACCTGGCGTACATTGCCTACGAACGCGGGCAGTGCGATCAGGAGTTGATCCAGATCACGAACGACAACTCCATGTTCAAACACCAGTCCCGTTACCTTGTCAAGAGACGGGACCCCGAGTTGTGGAACTTCGCCTTGCAGACCACCAACGCTTTCCGGAGGCAGTTAGTCGACCAGGTCGTCGCCACCGCTCTTCCCGAAACTCAGGATCCCGAAGATGTGTCCGTCACCGTCAAGGCCTTCATGGCGGCTGACCTGCCCAACGAGCTCATTGAACTGTTGGAGAAGCTTGTCTTGGAGGGATCTGCTTTCAGCGACAACAGGAACCTGCAGAACTTGTTGATCTTGACTGCCATCAAGGCGGACAAGACCCGTGTGATGGACTACATCTCGCGCTTGGACAACTTTGATGCCCCCGACATTGCGAACATCGCTGTCAATGCCGAGTTGTACGAGGAAGCGTTCTCCATCTACAAAAAGTACGAGCAGCACTCAAACGGTATTGCTGTGCTTTTGGACAACATTGGTGATTTGGACCGCGCTTTTGAGTTTGCGGAGCGCGTGGACTTGCCGGAGGTGTGGAGCAAGCTTGCGAAGGCGCAGCTTGACCATATGCGTGTGACGGAGGCTATTGGTACGATTTTGTTTCCGTTATTATGTGCACCTTGGGTGTATGAGGTTAATTCGCTCGGTCATCAGACTCCTACATCAAGGCCGACGATGCCACCAACTACGGCGAGGTCATCCAGGTCGCAAGTCGTGCCAACAAGTACGAGGACTTGGTCAGATATTTGCAAACCGCTCGCAAGAAGGTCCGCGAGCCGGCTGTTGAGAGCGAGCTGATCTTTGCGTATGCAAAGACTGGCCGTTTGGCCGATTTGGAGGAGTTCATCTCTTCCCCGAACTTGGCTCAGGTTGGTATTCACGTTTTTGATAGTTGACCATTCTGGAATGAGTTGCTGATGTGATGCTTTTCGCGTCAAGATCGCTGTTGTTGGCGAGAGGTGTTTCGAGGAGAAGATGTACGAGGCCGCCAAGATCCTCTTCAACAACGTGTCCAACTGGGCACGTCTCGCCTCTACCTTGGTCTATCTGAACGAGTACCAAGCCGCTGTCGACTGCGCTCGCAAAGCCAACTCCACCAAGGTTTGGAAACAGGTCAACGCCGCCTGTGTGGAAAACGGCGAATTCCGTCTGGCCCAAATCTGCGCTTTGCACCTCATCATTCACGCCGAGGAGCTCGAGGAGCTTATACGCCTTTACGAGCGCCGCGGCCACTTCGACGAGCTTATGTCGCTTCTCGAAGCCGGTCTGGGCCTGGAACGTGCGCACATGGGCATGTTCACCGAGCTGGGGATCTTGTACTCCAAGTACAAGCCAGAACGCCTCATGGAGCACCTCAAGCTGTTCTGGCAGCGCATCAACATCCCCAAGGTCATTCGCGCTACCGAGATTGCGCACATGTGGCCCGAACTGGTGTTCTTGTACAGCCACTATGAAGAACATGACAATGCTGCGTTGACGATCATGGAGCACGCGGCTGATGCGTGGGACCATACCGGCTTCAAGGACGTGATTGTGAAGGTGTCCAACTTGGAGATCTACTACAAGGCGTTGAGGTTTTACCTGGAGCACCAGCCACTGTTGATCAACGACTTGTTGACGGTTTTGACGCCGCGAGTAGACCATACGCGTGTTGTGCAGATGTTCCAGAAGGGGAACAACCTGCCGTTGATCAAGCCTTACTTGATCTCTGTTCAGCAGGTGTGTACACACCACTTTCGTGATTGTGTGATTGTCGTAACATGAGACTGATATGGCGAACTCTGGCGTTCTTTTCTAGGCCAACAACCAAGCCGTCAACACGGCTTACAACGACCTGCTCATCGAGGAAGAGGACTACAAGTCTCTGCGTGACTCGATCGACAACTTTGACAGCTTTGACAACATTGCGCTTGCACAGCGCTTGGAGAAGCACGAGCTGTTGGAGTTCAGGCGCATCAGTGCACACCTGTACAAGGTTTGTAGTTGTTGCAGATGGGCGCTTGCTCATGGAAAGTGGACTCACACTGTGCCCGCACGAAATGTAGAAAAACAGGCGCTGGAAGCAATCCATCACGCTCTCGAAGCAAGACAAGCTGTACAAAGACGCGATGGAAACGGCGGCCATCTCTCGAGACACGGAAACCGCGGAAGAGCTTCTCCAGTTCTTCATCGAGAGCGACAAAAAGGAGTGTTTCGCGGCGTGCCTATTCACGTGCTACGAGCTCTTGCGGCCGGACGTGATCATGGAGCTTGCGTGGAGGAACGGGCTGAACGACTTTGCGATGCCGTATTTCATCCAAATTATCCGCGAGTACATGGGGAAAGTGGATAAGCTGGAAAAGTCGAATACAGATCGGTCCCAGAAGGAGGAGGAGAAGGAGAAGCAAGGTATGTTACGGGAGTTCACTCTCGTGAGACGGTGCCAGGAATCTGATTTTTCTCCCTCTGTTCCCATGAATAGAATCCACAATCATGCCAGGCCTCGGCAACCCACTAATGATCACATACGGCGGCGGCCCCATGCCCGGCGGCCCTATGCCTGGCGTCGGATACGGCGGCGGCGCACCGGTGGGCTATGGCCAACAGGGTCCCATTGTGCAGCAGGGAGCTTACAGTGGGGTTAACGGGTTCAATTCATACTAGAGAAGTGGGTTGTGTGTTGAGAGATACTTCATAATATTCTGTTTTGTGTTTTTCAATAAATTTGGTGGGACAGATGTGAGAATTTCAGGGTGTGGTAACTCTGACCTCTTTTCTCAGTCCCCCCTTGGGCATATCCCATCCTCCCTGTTCAGACGTGTTCCTTTACGCGTGGGAGCCACTGCAGAACACTTGAGGACGACTTGGGGAGATTTTTCCCACTCCCGCCTCCGACTCCCGCTGATCGCAACTCGGAAAACTCGCTCTTCGACGACACACTCATTCCGCCATTTCGCACCACACCTGGCAGTCAGCGTCGGTCAGTCCTATTTACTTCAGCCTCGACCCGCTCGTCTCGCACCTCCATAGGCAACCCACATACACACACACTGTTGCAGTCGCCCTCCCCTCGAAACCCCACAGAATGTCAACAGCATCAGCAACAACACCGCTCCGCACGCAGGTGCTTTCGGCATACAAGGCGCTGCTGCGCGCACAGAAGAAGACTTTTGGGCAGGATATGTTTCAGATAAGAAGTGAGTTCAGGGGCTGAAGGTAGAATATGGGGTTGGGGGAGTCGGGAGTCGGGTCGGGCTGGAAGGCGTTGACGAGAACCGTGGTCACGTTTGCGTTCTTGTCGGGGTGACACAGTCGCAGGACGGGAGGGAATGAAACGGCAGAAAACTTGAGCTAAACGGGTTGGCAAAGGACAACGGGAGATAGTTGGAGGCGGGCCCTAGCGGCGGCTGTATGGCGAAATCTCAGTTGGGCGATCACCCACGAGCCCCCATGATATCTAACACCTCTTTTCACCCTCGCAGGCGCCCGCCAATACACCCGGGATCAGTTCCTCAAATCAGCAAAGGAAACCGACCCCGCCGCAATCACCAAACTAGTCACTACCGCAAACCAAGCGGCAACCATCATCCGGAGGAATGTTGTACAGGGCGTTAGGAAGCGGGAGGATACGTTTCGTGAGTATCATCAATGGTCTGTGTTTTTCGGGTTATCTGCAATATATTGATGAATTTTCATTGGTGATGCTTCAGAGCTCCGATTAGACGAAGAGAAGGAGATCAACGACAACGAGTCGATCCGGAGTAGGAAGGGGCAGCCGCCGCAGCGGGCTGGGACGGCGCCGGTGAAGTGTTGTTCGGCGTAGGGAAGCTTTGGCACCGCTGGGGATCATGCATTCGCAGGATTATTTATGCAGCATCGAAAGTCTGATACTTACTCCACAACCGCCGGATTCCTTGCCTCAATCCACGGAGCGTAGCCACCCGGGGGCATTTGATAATATAGCAACCCCTCTGCGCCCGCATATGCCCATCCCCATCACAGCTCCGTCTACTCCGCTTCACTCTCCCCCTTTTTGGCTTCATTTCACAATAGACATGCCTTGCACAAAGAATCTTTGTCGGATGTTGTGATACATGTGGTATGAAGCATATATCGGCGAAATATGACATGGCCCGAACGCAAGTCCATCACACACAGTCCTACTACTTCTTCTTCCCCGCCACCCCCTTCGGCCCCTTCTTTCCCGCCCCACCCGCATCCTCCTCCTGCCTATCCTCCAACCGTTTCAATTTGTTATTGATCTGATCCTCCTGCGTCTGCAATTTGGCAAGCAGCGATTTGCGCAGATCGTCAATGCGCGTGGCAAGGGTTGTGCTGATGAAGTTGGAGAGTTCTGCGGTTGCGATTTCTTGGGGAGTTGGGCGGTGGGCTGGGTGGGGTTGGGTGGGAAATAGGGGGGCGTTAGATTGTATGTCGCGGACAGAGGAACTGTAAGTGTGATGCACGCCGTACCTTCACCAGCACCAGCCTCGCCACCATCCTCGCCCTGCGGCTGCTCCGTCTCCTTTACGACCTGCTCCACCTCTGCAGTGGCCGTCGCCGTCGGCTGTGGTGCGGGGGATGCGTCTTCGGGCTTTTTGTCCTTTTCAGGTGCGGTTGCGGGCTCCGTTGGTGAGGTGTCGTCCACGGTGGCGGCTGTGGTTGTGGGGATGGTTCCCGATGATGCGGACAGGTCGGCGGATGAGTCTGTTTGGGGTACGTCGGGGGTCTGCGTCCATATAGGGGATGTTTTAGAAGATGACCGCATCCCCGAAAGAAATAAGGAACTCACCTCCCCATCCCCCTCCTTCTCGCTTTCAACAGCAACGCTGTCCCTCCGCGCAGCACCTCCAACAGCGGCAGCAGCCGGCGCGGCAACCTCCTCAATGGCATCATTATCCAGCGTGAAATTCAGCCGCAGTTTCTGCGTAAAGGCGTATTTGTACATGAGGTAGTGGCGGAAATATCTGCGTTCAACAAAACAAAGGTGAGCGTGAAATCACGGATGCAGATGGGAGGTAAGGGAACCTACGAATTGAGAGCATACTCCTCGATGATTTTCACTTCCTGAAGCGAGAATACTTTCTGGCTGAAAGGCGGGCGGTGGATCGAGTGTTTCAGGAGGAGGTCCCGAAAGAAGTGGTAGTCGGATTCGAGGTGGATGAACGGTGATGCTATGGCGGAAAATGGAGGATGTGAGATGGAGTGGAGAATAGAGACGGTTGAGCGGAGAAGGCTTTACCTGTGGCCCGCTCATGCGTGATTTTCATGATGGAGAAAAAGACGGAAGCTTGCATGGGTGAGAGGTTGCTCGATTTGGCGAACCTGTCGATGAGGACATGGTGTGAGCCCCAGGTATTACAACGGCCTTGTGCCCTCTCTTACCTCAAAGTATAATAATAGAAATCCATCAGAATCAAATTCCGCTGCGGATCCATGTCCGGCTCCGTCTTGAATATCGTGTTCAGATATCTGAATCCAATGTATCACATCAACACCACTTCTTTGCATTCCACACACAAAGAGAGGCACATTCCGTACCTTAAAGCTTCGTCAGCAGGCCCTATGGAGTTGAAATCGTAGATTTGTTGCATGGACAGGTGTTTCCTTTGGGAAGGTGGGAGGTCGAGGAATGAGTATGAACGATAATGCGTCGGGAAGAGACCCATCGTGGGAGGACATACCACACGAGACCGGGACTCTTTGGGTTCATGAACTCGTGCGAGCTATGGGAGGCGCCAGGGGTCATGCTTGATAATGATGCAGTTGCGGCCATGCTTGCGGATGAGGGACGTAGAAGCGGAAAGGAAGAGATATGGCAGAAAACGAAGGCAGGTAGGAAGGTGCAGTAGGTAAGAAGAGTGGAAACAGGGAAAGTGTCAAAATGCCCGCGGCGAGAACGGAAGCGAGCGGAAGTGGAAAGCGGGGAAGGGGGACATCCGACAGCGCGTCGCTTGTTCTCTCTGCCCTTTCCCCACAAGCAATAACCGCTTTCTGTCGTCTCGTTTTTATTCACTCCGAGCTCAAGATCAGTCTTACCGTACCCCTCCCGCAACGCAGAAATGAACGTCGACGAGCTTATCTCTCCCGATTCGGACGACGACGATAAAATGGACACAGCAGCCATCACCAACAACGCCCATCTCTCCTCGGACCATAGCAGCGACGACGACGACGACGACGACGACGGCGATGAACTCCACGACACCAACACCTCAGCAACCGTCGCCAACGCAGCCGTTCTCGAACTCAAAGAACGCCTAAACGCCAATCCCTACGACTACAACGCGCACATCGAGTACATCACCGCTCTCCGTCAATCCTTCGATTTCGATGCAATGAGAACAGCGCGAGAGGCTATGGCCGCGATCTTCCCCTTGTCAGAGAGTCTGTGGATGGAGTGGATTGATGATGATGCCCGCATGGCTGCGACGCCGGGGGAGCAGAAGGATGTCGGAAAGCTCTATGCTCGTGCTGGGAAGGACTATTTGTCCATCAGGCTTTGGAGCGCTTTTTTGGGATTCGTCATACAGCAGTATCAAGAGGCTACGGAGGCGGCGGAGAATATGGAAGGAAGTGAGGAAAACCTGGAAGATCACTGGCCAACGGCGCAGGACGTGCGTGAGGTTGGCGACCAAGCCCTGCTCGCAACACAGCTGCACTTTACAGAAAGCGCTACGGTCTGGAACACATATAGGGATTTCGAAGCCCAGCTACTCGACCAACTCAAATCGGACGAACAGAGGGATCGATTACGACAGATGTACCTTCGGCGACTACAGCAGCCCCATGCGCAGCTTGAGGAGACGTTTAGCGCCTATTCGACATTTGAAAGCACTTGGGACGCTGCGAACTATGAGGCGCAGCTGGTAGCCGCCAACGCTCTGGTTGCAGCGACGCGCCTGCTCTTGAATGCGCGCGAACCTTATGAGAATGCATTGAAAGCTTCTGGAGGAAGCGTGGAGGACTACCTCCGCTACATCGAATTTGAGAAACAGAAAAAGCAGGGCACAGATCAGTTCCGGATCCGCACCCTCTACGAACGCGCTCTTGCGACCCACTGTCTGGACGCAACCCTCTGGGATGCCTATATCGTAGACATGATGATCATCTGCCCCGTCGAGCTCGTCGTACTTCCAATCGCCGTACGAGCCGTGCGTAATTGTCCCTGGGCAGGGGATATGTGGAGCCACCACATCCGGATCTCGGGCCACTTCCAGAAACCTTTGATCGAGATCCTCGACATCTTTGAGCGCGGGCTCGCATATCTCCCCACCCTTGGAAACGTAGACGAGATGGTCAAGCTGCTGCTGGCGTGGCAAGATTTGGAAGCGTCGTCGCCGCAGGCAGACTGGACCAACGCGGAGTGGGCGAAAACGGTCGTTGATGGGTACCTTGAGAAGATCCAGTTTGTGCGCGCACAATACCCGCCGGGGGATACCTTCCTCCGTCTGGAACGCGACCTCATCCACATCTTGGTGCACAAGACGAAGGACATTGCCGCGGCCCGCGCTGTCTACGCTGACACCGCTAAGATATTCGGCACGCAAAGTGATTTATGGCTCGAATACATCCGCTTTGAACGACAGTACGGAACAGCTAAGCAAGCTCGAGCGCTATTCAAATCCGCTGCAGCGCGCAACCTAGACTGGCCTGAACGCGTATTTGACGCGTGGCTCGCTTTTGAGCGAGAAGAGGGCGATGTGGAGGCGTACTACCAGGCTGCGGCGGCAATCAAGAAGCAGGGAAGGATTTTGCAGAAGCGGAGGGAGCAGGACGCTGCACTGCTACAGAACCAGGATCCCGCCGCGGCTGCTGCGGTGCCGCTGGACACGTACGTCCCGGCACAAGGAGAGGCACCGCAGAACGGAACTATCCATAACAAGCGTCAAAGGGGGTATGACGTGGACGCAAATGTCCAACAACCAAGCGCCAAACGGCCCAAATCGGAAGGTCCCGACGCCGAAACTTCAGCGGCGGAGACAACGCAACCCGCAAAAGGCAACATGTACGAGTTCCACATCCTGGACAACAAAATGGCCGGCAACATGCTCTACATCACAAACCTCTCCCCCCGCACCACCGAAACCGACCTCAAACACCACTTCTCCCCCTGCGGCACCCTCCTCGACGTCATCCTCCAACCCAACCCTACCACCGGCGCCCTCGAGGCCTACCTCGAATTCGCCGATGCGGCCATGGTCCGCAAAGGCGTCGCCCTGCACGAATCCACCCTCTGCGAACAAACCATCTCCGTCGTGCGATGCAAACCCGAACACTCGATCTGGAACTTCGCAGGCGTGGAGGAGAAGAACAAAATCTACGTTGCTAATCTACACCCAAAGACCGAGAAACGACACCTTCGGGAACTCTTCACACCCTTTGGCCATCTCCGGGAGATCCGGCTGATGTTACGCCCCACCACCGCGTTCGCATACATCGAGTTTGCGAGCGCCGACGCCGCGAGTACCAGTCTCGCTGCGAACGGGAAACAGATCCTGGGCAAACAGATCTCGGTCGCCATCTCCAACCCGCAGAAAACCAAACCCCGCACCGCGGACGGGAGGGAGGTGTATGTCACCAACCTCCCGCGCACGCTGCAGAAAGAGGATATCGAGCTGCTCTTCAAGCCCTGCGGCGACGTGCGCGACGTCAGAGTCATGGTGGGATCCGACGGCAGGTCCCGCGGGACGGCCTTTGTGGAGTATGTGGAGGAGGAAGGCGCCAAGAAGGCCGTCGAGACGCTGGAGGGCACGACGGTGGAAGGGCGGGTGGTGAGCGTGAGTGTGCCGGATCCGAACAAGAGGGGCGCGGCGAAGGGGGGGAGGGGGAGAGGGGCGTCACATGGAGGTGAGCGGGGACGCGGTGGGGGCAGGGGGAGGGGTGGAAAGGGTGGGTTGGGGTTCGCTCCCAACTCTCACAACAAGGCGGGAACGGACACGCCCGCGCCCGCCTCGACGACTACACTGACGTCCTTCGTTCCGCGTGCACGGGCCGCGGCGCCGAAGAAGAAACTGGGCGGTGTGCCGAAAGGGGAGGGTGCCAAAGCGGATGGTGCTACTGGGAGTGGCGGTGAGCCTCCCGCCGGAGCGAAATCGCAAGATGATTTTCGCAAAATGCTGATGCGGGGATGAGGCATGGATGCATGGGGGATGTGCATCACTGAGGGGTTCGGAGTCGAAGAGCGGGTGCTGTATATATATATGCACCACATTTGTATAGTGTTTTGCCAACCACTCAGGCGTATGCAGATAACCCCCCGAACAAGATCAAACAGAAAACAAAAGAAATAATGAACCGAAACCCCAAAACGCTGTATTCATGTGGGCGGTTGGAATGGGGCCAAAAAAACGATATGCGTATTGATGTGTGACGGGATGTATGTACAAATGCACTACGGGTACGCCCGATGGGGAGGGAATGATGAAAACGGTGCAGGGCGGGGAAGTCACTTTTTGGGCCGTGCGACCGACCTAATAGGGGGTTCCAATACACCCACCCGACTGGTCGTGCATACATATCGGGATGTGCCGACAATCGCCCCTGTCCGCATCCCCGCTCTACACTCCCATGTCCGATCCCCCTTCGACTACCGCCCAGCAAGACACTCCAAGAACTCGGCCCCCTCCCACGTCACACTCGCATACCGATCGAGATGGATGGCGAGATGGGCGGCGAGGATGTGCGGACATATGCGTGTGTGGTGTGACGGTTTCGATTGGGCGAGGGAGCATGTGCAGAATGGAATGAAGGGGAGGACTGTGAAGAAGTCGGTTTCGGCTTCGATTTGGAAGAAGGATCTGTTGGCTGGTCCGTTTACTTTCGTTACTAGGAGAGCAAGACGGTCAGATATACATGGGATGTGCATGGACAGCACTACACGCCCCCCAAAGGAAAAACAAAGCATACCGGCCTGTGTATCGAGGTACCTCAACGCGGCGGTGGTGGTGTCGAGGTCGAAGAAGACCGCTAGCCTGGAAAGGGTGGAAAGACAAGGAAAGTGTTGGGAACTGGGGATTGGGGTGCTTCAGCGATATCCTGTCCTGCATCAATATCTGGCACACCAAGGAGTTCCGAGATGGTCACAGTTTTGGACCCCATCTACACCGTAGGATGGACCTCGTATCGCACACCCGTCTCCCTCCTAGCCATCTTTCTCTCTCTCCCTTGGGCCGCCCGGCCCCACTCACGTCCAGATATCCTTGTCGGCCCATTTCCGGGTTTCCGTCGGCACGAGGGCGATGATGTCTGGTATAGAAAGCATTGCTGGAGCGTTTCCTTTTTCTTCGGTTGAGCGAGAGCAGACGTGCTGTGTGCTGGGTGCAGTAGGAGACGGAGCGAGAGTGGTGTGGACTCTCGTGAGGGGGGAAGCCTATGAAGTAGATGAAGCAGGCCCAGAGGAACGCGTGCTCGACCCGAGAAGCAGCACCCACCCAGGCCTGAGAGGGGGGGGGTAATCAACCATCTCAACATGCCCAACATGTGCGAGATGCAGATCACGTGCACGACCCCATCCAGAGAAGAGGCTGCTTGCGTGTCGTTCAAGTTTCAACAGGTGGGAGATGTGCGGGAGTCTGTCTTGTTCGCTACGTCCGTTTGTCACGGGCGCGCGGCCTCCCTCCTCCTCCTTCCGCTCGGACCTTTCTGCAACTTCGCACACTCACCCTCTTGAGGAACCGCAATGGTCGGCGTCCGCGCCCCACGGCTACACGGGCTCCCCCTCCCAACACCCCTCGCTTTGCAGCAACAGCCTATGAACCGCCTACTGCCACAAACGTATCATCAACCCCTCGCAAAGTTATACCGCACAGCACCCTCCAGCGGTCGCCCATCACAACCACCACCACCACACGCGCAACGCGGACCGCCAGCACCACGACGCCGCCCAGGCGACTCCCACCCCCACCCCCGACTATCCGCACGCTCAGCACCACATCCCACCACCACCAACCCCTCCACCACAGGCGTCCCACTATGGCTCTTTGCAACTGTCGTCTCCCTCCTTCTAGGCTTCAAAGTAGGACAGGTCTCCGCTTGGGGGCCTTGGTCTTCCTCGTCTCATAACTACAACAATCGGGACGACCACGACCCGGACCCGGACTCGCCCGCCGTCTTCATTATCGGGAATAAGGATTATCATCGCGAGAGGGAACTGGAGCATGGGCACGGACAACAGCAGCAGGAGGAGAGACGGCATAAGTGGAGGGACGGGTTGAGGAAGGGGAGGGACAGGACTGGTGGGAAAGAGGGGAAGGACAAGGACAAGGACAAGGGAAGGGGTCATTCGTTTATTGCCGATGCGGTCGAGGGTGCGGCGGGCAGCGTTGTCAACATTTGTGTTGTAACTGGTGAGTTGCGTGACCGGCCGCGAGCGGAGGGAGGGAATGCGGTGTCTGAGGCGTGCAAAGCGAGCGAATACGGTTTATGGGGCGAGCAGTGAATGTGAGCGATAGCGAACGGTCGTTCCTATAATATCTCGCCCAACATCCTTGTCGCGAGCGTAGCGAGCAGGGGTGTCAGTCCGACCATTGTTTATCCATGTATCGTTCTTTCCATTCACCGGTTCATCCATGCGTCCTTCATTTATCCCTACAGAAACATCATCCATGCTCTCGAAAGAAAGCCTCGCGACATCCGGATCAGGGTTCTTTATCGACGAAGACGGGTCCATCTTGACCAATGCCGTATGTACTGGCATCTCTATCGTGACGTTTATCATGGAAAACAAGGTGTCAACCGTCCTGGTCTCTTAGCACGTAGTCTGCGACATGAGTGACGGGAGCAAGGTAAGCTATACCCTTTCCCATGCCCACCATCCTATCCCAAGACCCCACCTGACCTCAACGGCATTCCCCCCACCCAGCTGACGGTAACAGCAACAGATGGAACAGAATACGACGGATACATACACAGCATGGATACGATGTCTGACCTGGCCGTGGTTAAGATCAGGCCACGGCCGGGGGATGTACCGAGGAAATGGCCTGTGCTCAAATTGAGTGAGTAAACGGATGGGGAGTGGAACAAAGATTCGGAGTGGCCGTGCCCGCCGCGAATGCTCACCACCTCACCCCCATACATCCTCCAGGCACGAACATCAACCTTCGGTAATCCCCACGTCCCCCTCCTGACAAGCACCCCGTCACCGATCCTCCCTCCCCATACTAACCCCTCTCCCGAACACAGCCTCGGCGACTGGGTAATAGCAATCGGCTCCCCCTTCGGCCTCCAAAACACAGTAACAGCCGGCGTCGTCTCCTCCATCCGCCGCGCAAAAGACGAGATCGGCGCAGCCTCCTCCGATGTCCGCGTCGAGTATATACAGACCGATTGCGTCATACATGAGGGCAGCTCGGGGGGGCCGCTCGTTAATTTGGATGGGGAGGTTGTTGGTGGGTGTTGATAGGCGTAGGAAAGGGGTTGGGGGGACGAGGACGGGGATGGGAGTTGATTGATGGAAATGTATTTTTTTGGGGTTGGTAGGCATCAACACGACCCGCGCAGCCGGCGAAGGCATAAGTTTCGCGATCCGGGCCGACAACGCGCTCGACCTGATCCATCAGCTGCACAATGAAGGGAGGATCGTGCGGCCCTGGTTAGGTGCGTCTCTCTCACATATCTCTCACCTCATCCAACCAATCACTTACACTTCTGGATGGATGTTTTTCTTTTCGGTAGGATGCAGGATGGTAACCCTAACCCGCGACATCCAAACGCAGCTCCGTGAAGAGAACCAGTGGGCGTACCTCCCTCCCGCTACGAGCGGGGTTATCATCACCGCCGTGCGTACCCATCCATCCATCCCTCCACAGTGTGAATCTACACCCTCAAACGTTGTATTCGTTTCTCAGATGGTACCCGACTCGCCAAGCTCCCGAGGCGGCCTCGCCGAGGGGGACGTGATCACCGCCGTTAACGGGAAACCCGTGCATAGCAGCCAAGAGGTAAAACCCCAACGATGCGCTCCCCCCTTCCCCCCATCCCGTTCTGCCATCGCCCCTGTCTGCTCCCGCCCTCAACGCCCCCTTATTTTGATTGATTCAGGTCTACAAACACATGGGTCTGAAGATCCACGAGCCCGTCACCTTCCGCGTCGCGCGCAGCGTTCCCCTCGACATCGACTGGGACGGGCGGTCGCAGCGGTGGGAGGTGCAGCAGCTGGACCTGGTGGTGCGGCCCGATGAGTTTGATGAGAGCGTTCATGTGGATGAGAGTGGGAGGGGTTGAGGAGGGCGAACGGTGTCGGGGCGATCAGGGGGAGGATGCACGAGTGGGTATTGAGAAAGCTTTGCGGATCGGGAAGATTTCTTCGTTGGGAGATTGGGGGCGTTTTGTCCCCGGGTTGCGTCGTAGTGTAGACCTTTACAGTTTAGGGCAATATAGCAAAAAAACAACCCATTTCGGGGGGCTGTTCTGGGTGGTTCCACAACCCCCGTTCATGCACAGAATTCACCGAAATGTACTCATATGACGCTTTTCCCCAAAAGTTTGCTCTTCTTCATACAGTTAGTCGCACATGATATAGTTTTGTCACCCCGCTCCCATCACCCATGTTGAGTATTCAACCCCAACCCAAAACACCACTACGCCCGTACGAATAAATATCCTCTGCGCCCACGTTGGGTTTGTGAATTCGGGGGAGGTAGAATGTACTGCACCAGACCCCCCTTAGCGACACACACCCACTTCCATACCCCCTTCCCCACCTCCTTCCACAGCCCCCCTCACATCCCCGCCAAGCCCGTCGTTTCCCTCCTCATCACAGCTCCCGACACCCGCGGTGGTCGTCTCGGTTCCGCGGCTATGGCATGCGCGGGGCTTGGGTCCACCGGTCGGAATCCCAAACTCGGTCGCGGTCACGTCATCGGCGCGATCGGGTTCAGGTGCACGATCCACAGGGTCGCCCAGCAATCCACCCGGCGGCTGCACCGATTCCGCTTCCTCTTCCGCTTCCGATTCCGAGTCGCAGTCATACTCCGACCCCACGTCAACCTCGTCCCCGTCCAGCTCGTCAAACCCACGGCCACACGCTTCCTCCTCGCTCAGGTCGTACGCTTCCGACGCCTCTTCCTCATCCGCAGACGCCCCACCAAACCCACGGAAACACTCCTCCGACTCGCTCAGGTCGTACGCTTCCGACGCCTCTTCCTCATCCGCAGACGCCCCATCGAACCCACGGAAACACTCCTCCTCCTCGCTCAGATCATACGCTTCCGACGCCTCTTCCTCATCCGCAGACGCGTCCAGGGACGTGGCCGCCGACACGACGACGACGACCCCGTTAGCGGGTGTGTGCGAGTGGTGCCACGTGTGGATCGCTTCTGTACCTTCCTCGTCTTCACTATCGGAGTCATCGTGGGTTGCCTCACTCCCACTCCCACTCCCACTCATACTCTCCTCCCCGCTGTCCAAAACCTCAACAACGTCACCACCCGCATCGTACCCGCCCGGCGGCCGTTTCCCCCCAACACTGGCCCGAGCACCCACATCCGCGTCCGCGTCCGCGTCACTGGACATGGTCCCCGCCGCTGACCCGGACCCGTCGTCGTCGCTGTCGTATGGATCCGAGGGGGTGTCGTATTCACTGGCGTGGCTGCTGTGCAGGGAGGTGATGCTGGGTGATGCGCTGCGGCTGGGGACGCTGTGTATTTCTTGTTCGTTTGTGGTTCGGGTTGTTGTGGCGGTGGGTGTGGGTGGGAGGCGGGGGTCGGGTTGGTGGTGGATGGTGGCGGCGGGCGGGTGGTTGCTATTCCCATCCATCTCCACATGCATCTCCACATCCATGTCCACGCCCCGCATATCCACCCCGTCACCGTTCCGAGACGATCCCGGGCCGGTCGCACCATGCATCGCTTCGGTCCGCCCCGCGCTCCCACCCTCACGAACGCCCATTTCCGGGCCTTGAACTTCCACAATGCCATCCTTCGGCACCTGCACCTGCTCTCGCTCCGCCTCGTGCTCCACCTCCGCAGGCGGCGACTCCTCCCTCAGACTCCGATACCTTCCCCTCAGACTACGCTCCATGTGCCGCTCGAGGTCCAGGTCGCTGATATCCGCCTCCTCTTCGTTTGATCGTTGAGCGTTGTTGGGGTGTATGGCGTCATTGGTGATGTATGAGACGGGCTGTGGAGGTTGCGAGGCGGCGGCGGTTCGTTTGCGGTGCGCTGAATCGAGGATACTTCCACGTGGTGATCTTGAAAACACAAGCGAAACATAAGCATGGCTGTGTAGTGAGGGTGTGAAATACTCTCACGGAGCGTACCGCGCAACATTGATCTTCTTCAACTGCACGCTCTTCATCTCGCTCAACAGACGGCGCATGAGCGGGTGGCCGGTGTTGTTATTGCGGGGGTCGCGGGGGGTCTGGGTTCACGAAAGAAAGGTCAGTATCCGCATCTTCCCTGCTTTCGAGACTCGGTGCATCCCCACGGGGATGTGAGCACGACTTACAGATGGCAAATGAGCATTCGAGGGAGACGCGGACGACGACTCGTTCATTGGAGGAGGGGGCGGCGGTGGTGGTGCTCCTGTATAGGATGTCGGTGAGGAGGAAGCAGCGGCGCGGAGGACGCACGCCTCGAGGTATGCGATTTTGCGTTCCAGCTCCGTGATCCGTTGGGAGTCTGGGGTCTGAGCTTGTGGTTGGGGTGATGGGGCTACAAGAGTGCAATATTCGGGATGTCAGTGGGATTCTGCTTCCGAGAAGGTGCCGTGACCGCACCACACAAGTACCGACTCCCCATTGATTACATACCTCTGACAGCATCCTCAGCCTTCACCCTCTTTCTCAGCTCGCTTTCCCCGGTCACAACGACCCCCTCCATCGGCTCAAACTCATGCTCCGCTTTTCGTTTCCCATTCACCACCGGCGTCGACATTGGCATCACGTCCGGTTCCGCACACGGCGCGATGCCCAGGATATTGATCGATTCGCCAACATCATTCTCGTCGTGTCCGTTAAGATCCTCGTCACCTGGTGGGGCCGAGTCACCCCACCTCCGCATCGGATCCCCGCCAAGACCACCACCCTCCCTCTCCTTCTCCCGTTCCTGTTCACGCAACTCACTCAACGCCAACTGGCCATACCGCGTCTTTTGCAACGCAATGGCGTCTCCCCGTTTAACGGCGGCTGCAGTGGTGGACGATGAGAGGGAGGAGGGGCGGAAAGGACGGGAACGGGTCGGGTGCGGTTTGGTTATGGCACCTGACGTTCGGCGACGCGGGAGGGTTGAGGATGATGTGGATGAACGAGAGCCGGAGGTGCTGAAGACAGAGCCGAGGATGTTGTTTACCTGTGAAGGTGCAGGCCACCATGAATCATCCACTGACGATGCGTTTATGCTGGAAGGCTCCACCAATAGGGATGGATACTTACCCCACGGCTAGCTCCCGAGAAGATCCCGGTGAAGGAGGAGAATATGGAGCGCGGCGGGTGGTGGTTTGTGATGCGGACATTGTTATTGGTGGATCGCACCGGTGTTCGGCCGTGCGGTGGGCCCATCTTTCCTGTGCTTTGACTGTAGCTTTGTGGAGAGCGGATATGGGCCGAGTGTCGCGATGGTTATGTCAAGTGGAGGTGTGAGATTGTGTGTGATCTAGGCGGGTTTTTCGGCAGCGCGACGCCGGGAGAGTGCACACCTGAAGGAGGCGGTTGTCGGACAGGGGAGGATAAGCTATCCTTCTCTGTGCCGGCGGCTGGGAAGAAGGTACTGGATGTGCAGCTGCAAGCGTCTTTCGGCTGTTTGGGCAGGAGAGCACAAGGGGAATGAAGTGGATTCCTTTAGGGGGGCGGACTGGGAGGCCGAAGGGAAGATCGGACACGCTATCAGACAGAAGAACACGGTGTGCATCTTCTTGCAACGTGCAGAACCCCGAGTGACTCCTGAGTCCGAGTGACTTACTGAGGACAGTATTCATTGAAAGAGGGGCAACAGGAGAACACGCGCTGGGGTGTCTTTTTCTCTCCCGCCGCAAGAGCAAATCGAGCGGGAGGTCACCGGATGCGCGTTCCTTTTCTCGACTCCCTCTCGTGGCTTCCGTCTCATTCCACTCTTTCTTGGCCTGGGACTTGCCGCCAAAAAAAACAAGTTCCTCCAGCAACCATGGTCTCAGGAGGAACCCAAGAAAAGCACGCCGCTCTGCCAGAGCAGGTCGTTCTGCTGGAACAGACCCCGCAGCTCAAGGCTCTCATGTCTATCGTCAGGTTCGTCCTCTCAGAGGTGTGAGGCGTGAATTCACTCCCCCCCCCCACCACAATCACTCACACCCCGGATTCACGCAACAGAAACAAAGAAACCCAGCGAGGCGACTTTATCTTCTACAGCGACCGTGTCATCCGTCTCCTCGTCGAAGAGGCTCTCAACCATTTGCCCTTTATCGATAAGGTCATCTCCACTCCCACCGGGGCCAAGTACAATGGTACGAACTCTCGACGTTTTGGCAAGCACGATATCTGCATTATCTAAAACCCCATCGTTATTCTAGGCCTCGGGTTCAGAGGCAAAATCTGCGGCGTTTCCATCATGCGCGCGGGTGAAGCCATGGAACAAGGGCTGAGGGATTGCTGTCGGAGTGTTAGGATTGGAAAGATCTTGATTCAGAGGAATGAGGAAACTGCGATGCCGCAGCTTTATTACTCAAAGTTGCCCCCGGATATTGCGGATCGCTTTTGCTTGCTGCTTGATCCGATGTTGGGTGAGTGTGTGGTGAACGACGGGCGATGGTGAGGGCGGTTTGGCGCGCGAAGCGAGCAGTAGATGTGAGCGACAGAGAACGATCGCGGTTGTTACGCGAGCGAATCGAGCGCCAACCATCCGTTTTCGCTCCATTGACACCCATTTCTCCGTCTCATCCCCAAAGCAACCGGCGGCTCAGCAAACAAAGCCATCGAAGTGCTGATCGACCACGGGGTCCCCGAAGAGCGGATCCTCTTCGTCAACCTGATCTGCGCACCCGAAGGCATCGAGAAAGTGCTCGCGGCGTACCCACGGCTGAAAATCGTGACGGCGGAGATTGATGCCGGGCTCGACGAGAACAAGTATATTATGCCGGGGTTGGGCGATTTTGGGTGTAGGTACTTTGGAACTGAGGGGGTTTAGTTGGAATAGGAATAGGAGGAAGCTAGGGAGGGATACGGCTTCGTAGTGTACAAACGCAGACGTAGATGCTTCCCCCAAAGGACCTCAAGCTTGTGATGTTATCGGCGTTCGGCTTTCTTCATCAATGTATCATCCCGGCATAGTCGTAGCGTTCTACATCATTTAATGATTCAACATGGGTTTTTGCGAGGTGCGAGGGGAGCGTTGGGCAACGCGTGCAAATCTCCCAAAGCGATGACGGCGCAACCGCAACTCTCGCACCTTTCCCAAACTTCTTGCAACACCCAATCCAGCACAACATCCCACACCCCCTCGCCCCAAACTCCAGCCCCCCCAGACTTCAAAGATGGCAGACGCAAAACTCCGCGAAGGTAGCCCATCCTCCCCTCCCCTCGCTTCCCCTCTTCTCACCTCCCGCAGATCACTCACCTCATCGTCTTTCCCTCCGCGACAGGCATGGAATTCATGACAGCAGCCGAAAAGGCCCGCAACAAAAAGACACTGTTCGGGAAAGAGAAGCCCGATTGGGATATGGCTGTGCAGGGGTACGAGGCTGCGGGTGAGTTGTGGGGATGACGGGTCGCTGGGGTTGCGGGGATGTGGATGGGGGGAAAGGCGGAGAGGGGCCGGGAGATGGGGAAACGGAGGTGGTATGTGCATCTAGGGAGCGAGTCGCAATGCATGTGTGCGAGGTGTGGTGATGGATCGTATGGGTGATATGGGGTGATAGGAAAAGGACGATGAGTGAGATGGAAAATGCTTCTGTTTCCTTTACCTAATAGGCTGGTCTGATTTTGCAGCAACGAGTTTCAAGAACGCTCGTGCGTTTGATCAGGCTTGTGAGGCGTACGTCAAGGTGAAAATGCCGTTTCTTCCCATCAAATGACGACGTTTGGCGGACGACTGATTGTTTGTTTGCTCGTATATTGCGAGATCTGTATAGGCATCGGAATGTCACCGCCACCTCGATTCGTATGAAACCCCTTTGTTTTCCCGTGCTACCCTATATGCCAAGCGTCAACACTCACCCGCCCCTTCTATCCCACAGTCTCTTCCTAGCAGCAAAATCCCTCGACGCCGCCGCCCTGCTCACAACAACGCACCTCTCCCAACCCGCGCACGCTGCAGATCTGTACAGACAAGTCAGCGACCTGTTCCTGGCGCAGGGGAGCGCCGATCGGGCAGGGGAGAGTTTGGAGAAGGGTGCCAAGTATGTGTGCTCGTCCACTCAACCGTTTCGTGTTCGTTTCTGATGTCGATTGCGAATGGTGGTGGCTGATGATCCCCCTGTCTACGATGCACCCCCACAGGGTATTGGAACAAGCAGACCCAACAAAGAGTATTGAGATGTACGACGAATCCTGCAAGTTGTACGAAGAAGAGAACAAAATGCGGTTCGGCGTCGACGTCTTCAAACGCGCCATCGGTGTCTGCGTGCGCAATAACCGGTCAGTAACCTCCCCTCCCCTCAATCCTCTCCCATCAATCCTCTCACATCATAATCGCACCCACCGATCGCTTGACTCTGTTTTTTCCGTAGGTTACCGAAAGCACTGGACCTGTCGACCCGTCTAACGACCGCCTTCGCCAAGCTAGACCAAAAGATGAATTTCCACAAACAGATGCTCTCAAGCACCGTCATCCTTCTGGCGCTGGGCGACGTCGGGGAAGCCGCGCGGAGGTTGGAGATGGGGATGGGGTAAGCTTTCCGGGGGGGGTCGGATGATGCACCGGCTGCCTCCAACTCACACACCCCCACGTGTTTTATCAGACAATTAGGCCTGGCGAGCTCAGAAGAGGGCCAGATCGCGCAAACCCTCGTGCAAGCGTTCCAGGACGGCGACCAGCCCGCCATCGACTCGAGCTTGAAGCGGCATCCGGTGCAGTATCTCGAGAACGAGGTATCTTACATATCCCCCCCCCTCCTCTTCAAACCAGTCATCTGACACGCGGATGTGATTTTTTTACAGGTGAACCGTTTAGCACACACTCTCAAAGCACCCACAGCGACGAAAAAGGCGTTGCCGCCGGCGCCGGCGCCGCAACCGCAGTCCGAGAATGTGAAGGCGTTGCAGGATGAGGTTGAGGAGGAGGGGTTCTTGTGAAAGCGGGTTGTACAGAACGGGGGATTTCTGAAAGGTTCCGTATACTGTACATACGTATTCTTTTCGGTCCATGCATTTATCGTTTTTCAAGATATGGTGTGTTGAAGCACAATCGGGTGTGATGATTTTTTCAATGGTAGTATACTTTTAGAAGTAGTGGCTATATCGATGGTGGGTATAGCCCCGATGAAAAAGATGCGGGTGGCGTGGGACTAAAAACGCTACGTACGCCGTACTGCTCATACTCATATCTATGGTAAATCCTGCTCTTATTTTCATGATGCGTTTCCTTTACCGCGTCCCACCCACATGTGCACACGCCTTTATCCAAACGTAATCTGCGATTGCCCCCCCGGCGGCGCATGCAACTTAACACTCGGCACCTTACTTCCCGTGACCGGCGGCGCGCCAATCTTACTCTCCGCCGGCGCATAATGGGTGCGTCCAGTCGACCTCGGCTGCTGCTGCTGGTTAGTGGTGACGCTGCTGGGGGTTGAGTCGTCGCCGAATCCGAAGGATCCGCGATTACGGGCGGCGTAGGTGTTGCGCGCGGCGTTGTTGGCGGTTAGGGCTGGGTCTTCGGTTGTGGTGGTGGTGGAAGGGGTAGGGGAGGAGGAGTCGAAGGCAAAGGAGCCGCGGTTGCGGGCGGCGTAGGTGTTTCGGGCGGCGAAGTTGGCTGTTGCTTCGGTGTCTTCGGTGAGGGCAGGCGTGGGCTGCTGTTGAGCGGCACGCGCGTTGGACACGGGAGCGTCGCCGCCGAGACTAAATTGGGAGACGCCGCCGGGAGGAGCGTGGAGCTTGACGCTTTGGCGGGAGCCAGTGACGGGGTTGTTGCGGTTTGCAACGGCGACGGCCGGGTCGGGGGTCACGTACTCTTTGGTAATGGCTTGCTTTTGAGCAGTGGCGCCGACGGGCTGCTCATCGAAGTGGTCGGCCGCCGCGTTCTTGTGCCCGTTGTTTTGTAGGGGGCGGTCTTCATCAGAAGTAGCCTGAGTAGCTGCGGCCGATTGCTGCTCCTGCTGCACTTTGGCGGCGTTGGGTTCGGCGCCTTCCTTAGGGAGGGCAGCCTTGATGACATCCTCAACCTTAGTGCCTGCAACCTTGAGCACAATCTGGGGGCTAGTGGCCGTCTTTCCCCTAACACTAGGAGGAAGGACTCCGGCCTGCTGCAAGAGACTGGCGTGGTCCCAGTACACACGCTGGTACGCGAGCTTGTCGTCTTTGAAAGTCGAGACGGTACACATGGCACATTTCAAGGTCCTGCCGGTTTCCTTGATGCCGGGCAAGAGGTACTCGATAGAACGCTCATGGCGGATGGTAAGGATCGACTCTTCGAACTGCGAAATGCGAAGAGATGAAACATATCAGTGTCGGTCGATGAAACATCATGCAAGTGCATGGACGATGGAGAAAGAACATCCACAAAAACAACAGAAAAACAAACGGGAAAAACGACTGGTCGCCAACAGTTGAAGATACGGGCATGCATCGCTCGCCTTCAAACTACAACTGTTCGCTGTCGCTCATATTCACTGCTCGCTCATGACTTGCGCCTACGGCGCGGAACTCGCTCCGCTGGCGCTCGATTCGCTGGCCACAGTCCGCATTCCTTCGCTAGCGGCAGTTCCCTCCCTTCCTCTCAGTACATACCACATCATTCTGTCCGTAGATCGTACTCAAGACCTCAGTTTCCTCAATGCATTGATAAGAATTCCGCATCTGGTCGAGGAGGACCTCAATTTCGCGGTGACCACGGTAGATGAGGCCAGTGGGAACATACGAGATGACGGCGTCGGACTCTTCAAGATGTAAAATGTGGAATTCGGATTGTCAGTCACAAATCACAAAGCAAAGGCCCCTGAAGGTTCTTCTCCATCCTCAGTGCGTTCGGGCCGGCCTCAGCTTCCCGTCCCGTGAACCAATTCTTTGCCGATGAGTGATTGAGAACCTGATTGAGAACCTACCGAAACGCGAAGGCACAGCCTTAGGCGGGGAGCCTCTTGTGTGCTTGTGAGCCAGCCAGGCAGCCCTGAGAGTGGAGTTGTCATCAGCCATGTGAGCTGAGGTCATGGGGTGAGAGTCCTGGTGTGTGTATGTGTGTATGTGTGTGTGTATTGCAGATGCGGACGATCGTGGGGAAAAAAGAGAAGAGCAGAAAGCAGCGAGTCCGAACTGGAGACTTTTGCGCTTTTCTCTCCAAGAGTAACTCTCGAAATTACAAGATTGCGGGACACGACTTTCTATTCTCTCGCTGAAGGGGGATCTACCACGACCGTTCGCTTACTTGGCCGGAAACGGAGCGCCACGGGAGCTTCTTCCGGTCCTGTTTGCCCGTGATATCGAAACAACAATTCCAAGCCATTCCGTGTGTTAAGAGACCTAGGTCGACGAGGTGCGATGACGACTACTCCCCTGGTGGCTTGAAAATCAACATGGATCGGAAGGCTAGCGGTGTTCTCTCAGCTGCCAGGTAATACCTTTAGTCGTTCCTTCTCGAAAGCTTTACGTCCAAGTCGTCGCCGAGTTCGTCGCGGGGGGCATTCTTTTGATGGGGCTTAGAAGTGGTTCATTTCTGACCGGCGCTAGTCAGAGATATGCGTCCCCCCACTCACTCTCTTCCACTCTCTCACTGAACAAGCATCTCTTTTCAACAACAACATGAGCAGCTCCACGGGTGCTTCGGCTCGGTGCGTATCCGTACTGGCCGCTTTCAAGGCCTCCCCTCAAATGCTGTCCAGCACGCCTTCCAGAGTGCACTCAACTGACCCTCTGTTCTTTCAGGCCGCAGCAGGATCGAAACGGGGCCGGGAAGAGGAGGCTTCGGCCGAACAGAGCAAACATCCTCGCACGGACCCGATCAGTTTGGGAGACTTTGAACGAAAGTTCGAGGAACTCTCGCGGGACGCGAGCGGGGCGAGGATGCTCATTGAGCTCGCCCGGACCAACCTTGTCCCGCTAAGCAATTTTCTGGACTACAAAGGTAACGCCCTGGTACTCATAACGACATGCGGGTGGGACTTACCTTTTGTCATTCGGTTCGCGTGACAGAGAGGTTGCGCCGGTCTTTTTCAAACGTGAAGTGGAAGCACATCTTTGAGTTATATGGAATCAAACATGTCGAGAAGATCCCGGTGTTCCGGCCTTCTGTGCTCTATATCTCAAGGGAAACGTGCAAGGACATATTCCAGGGCATTCAGGCCAACGAAATGGCAACTTGCGCGCTAAGCCAGGCTACAAGTGAGACCAAAGTAGTGACCTGGATGAATTCTGTAGGCTACGTGCTTGCTGTTCCCACCTTTATCACATTTAACATTGACCATATGCCTTTTGTAGATGCTGACCCCCATTTTGCAAATGTTCAACGGCGTCATAAACAATGACGCGGAGGGCAAATTGGGTGAAAGTTCCTCGTCAACGGGTGGGTTCATCGAATTCATATACATGGTGCTGGAGGCTTGCGTGGTGGTCGTCATCGAGTGCAAATATAACACGTATACTCAGGATGACGTCGCTCAAATGATGGTGGAATTGGAAGGTATGGATGGCCCTTCTTTCACGTTTGAGAGTCGTTGGATTCTGACTCTCGCCATCGTCACTTGCAGCCGCGTGGCACAATAATGTAATGCAGCAACTGGGCACCCCAATCCTCACTGGTGCCCTGTGCAGCAGAGACATCTGGCAGTACTGGCGTTACGATGGTACCAATTTCCAACAATCTACCAACTTCTTGATACGACACCATGATCCGCTGGCGGACGCGAAAGAACTCGTGAAGATGTTTGGCATTTTTTACGATATGTTTTTCGACGGCTATATCCGGTCGCTGAAAGGTTTTATATCGAAAAGCGAGAAGGTATGCGGTCGTTTACTTCACCCATCTCGTCATAAGCTTACTCAACACCCGGAATGGCATCCTTTCAGACAGGCGGACCCGGAGCCAGAAGGCCCAGTTACGAGAAATGGAAAACGTCACTGTCGCTGGCGGAGCAGGCATATAAGGCAGCGCAGGAAGCCACTTCATCTGCTGAGTTCGACAACGTCACGTCCATCATGCGAAGAAGGTCAGCGCGGTGTCCGACTTTTCTCTACTGAATTGCGATTAAATTTTTCCATTCAGTTTCAGGGAACTGCCGGAGGAGCACTCCAGGAATCTGGTTGACTGGGTGGGGATGGTAGATGAGATTTATGATGAGTTGTAGTTGAAGCGGAAAGAGCACCCAGTCGGAGTGCAGTCGGAGGATGAGGCTATCCTCCGTGAGGTGTCATCATCTCTCAATGATTGCATGATGATGACCTACAAGAGCTTCCGTCACCTTTGCCCAAGCCGTCGCAAATTTCGTCGCGCCCTGCTAGGAGGGAGCATCCGGCCTGAGCATGAGGCTCACCATCGATAGGGAGATCGTTACATCTGACGATTGCTGGAAAACAAGACGGCATGGCCGAGCGGGAATCTGACCGCGTCGCAGTTCCACTGCCTGAATCAAGTTCTGACCGGATGTCACTATAGAGAGCTTGCGACATGCAGGGCCATCCGGGTATATCTTGTTGGACGATGTTGAACATGACAGAGGCTCAGATTTCAAAGTTTGCCACTGGATATCGTTCATCGATAAGAAAATAGCGCACGCTTCTACGATGGAAGGATTGTTGCGCAGAGATGGATGTTCATCAAAACTACAAAAGTGTAGAATTGAAGAACGTAGGATTCACTATAGGTCGACAGAGACATAACTTGCCTAATGTACAGTTTATCTACGCCCCTGCCATCCCTTATGCAGAGGGAAATGTCACATCCCCCTTCAACAGTGTAAACTAAACCATCGTTCCAAATTGGCGGGTACATTGGTACAACGTACATCTCCCACAAGGAATCACCACGGACACGATGTCGGGAGATCTCGCGGTACGTTCGACAACTGAGTGTGCATCGTCACTTCCCTTCCCCGGTTTCCCCTCCTCTCCCTCTCATCCTCAGATGATGATGATGACACGAGACTCCGTGATCGCCGCCGACGACGCGACGACGTGGTATCCCGCTCTCGATCTCGTTTGCCATTACTCTCCTTCTTCTCTTTCTTTGCTTTCTTCTCCTTTTTTTCCTTTCTCCTCTTTCGATCCTCTTTTTTCTCGTCCCTATCCAGCTCCCTACCCGGCCGATCTCGAGACGACGCAGCCGTACGGGAAGACTCATCGCCACCGCGTGGCTTCCGCGCGAGCTCCTCCAACCGCTCCACATAATGCACCAGACTCGCATCGTCGTAGTTGTCCAGATCCAAGGCCGGGTCATAACCGTCGTCAAAGAATTTGTCGAGACGGGAGGACCCGATGGCGCCGCGGCCGCGTTTGATGCGCTGATTGGGTAGTGCTGGGGAGGTCGTAGTAGTGGTTGGGTCTGCTGATTGTCGTCGTGATAGGGCGGTTGTGGGTGATGTGGGGGATGTACCTGGGTGTGTGGATCTAATTCGACCGCTTTCCGCCCCGGCACTGCTTGCGCTGCTGCTTCGGCGTGGTCGTGTCCGAGCGTCGTACTCCGGATGGCTTCCGAGGTGACGATCTCGTGTATCCGTCCGCCGTGCTCGTCTACGCGTTGACGACACGTCCCTCATACCCCCTCTCGCATCATCCGACATGTCCGCAGAGCCCTTCCGCCGCCGTGTATGTCGTGAGCGCCGGCCATCAGAACACGTAGAGTCGTCCGAAGCAGATTCAGACCCCTCCCTCCGTCGCCGCCGTCGCGGGGAAGACCGTCCACTCCGCTCGTCCCTCGATCGGCGTGACGGGCTTCTGCTCCCCGAGTCCGATCGTGAACGAGATTTAGACCGAGACCCTCGCCGCCGTGGTCTTTTCCGCCGATGCTCCTCAAACCGCTGCTGGGCCTCTTCGCGTTCTTTCCGCAGGAGCGCATCGTTGTGCGCGTCCGTGCTTTTGATGACGTTCGCTAGGAAGCGTTTGTTCGGTTTAGGGAGACTGTGTTGGAGAAAAGTTGGGGCCGGCCGTCAGCTTGTTGATCATACATCAAACCATCGCCCCAGCCCGATTTTCCCATACCAATGTAAAGGAAAACTGACCAAAAGGACTGTCACCGGCCCCGGGCGGATATGCAACTTGCCTTTTCGCCGGCAAGAACGCACTATTGCCGTCGTGCTCATAGCGCTTCTTTGCAGCCGCGGTTTCTTCGAGTATCTTCGCTGCAATGTAGCGTTGTAAGTCGTCGTCGGGGACGATGGAGGGGACCCCTCCGACAGCTGCTCGCATAAGATCTGATACGACCGAGTTGAGAACTGAAGGTGAACTTGGAGGTGGGGTGGGTCGTTGCCGAGACCCGCTGCTGGTTATGGTAACGGATCGCTTCTGCTGGTTGAGCGACGACCTACCGCCCTGCCCCCTGTCGCCCATCGTTGCGGTGGGTGATGCCTGCGGTTTACTGTTTCTGTATTGTGATGTTTTGCGAATGTACTGTACGTACCAATTCCATTTGACACGGACGCGGGCCATTTCCAACTTTTTCCCAGGAGCTCTCAGACAGGAGCTTCCCCGCATCAAAACTCACGAAACATCCTTTTCTCGCAGCCTCAGCAAGCACAGCGCTTCTCGAGCCGACTCCTCTTTCGGCGCTCACGGGACACGGCGGGCAACGTACGGAATAGCTGCATACATAGAGCACAGTACAGCGCACGGTTGACACCTTTCAGCCCTACCCCATTTTTCCAAGGAATCGCCAGCTCCGGGACGACCACTCAAATCTGCATTTGCGTACTCAAGAATGTCGGAACTCGTCAGCACGACGTCTTTGCTCTGCTCTTCTACTGCCACCGGGATCGGTAGCCACGTATCACGGATGCGCATTCCACTGGAGATATTTCGGGTGATTCTATCCTACTGCGACGGGAAGACTCGACTCGCCCTGCTCACGGCTTCTAAGCCGTGCTTCTTCGGGACGTCTACAAGCATGTCAGTGTTACCTCGGAGTGTGAAGCACGCCGGAACGACAGTTTCACTGCTCTGTGCCGGACGCTCGACCAGGAACCGGCCCGCTGTGCTTGGATCAAGACGTTGCAGGTAGCCTTCGACTATTCGGACCCCGTTGCGAGAGATGAGGGAGACCAGGAAGACCAGGGGGATGTGGACGATGAGGAAGACCGGGAGAAGGTGTGGCATGATAAACTTACCCAATTTGAACGTCTTTTCGATACCTGTCATGTGGAAGCTGTGAAACCGCTTTTTTGTTGGACGACGCCTGGATACGAAAATGACGAAGGCTTCATAAGTTATGCCAACGGGCATTTTCACGTCCGCCGCTGCGTATATATGTGCAGCGGCACCACATACAAAATCCTTCCCGCCATCTGGGCGCGATATGTAACGAAAATCACCAGCCTGACCCTCTCGGGTCCTTACGACCCGCCACAAAAACTGGATCCACCTCGGCGAAAATCCAGGAAACTGCAGACAGTTCTTGACGAACACATGCTCAACGATATAGGATCTCTCGCCGATGCCCTATTGAAGACTGTCCGTCTAGTGATAGGCCCCGACGTCGCTTCCTCGACGGACGAGGTGGACCCAAATACATCTCAACGCTCCCCAGTACCATCGAAAGACTTATCATCATCATACCGGGTCTCTTGTCCAACTCGCTCATCATACATAATTCCTTGCCCAACCCGCTCTTCCCGCAATGGCGCACCAAGAAGAACAATCGAAAGCTGATCTACTACGTCTCAAAACGAAGGTTCTGTATGGAGAATTGCAGGGCTCTGGTTCGGGCTGGGTATGAAGGCGGCGGCACGGTACTGTTTCGAGATCTCGCGGAGTGCCCGGATTTGTTTCTCCCGGAACCGGATAGCTCTAGGTGGTGGTGATGTGAAGCGACAAGCGGCGTAGATGAGAAATGCGGATGGAGGGGTCTTGACCTGGTAGATGGCGAGGACGTAGTCATCTCTGAATCATCATGAGTCGCATTCGACAGAATAGAACATAAATGGGAGCAGTATGTGCCGTACAACGGGTTCCTGTGTACCCGAGGGATGGTGATATTATACGTAAAAGGAACAACTCTCATGCAAATGAAAAATGAGACACATACAGAATCATCTTGATTCCGTCTACATGAAATACATACTCGAATGCATACATCGACCCTCCCTATCAGGGGTTGCGACTGTGCGCTTCCGGATGGGACGTGAAGTGTGGGTGGATGCTACGTGCGGGCTATAAATTCTATATAGTTCTATGGGCTCATGATCGACCTCGGTGGCTCGTCACACCACATCCCATCACATCCCAGGCATGACCTCTTCAGGATGAGAGGACAGGCGATGATTGAGCGACAAGGTAGAAGCCACCACGTGCAGTGTCTTGCTACCCGCTGCATGATATGCTACGTGGGGTTTCAGGACATGGGACCTATTCAGCCCGAGGCACTTTCGTCTTTGCCGCGTCGGTATCTTCTGCTGGAGCTTTATCTCCCTCGTCGGCGTCACGTTTTCTCTTGACTTTACGAATATGCGAGATAGGGGAAAGATGAATAGAGGGAGGGAGGGGTGTCAGCGAGGAATTTCCCACTGGTGGCCGAGGGTGTGGGAAAGCTTACCGTTCGCAGCTGGATTGTGGTTGGCGGGCTTCACCTGTCCGGTCGTATGTTTGGATTTACCGGCTCTTGCCTAACGTACGCACGGCCCCCAGATCAGTTAAGCGCACGACACATCCATCTATCCAAGAGCCGGTGACAACATACCAACGGGCCCCAATTCTTGGTCGGATTCTCCTGATACCTCACCAGCTTCACCTTCCTACTCGGCGGGTTCGCTTTCGGATGCATCTCAAAGCTTACACTCCCTCCCTGCGCCGCCAAAATCGTCCTCCCAGCCGCGTCTTTCGCGAGACTATCCATCTTCACAGGATGGTTCTCCACGAATTTCCGGAGCACGTCCCAGACGGCCCGGCCGGGGGCGTTGGTTTTGAAGCAGTTGGTGGAGCAGTGAGTTAGTGAGACGGAGTAGCGCATGTTCAGGAGGGCCGATCTGGGTGGGGGAGGGTGAGGTGGGTTAGAGGGGGGGTGAAGAATGGGGTGGGGCGAAGAGAGCTTACAGGATGTCGAGAAGTCGGGGAGATGTGGAGCGTACGACTGAGGCGAGGACGGAGACTTCGTAGTAGAACGGTAGTGGGAGTTCCTGTTGTCATGAAGGAACATTAGCGCTCTGTTTCCCATACCGCTTGCTCATAGAAACGACATGACGGGGATGATGCGTTACCTCCGACGCGACGGTGAGCATCCCCAGCATGCGCGGCTTGGTCCCGTACTTCGCGTCTGGCGCGGACTGCACCTCTTTCAGCATACGAAGTAGAAATTCGCGGTTGTGGAGGGGGCCGTTGTAGAACGGGCCACCAATCTGAGGGCACAATGAGTGATAGAGTTAACAGAATGGGCGACTAATAGTAGGGCGGTAGAAATCATTGTAACGTACATGGAACCGCTTCCCACAATGCTCGCAATGGCTACCAACATTGGGACCCACAACGGGCCCGACCTTTCGCCCGTCCCCATTCTCAGCCGATTTGCCGATGGGCTGGGTAACGAAATCCTTGCAGCCAGTGCAGTGAAACACCATCGACGTCTTCCCAGCAGCCCGCTTAACCATCTGCGCCGACGTATAGACCCTCACAAACACCCTCACATAGAAATCGATACTGAAGCACGCCAGCGGCTCGATGTATCGCTTGTACCGCACCGCCGACGACTGAATGGTATGCAACAAGATCCGCAGGGCCATTTCATGGCAGTACGGCGAGTTCGGGACCGGCATGCCGCCATATTTCCCCCAACATGCGTCTGGCTGGCTGCCTGCCAATACCGCCAGATCCGTGCATGTGATACACAGCAACCCGCCTTCGGACACCGCTTGAACGGCCGTGTCTAGGAACGGGGCGGCGGTGCCGTACGGGTCCAAGTCAATAACGTCGTATTTCGTTCCGGCGCCTATCGCCTGGTACATGACTGCCGTAGCGTCGCCTTTGTTGGGGATGACAATATCCTCGACGCCGTTGGCTTTCACGTTTTTGGTGATGGCTGCGACAGCGTCTTCGAGGAGGTCGTTCGCGATGATGGATTTGATCTGTGGGATTGATTTGGCGTAGCGGATGGAGCGGAGACCTGTTGCAGAGAGTGCTTCGAGGATTGTGAATTTTTGGTCTTTGTATGCGGGGGATTCCATGTCCGGATCTTCTAATGTGTTAGGGTCGATCTCTTTGAATGTGTCCATGTAGGACATTTTGACGGGTGGGTAGGGCGTGTCCGGCTGATCTGCGGCTGTTGCTACTGATTCCCGATGTTTGTGAGCCTTCATCACGTATCCTGCACGTATCCTCCTCGTATTCTCTCATACCTGCTGCAGGCTCAGCCTCTGGCGGAACCACTTTCTTCCTCGGCTTCTTCTCGCTCGCCGCCGCCTGCTCCACAAAAAACAACTTGCTCCAAGTCGTGATGGCTGCCGTAGACTGTGTGACCACCTCAAACGCTCAGCGGTTCTCGCACTCCTAAACCCGCTCTTCGCTGCGCTCTCCTCTTCCAACCCACCATATCCCTATTGAATTCCTGCACCGGGTTGTAGAAAACGGAGTTGTCTGACGGAAACTCGATCTTGGCCGCCCCTGCGCTGATAGCTTTAATACATATGTTCACAGAGGGGTCTTCCGCGACATGCCCTCGTTGTTTGACAATACCTTCGGTAATGTAGACCTGGCCGTCGGGACCGTAGGATTTCCATTTTGGAAGCGCCGACTCGTCGACGGGGGCCTTCCCGTTGTTCTTCTTCTGCTGCTCTGTATCCGCTGGCATACTGTGTGTGTGCCTGTCTGAGTGTAGTTGTTTCGCCCGAAAGCAAGGGGCAGTTCTGCTATGGCGTTGGCCTTCGAATTTGGCGAGAGGAAAAAGAACAACCTCGCGTGCGCCTGTCCTCAAACGCGTCCACTCGTGAACTTGAAGAACAGAAGGCGAAGGACCTCAGCCAGAGCGTACAGTATATCCACCCCACGCACAACAAAAGAACGTAGCTGCGGTGGCAAACTCATCGCCTCACTCGGAATATGTATTACCGGCCCAATGGTCAAGAGCGCCGTGTCGTAGGGAGGAGAGGACTCATATCCCAAGTCCTATGGCCCAATGGTTTCCAAGACGGTCGTATGTACAAATACGTTTTTTTCATTCACCGTACGTAGCTATGTATATGGAGATTAATTTAAGTTATATACATAAGCCGGTTCCCTGGGGTTCACAGACGACGCCGCCAACCCCGCCGTAATCGCCGCAACCTGCCCTTCACCCGTCGCCTTATTCGCGGGATTCATGCTTCTACTCCCGCCAGCGACGGTCTTGCCAGCCGCCATCCCCTGTTGCACCCAAGCGGGTATAACAAGCGGCGGTTGGGTGGGCGTCGGCGCCGTGGCGGGCAGGAAGTTGCCGGCGCAGACGAGAGGCACGCCAACGGTATCCCTCCGAACCGTCACGCTATACGCGCACTTCACCGATTTCTCCACCTCATTCCTGTGATTCGCACGTTTCCTCAACGTACAAGTCCCCATCCACGCCTTCTCCTCCCCATCAAACGCAACCCTCCCAAACCGTTCCCAATACCCCACCCCGGAATCCTCATTCATCAGCTCATAAACGCACACCATCCCGTTCACCAACAACCTCAAATCCAGTCCAACAAGCTCCGCAAACGCTTGGTTGGCACGCACAATCTCGCCTGTCCTACGCCAGATAGCCGCAGGGATCCCGGTGATTCCAAACATGACGTCGTAATCCAACAACAGTCGTTCGAAAGTGTCTTCGTGGTGTAACAGCTCGGTGTCGGTGACGTTTCGCGCGAGGTGGGCGAGGCCGGTTTGAAAGGAGGCGACGACGTTGAGGATGCGTTGGCGGGATGTGGAGGAGCATTGGGTTGTCAGGTGGTGCCCGAGGCGGGCGTAGCCGGAGCTGTAGTCGTAGGGTGTGAGGAGGCCTGCTTTGCGTTTCGCGGAGAGGATGTGGGTGAGGCGGTCGGCGGTGGTTGTTGTGGTTGTTGGGGAGGTGGAGGGGGGCTGGTCGCCGGCGGCGGTGAGGTAGAAGCGTTCGAGGAGGGTGAAGGGGCAGGAGTTGCAGCGGGATTTATTTTCGCCTTCTTTTGTGCAGGTGTGGAGGGCGGTGGAGGTGTAGTTGCTGTTGCCTTTTGTCTGGCTGTTGGTCGCGTTGTTCGATTGGTTTTCGCTCTCCTCCGTGGCCGTGGCGTGGTTGACGGTTGCCCAAAGGTCGGCCAGCGCGGCGTACTCCGATCCGACGGACGTGCTGGCAAACAGGGATTCGGGTTTCTGGAGTTGCACAGGGAGCATTGTTTGGAAATCGGCGCATTCGGTCGGCATCGGTTGCGGTAGCGGAACCGAGGGATGCCGCTTTTCTTGCTCTCCAGGTTGAGATCGCATCGTTTGCTGCGGTTGGAAAGCAGTGTCGATATTCGACGAAGGAGAATGGGGATGTACATGCGGCGACATTGAATGCTTCACGGCGAAAACAGGCGACGACGCAGCACTTTTATCGACAGTAAACGCGCTCATAGGTCGATCGCCCATATGCATCGTCGCCGGAGTTTGCGCAGAGGGATACGGCACAGTGCTCGATTGCGGTGCGAATGCCAAGAGTTCTGAGGGAAGGAAGGAATGCGATGGTCCAGAAGTCCGCCTGCGCTGTGCAGTTGGTTGTGGTGCCGGACTGGCGGAATGTCGAACACCCTGCATCGAATCCTGGTGCACTGACGTAGGCGTTGACGCGAGATCCGATTTGATCTCCAGCATCGGGCTATGCGTCTGCGACGGTGAGGCCACGCCCGGGCTTTGAGCGGACGTTGGTCGAGTCTTGGGAGAGACGGATTGGGCGGGTGAGCAAGGACTGAGGGTCGCGGTCAACATGCTCATGTAGGATGCGTCCGGGTATACGACATTGGGGAAGGGTGCGGATGTATTTACGTTCTGAGATGGTGATGTAGGATGTGGAGTTGGGGCGGTTATCGATGCATTGCCGATTTGCGGATCAGATTGGTTTGACCCGGTGTTCTGAATCGCACTCGCACTCGCATTTGCGTTTGCGTTCGCATTCGCAGTGAGCATGTTGAGGAAGGAGACCTGTTGCGCGAGCGACATCTGCGGTGGCAGCGGGAGAGTAAACGGCTGCAGCATTTGCCCAGAAGTCGCCGGCAGCGGCACTATCTGGTCTCCGTCCTTCATGGGTGCGGGAAGGATAGGTACCGGTCCAGCGGATGTGATGACGGGCTTGGGGATCACAGGCTGCCGTGGTGCGTCCAAGCACATGTGAGCCATTCCCCTTCTGACGCATCGCCGACATGGCCGGACTTCGTCACACGACATGTGGGCTTTCCGGCAATGTATGCATGCTTGACATACTTTCCGCCGCTTGTTCTCCCTATCCCCGTTCCTATTCCGCTTCCCCGGCTTCACTGTCCCTCGTTGCTGCGGTTGTGGCGCCCCTGAAGCTCCAGACGGTCCTGCGTTCGGGTGGGATGGCTGGCCTGTCCCTGTGGAAGGTCCTGCTGGGGCCGAAAATGGTGGCGTCTCCTCCCTATTGACCGGACACCCCTCGACCGTCTTCCTCGCTGCATCGAGCTTCCTCCGCAGAGCAGCTGTTTTCGTCTTTACGTTCGCCAATCCCGTTTGTTGCGACTGGTGTACAGTCACCTGGTAAGGATCCACAAACTGCGTGCCGCCCACCAAACTCTGCTGTGCTGAATCTGCATTCGCCACGGCCGAAAGCTCTTCGTCCAGCTCCACCATCACAGGTTCATCTGCCCCAATCCCCATAAACGGCCCCACATCGAATCGTCCCACATCCACCAGGTCATTGAAGAGCGAGTCGATATCTTCGATTTCGGCCATGCCCCCAAACGAAGGCATGTGGCCTGCTGCAAAGTCATGTTGCTGTGCGAGGTAGTTGGAGGCAACTTGCGAAGGTGGTGCTGACCCACGATCGTTTTCGTATGACAGGAACAAGGGTTGTGGGAATGCTTTCCCGAAAGGGTTGGGGCTCTCGTTCGGCTGCCCCATCCCTTATGTGGGCGCGAGAACCTATATCCGACCGTCTCCCAAACAATCCCCTTTCCCTGTTCTTTCTCGTCTGTCGTCCAACTTCCCCTGTAGTGCTTTGCTGTTTGCTCGTTCGTAGACTTCAACGTACTCCCAGCTGCCTCAGGGACTGTGATTTCGGGACCGATACAGTCACCTGCGGTGAGGCTCAGGCGAGTCGAGACGAAAAGAATTTCCAGCTTCCGGCGAAAGGCGTGTTGAGAAGTTGAGTGGAAGACTCCGGAGTCCAACTTTGCCGTTGAGATCAGAAAGGGCAGTGAGGCAAGTGGCTTCAATTGGCTGAACCGACGCTGAGCCGCTACGGCCTTCTAGAATGCGACACAAAGTCAGGGGAAGTTGTAAGTGGCCTGGTTCCTGCCCACCAGAAAACTTCTGTGTTGGCCGTCGTTGTGAAGAGCCACTCCTGTGAGAGTCCCTGGTCAATGTTTTCCCAGCGCAATGTTGGTAGAAAAATGGAACAAACGCTAAGCAGACGTCGATTCCATATTCCGGTTTACATGATTAGACCGATTTGAGATGGAAAATGAGTGATGGCTAAACTAGCGGCTAAGTAAAACGCGCAAAATGGAAGCCGGTGGGTGCTATGTGGATGAACTGTGGGCGCTTATTGGATCTCCACTTTTGTGAATCCTCCTTCGTCGCGCTCTGATTCGCTGGGCCCTTCCGAACCTTAAAACGCAAATATGTTTAGAAGGTGCTACCATGTGATGTGGACTACCTTCTGTTGGAAGCCGTATTCTGACCGTTTCACGGGTGCCTTGCATTGCTTCAACTCCGAACTTTTTGGACCGCTTCAAAGTAACAAGGCTCTTGGCGGACAGGAAGTCTGTGCCATGGTCGACTAAGTACGGTATACGATAGTATATGATATCGCAACGTGATAAGCTGGTGAGGTACTTTCGTCCTTTCAGAGCCAAACTTTTGTTGGATCCCACGAAAATTGAAGAACATCCGACTGCACATCATCGTTTCTTGGCTGTTTTTGCAGGTTCCGATAGCCCACGCGGTTGTAACGGGAGTTGCACCCAACGGCCCAAGTGCATTTACGCTTGTGTGTTGAGCGGCGGCATCCATAATTCAAGGGATGTGCTTTGTCGGGACCGGTAGGGGGGAGAAGTGTCGATTCCTGTCAGAAAGTGGCGCACCAGGGGTATCTGGATGTTCCTCGATCTACCTCCTATCAGACCTTGTATGGTGTGGAATGAGAACTAATAAACATGTGGTTATGAGGGAATCATTAGTGTACGGGTGGAGATGTAAGTTCACCAGAGCTTCACCAGACACCAGTCAGGTTGGCGACGAAAAAAGCAAACACCGTCGGAGAGAAGAAGGATGTAACCCACGTACTGTACATATCGATATTATTGATTGAAGCTATAGTTGTTGAACTCGCCTCGTTAGCAATTTCCAGGGTTAATCACCCACATGTCAGCGATGTTGTTCGTCAGGCCAGGGTGTGCAGATGCCGCGCTGTGCAGTGTGCACTATGCAGGTGTCCTCCAATACGCAGGTGGCCGTCCAGGCGAGGGTCATTGAAGGAATCACGAGCCTGCGCCAGAGATGTACAGTATGTTCGTAGATTGCCATGCCTCATCAGGCACCGGTCAGGATCAGCGACGTAAAAGCTCGAGGAAAAGACGAGCCTACGTAGCAGCTTGCAAGGTGGTTTCAAGTCGCATTCGGTGCGATATCCCAGGAACCGGATGTCGCACGTTCGATGGCTATTGGCACCTCGAGTCGCAATCCAGCTCTGCAAGGATTGAGCAGTATCCTCGGCTTAATTCCTGAAATGCGCCTCCATGTTCTCGACATAAAAAGGCGTGCGGCAGATGTATCCTGATCAGAATCCCAACGGAAATCGACGAAGCTGTGGCGAGGTATTGCGATGTTTCCCAAAGGTTTCACAAGAATACATCTTTGCAGCGCAGCAGGAAATTATGTACATACATTAGGACGATCTTCTCATGTTCCTGGGAGCTTTCCAACGATGACGTCCACAAATTGACCCAGGATCGCAATTTACTGTACCAGCGTCCGATTCGGCCTGCAACGTCCATGGTTTGGGAACGCATGCGAACTTGCGAACGCGATATGGATAGCATTCCCGGGCGTGAAGTGAAGTCGCTAGATTCATGAACCCTTGGGAACGCGTTCTTTGAGCACGTCCACCTTGTAGACTTTGTCCAACCGGCCACAACTCCCCAAGCCTCGCAATTCGGTGATCGGTTACATGGGTTACTCCTACCAAGTACCGTCCAAGCGTACATTAATCGGTAAAACGTGAACAAAGAGCGGTACCGGTCGAAATCGTGATGTTGAAGATAGAAGAACGCCCAGCCACGACGCAGCGCGTCTGTTTTCGGTATTGCGGGCTGCTTCCCCTGGCGCGACGCGCACACATACGGCGAGCCGTAAGTCAATTTGGGCCCCGCAATCGCTCACCTCGTCATTGTTGCAGACTCCGTCGGATACAAGGCCCCTGGCGACGCCCAATTTTGAGCGCTGCAGCCGGAATGATATAAAACCCCAGGAATTTGCTGGCCCAAATCCAATATGAGGTTGGCGCTGTTCCGCGCGTTGGCTCGCAATAAGTTGTACGATTTTGCTATTCCCAACTCGGCCGCCCGCGTGCCGAGGTGTGTAGGTTTGTTATTTATCGCATTTACTTTGGGCTGCCAATAATGGCCGGAGGTAGTATTACGGTGTGGGGTCGCTTCGGGGATATCGCTGGGGAAAGCCGAGCGACAGCCGCTGGGGACAAGCACGAGCGGCTGGCCCAAAACCACGAAACAAGGTTGCAAAAAGGTTTTTGGGGTGACCCTATAACAACGTCCTACGTCGAGCATGCGCGCGCAGAATACCCTTTCCCACCTTCTATTCTAAGATCGTGGGTGAAGTGTTTCCCAGCTCCTTAGAGGCCCTTTTCCCCCCAAAGCCGTCGCGTCGGGGCACAGTAAAGAAACACGGTCCATAGGGCGCGGTTCAGGTGAGTAGTTTTTTCCCCACGCTCAGCTAACAACTTACATCCTGCGAACATGGAGGGTTAACGCTGGACTCAGAGCGGGCGACGACGAGCTTGAGGATGTCTTTGATGGACGTGGAAGGCCGGGCGCGGACGAGGATGGCCATGCTCAGCATTATAGCTATGTACGCGTGGGAACATGGGGAACCCCATTCTCCGACGATGCCGATGTCGTCCTCGCTATAACCTCGCCGGCACGGCATGGGTCGCGGATTCCATATCATCTGCTTATGAGGAAACACGCACTAATCGGATTCTACTCATATTCAAACATAGGCACCATACTCGGAAACCTGTGTGTGGCCGACGTGCACCCCCTTCCGTCCCTTCCCGCCCCCCAGCCCGACATGCGAAGAAGCGTCGCTCAGCAAGAGGAAAACCAGAGTGTATATAATCTTGTAGAGCAACGTGGTCGACTATACCGTCGTCCATCACATTACCTTCCGCGTGCGGCCGACTCCGTTCTTCCAGAGCGTAAGAGGAAGGCCTTCCCGGAAATCCATATCGACGGGAGAAACGATCATCATGAAGCGGACGTACGCTACATATGCTTACGATGACGAGCGAGGGTATCCTTATGATCCTTCGGTCGATCGGGCTGATCCCAACGCACCGTCCACGAACCTCCGAATGGAGCGATTACCCGCCTCGAACGAGAAGAAATACTACGGGAGTACAGACCCCCGTCTTTTAGGATTAGGTCAGACCGGCGACCATGGAGGCCACGGCCAAGGATCATCATCTCAAGCATACCTTCATCATCCACATACCCACCCGCTCCCCATCTCTGATCCACTTCCCTCGCATCAACTTCCATATCCGTATCAGGAGCACTCCACGCAAGTTTTACGCTCGCAGAATGAGCTATCGCCGATACAATCGCGCAATCTCAAGTTTGCAGACCCCCGGGACAGCGGAGAGTCGGAGTTCCCGTCGCGCACAGGATATCGTGCAGACAGGCCTCCCAACTTCTACGAGTTGCCTAACCGACCGATGACTCGCATACCTCCCCTCATGTCGCAAAATTATACTCACAATGATGATGGCGGCTTCCCTTCGTTGGAGGGCCAGCGCTCGCCTGGGCATAACAGCACATCATTGTCCACCCTACCGGTACCATCTTTGCGATCGAATCATCAGTCTCTTTCCACATCACCGCGGCAAAACGCTCGCAAAAGGGCGAGGAGTCCCGATCCTTCGGAGCTCACGCACGCGGCCCGGCAACCAACGTCGCCGCCAATGAAAAAGGAGACAGATCTGGGAGTTCCACCATTGCATGAGTTGATGAGCACCGGCCGCATAGGCGACATCGACGACCAGCCGCCGTATCAGTATGGTTTTCGCAGACAACCCCAAAGGTTTCCGGCCCCTTCGTGGCAAAAACCTGATCCACCAGACCCAACTCTGGCGATATCATATGAGTTCCAGAACCCAAACTATACCGAGCAACCGGTCGGCTACTCACCGTATTCGGAAGCTTACCCTCACCACCCGCTTCCACCCATCGCACCCGGGGAGAATGACATGCTGAGGTCGACCCACTCATCAGCACCATACGACGAGGATTGGCCAGATTATGAAAGCGTTTCCGAGCAACGAGTGCAGCCATATCTTTCTCTGCCGGGGCGGCGGTATTCTTCGCAGGGGAGCAGTAGTACTCACAGCGTCCCAAAGCCGGATGAGCGCGGGCCAATGTCGTCGTTACTGAGCGGCCCTCCAGGAGATCTGGATATGACCCGGCGGCTCAACTATGCTATGTCACGGGCAGAGTCCTTCCCGACGTACCGACCTACCTCCTCCATCAACTCAATATTGGAAGGCTCACATCACCCGGTCGAGCCCGAATTCTTTGCGCCTTCGGCCGAACGACATCGGACCGTCCTTCCATTGCAACTAAGTGGCGCCAGTGGGAGCCTCTACGGTTCCAACGATCCACTCGGCGCGTCGTTCTCGGAGGATATCGGCGATCTGAATGACCATGCCAGTACCGGCTATTTAAATCCCTCTCAACTGACGTCGTTACCGCGATCCCGACGACCAACGACACTTCACAATCCAGCACCCTACCACACGTATGCGGGAGCAGCCTTCCCGCCCACCCTGCGCCCACCGTTCCCGCCGGGCAAACATCCATCACTCTCCCTAAACCGTATCTTCGGTCCCACGATTCCAGAACCTTGCTCCTCTTCAGGGTACGTGCATTACGATCAGGCGTTATCTGCCGACGCAAACTATGCCCGTCGTCCCACCCAGAGCTTCAACCCCTACGTCTCCTCCCTCAGACACAGCGCAGGCCCCATCTCCGCCGTCTCCTCCAACCCGCCACCACCAGGGCCCTCAGCGATCCACCACGCGCTAAGCGGACCGCCCAACATCCCATCCTCTCTCGGCTCCGGTGTCTTCCCGCACGTCCCCCTCTTCGACAACGACTCCCACTCGCAGCCGCTCAACCCGGCCGACGAAAGCTTCAAAAACCGTATCATCCGGCATAAATTCGAGGACAGAGACGGTGCGCTGGATTTCCTAAAAGAGCAGGCGCGCATGGCGGGGTTCAACGTCCTTGTGCGCACGTCGAGATCGGATTACGTTGTGATCATATGCAGCTGTGGGCGCAGGTCGCGACCGAAGCCGCAGACGGAGGAACAGCAGGCTGCAGCCGCGCAGCAGCAGCAGCGGGAGGAGGAGGAGGAGCCGCCGAGGAAGAAACGGAAGAAGAAGGAGAAGGCGGCTGTTACGGGTTGCGAGTGGCATATTATATTGTTTAGACGATTGCCGCAAAAGTAAGTTTACTCAGCTTCTCTATTGGTATTCCCGGGCCTACCCCGGCGCAGAGACCCAAGAATACTGACACCATCTTTCACCTCTTCCGTACCTCCCAGCAACCAAACACCCCGGATGTGGGAATACCGCGCCAGCAGCAAAATGGGCCACAACCACCCCCTTACCCTCGACGAACCGTGAAACCAACCCCAGCACCGCTCCCCAGCGCCCATCGCAAAACATTCCACCCCAGTTTGACAATTCCCCATCCCCCCTTTTTGAGCCTCCAAATATACCACCACCCACCACCCATAACGCTAATTTGTAAATTCTCGCACCTTACCTTTATCCTTAATCGGCGTATGTGGCTTTTTAGCTAGATAACCCCTCAACCATCCCTCAACCATCCCTCATGTCCCCTGATTTGCTTACATCGACACCGTGACCCTCCCTCCCCGATCTCTCCATCAACTCCGCTCCCAACTCCGGTCGGCTTGTATATAGAAACGTTGGCCGGGCGCTTTCTTCGAGGACTTTTGAGACCCATTCACCGGTGGAATGTATGGTGGAATGTATGGTGCAATGAGTATATTCAATCAACGGACCTGAAATACACTCCCCTCTCACCTTTCCCAATCACTCGACGGCGACCGCGAACGATAACGCCAGGAGAATGATGGAGGCGCTGATGTCGGCCGCAGTTCTCACAAGACGTTGAGAGCGACGGGATGGCATAGCTTGGTATTATCATGAATGTGTAGAATCTCAGGGCATGTGAATAGAAGGCAAAACTCGACCCGAAACGGTCTCGGAACGGGCGCTGTCAACAGCAGACGCGTTACGCGTTGGACTGGTCTGTTCTCCGCTTAACAGCTTGTTGGTTGTCCACCACGGGACGGTAGTTTCCAAGGAAAGGCTGGATCGGGCACACAGTCCACCCAAACAAACCCACCCACACCACCACCGTCACCACTCGCACCCACCCCTGCCGAAAATATGCCAACCGAAGACCCCCCCACCGACGCCTCCCGCGCCCACTCCGCAACAACGGACTCCGCCCCACCCACCCGCGCCCCGACCGGCCACACCAAACCCTCCAGCTCCCGCAACAACCTCGCCATGTCGCGCGCAGGCAGCCGGATGAATCTCTCGGAACCGCGCGGAGCAGGAGGCGCCCCGCAGAGCGCACGCACGGTCGCGGATGCGCCTGTGAACGCGGTGGTGTTTGAGAACACGTTTAAGTTGAAGCCGGATCGGAAGTGCGTAATGGGGCAAATTTTGAGGGGGGGAGGGGAAGCATGTATGTGCGGGGGTCATTATTGATTGTTTTTGAGGCAGGTTTCAGAGCGAGACGGTCCGCCGCATCGCGGAGGAGATCCTGCACCGCAACTTGACGAAACAGAAGTACGAAGGCGGGAAGTCGCCCATACTTGCGCAGAGTATTTCAAACGAGATTCTGGGGGCGGTTAAGAGTACGTTTTTCAAAAGTCAAGTCGGAGGTGTTTTGGAGGTGTGAATCATTCGCTCATTCTGATTGTCTGTTTGTTTTTTTGTGACAGAACTGGACTATGAGCGCTACAAAATCGTGGTGGACGTAACCATCGGCGAGTTTAAAGGACAGGGGATCAGGGTTGCCTCGCGCGCGGTGTGGGATACAACGACGGACTCGTATGCTTCGGCGTCATTCAAGAACGTATGTACCTGGGTGTTTTTTGGAACGGTGCCCTTTCAAATGGGAAAATGGCTGATGGGCTGTCATGGTTGATTCTTTAGGCGACGATCTTTGCAGTTGCGATTGTGTTTGGGTGCTATTTTGAGTGAATGGGTAGATGCCCTGCGTTGGGCACAATATTCTTTTTGGACAGTATTCTTTTTGGGAGTGTGTGGGGAGGAGGGAGGTTGTTGGGGGTCGTCAATCTTCATCAGGGCTCTCGGATCGTGAGAGGGATGACGCTGGTTTCGGGTTCGGGTTATTGTTGTGTATATGTGCACATTAAATGTGGGATGGGACCCAAATATCGCTGTGCGATGGGTGGTCCATAAATTCCATACGAACCTTCGTAGTGGTGTCGTTTGAAAATCCGACAGTGGTCTATACTGCACTTGTCCTGCCCACCGTCGATAGTTGTCTGTCTACCTACTATATATGCTCTATTCCAAAACTGAGTGAATGAGCATTTCCGTCCTCTCTCACCCGTCCATGAATGCCCACCCAACAGCGCCCTCATCTCCCTCTCCGTAAGCACACCCCTCATCTTCTCGGGCGCCCCTCTCAAAAGGCAAGTCAGGCACGCGAAAGTCCGGGTGGGTTTGCTGACATTGTAGTTCTTGTCGGGGATTTAGAATTGCAGCAGAGGGAAAATGCGCCAGCAAGTGTCGGTGGGCCAACATGAGTCATGCTCACGTAATCATATACGGGAGTGACCGCTTGTGACGCAATGTGAAGCACCGGATATAAACTGATTTTAATTTGTAGTCGAGGAGTCCCGACTCCCAGGGGGTGGGGTTGAAGGCGTTTTAAAACGAGAACAAGGGGTCGTTTGATTGTTGCAAGTTGGAGTACCGGGAGCCATATCCCAAGTCATATGCGGGATGCACGCCAGGCCAGGAACCAGCCAGACCTGAGGGGCTCCCCCTGTGCCGGGCGTCCGTGTGATGGTGATGATGGGATGGATGGATGGAGGAAGTTGACCGTTCGGGTTTGGTTTGACGTGTGCTTGTGCTTGTTGCCTGGGACTGGACTCCCAACAAGGGCCTCCATATCAAAGCCATCATCAATCAGAACGCAACTGGGCCTCCCTTCGTCGCCGCGAGAACTCGCTCACAACAGGTCCGCGGAAATCAACTGCAAGCACTCGTACAGACAGAAAACGCACCCTCAACTCCGTGCAAGCATATCGTCCTCGCCGCAGAACCCCGTCTGTTGAAGGATTCATATTCGGTAGGTAACGTCCCTTCTGCGGTCGTGGGAAAATGGGGCATCTCGCTCTCGGTGTTGTACCAGACCCCCACATGTAGCAATTCACCCACGACTGCATCCTCACAAAGTGATTTCTTGAATACACAGAGAACAAGCACTCAACTCAACGTTGTTGTCTGCAGCGTTGGCGGACTACTGTTCACTTGGTTTTGGGATACACACCGGTGTGCTGCGGAAAGGTTGATCTCTCCGCCGTAGTAGCGCTATCTCAAAGGTTGGCGGAGCAGTCAAACGGGCCATCGGCAACTCCCGTACGGTTTCCGAGAGTAGCGGCGGAGGATACGGAAAGAGACTTTTGAAGCCGAGCACAGTCAGCAGCAAACGAGGGGTTAAGTTGGGCGAATGACCACCACAAACGCCCCATTCACCGGAACCTTAGCTCGCACGACCGGCATGCCTCTCGAGGAGGGTGAGGTGGACGACCCGGAGATTCTTGCACTCTTCGCAGAGTCCGCTCAGCGAACGCAGTTCATGAACAACCATGCGGCGATGGGAGGCGCTGGTTTTCAGGGCGTTCTCACGCCGCAGGGGGCGTATAATCAGTTTAACCATCAAAGTCCACCGCAATACAATGAACAGCAGCAGCAGCAAGGGATAAACTCTGGGCAGGCGGGTCAGCTTAAAAATCAGCATGATATTATCAACGCTCTGTTCGAGGCGGACAGAGTGAATGTTAGCAACGGAGCATACTCTTCCGCCGCTCCGAATGCGAATCTCCTATCGGTGGGAAACGGCTCTGTGGGCTACCAACAGCAATCACAGATGAATTACAGGTTCCCACTGGAACCTGCGCAAAATGTCGGTTCGCAGAACAATTTTGCGTACGGTCAAAATCCGTCGCTTTACGGACAATTCAGTTCCGGAACGTCATCACAAAGCCCTCAACAACAACAACAACAAACCCAGGCATACTCAACGCCAGAGCAGCAATACAACCAGCAATTCTCCCAGCACAACACCACCTCCTTCGACAGCCTCCCTTACCTCCCCGCATCAAGCGCTGGTATGGCCTACACAGCACCCGCCGTACCACAATTAACGGTGCAGATCGACAATGCAGGGCCAACCAACTTCCAGGGGTACGACGGGTGGCGGGACGACGATATCTCTTCGGTTTTCAGCGAGTCAGACAATGAGTCGGCAGTGTCTGTGACGTCTATTGGTTCATATCTCAGCCCGAATCCGGAATATACCTCTGGGATTGATGTGACGGCGCCGTTCTTGGCTGTGCCATCTCCTCAGAGGCGGAGACCGAGTTCGGGGTCGTTGAGCGGGTTGGAGGATTTGCAACTTACGGATGATGCTAGTGACGATGGATATTTGTCGACGGGGTCCTTCAACGGCGACTTGCAGTGAGTAATCGAGTTCTTTTCTTTCCTTTCATTTGTCTCTCTTCCGAGCTCGAAACTCATTGCAAAATTCCGGTTGTCAAATAGATACGCAAACATCGTCCATTTGACTTCACCAATGATCCACGCCATCCCGTCACCCTCCGCATCCCCGATTCCAAACTACCACCCGTCGCCCGCACAATACAGCCTGGACGGAACATCGCAAGCCGACAACTACCCAACGCCACAAAACTTCGAACTACCGCCAGCCGCAATCGTCGATTTTATGGGAAACTACTCGAATCCCAACCCCGGCCAGTCCAACCAACTGACATACACCCAGCAAGGTTCACAACCGACCATGATGAACCAGATGTTCCCAGACATGCAACAAATGCCCGGCCAGCTGCAACAGTCAGTCAATCCACCGCTTCCCACCATCGGCGTCTCCGCCTACCAAGGACAGCAACAACCTTACCAACCCGTAGGCCTCATCACGCCGCCGGAACAGTACGCACCTCTGGATGCCTCATACAACAATGGACGACGGTACTCGAATGCCAGTCAGCACTCGTTGAATTTCGGTGCGAACGGGATACAGCACCACCAGGATATGAAGAGGACGGGGTCGCCCGTACCCCCGCGTTCGGACGCGCCGCCGTTACCGAAACCGTCTGAGATGGCTATTAAGACGCCGAAGCAGACTGTGTACAAGTGTCCTTACCCAGATTGTGGAAAGAGTAAGTATTTCTGCGGGCTCTTTTGTAATCCCATGCCGGTTACAAGCGACTAACCCTCCCCTTATGCCATCCCCCCAGCCTTCACACGCCCCTACAACCTCAAATCCCACTACCGCTCGCACACGGGCGAACGCCCCTTCGTCTGCGCCCACTGCCCCGCCACCTTCTCCCGCAAACACGACCTCAAACGCCACGCCAAACTGCACGCGGGCCTCAAACCGCACGTCTGCGCCGCCTGTAAAAAGGCCTTTGCGAGGTCGGACGCCCTCAGACGGCATCTAAGGGGACCGAGAGAGAATGCGTGTGCGATTAAGATTAGACAGATGCAGACGGCTAAGATGGAGAAGAGGGCGGCGGCTGCTGCTGCTGCCGCTGCTGCTGCTGATGGCGGGTTAACTACAGCCGATCAGAATCACGACGACGATGACCATGTGAAAGACGAAGCGATGGATAATGGAGACGCGGACGATGATGAGACGGATAATGAGGCGGAGGAGGAGGAGGAGGAGGAGGATATGTCGCCTGGTGCGGACCAGGCGTCGTTTGTGCACAAGTCGGATCGCATGGGTGGGGAGAATGATGGTGGTGGTGGCAGCGCGGCGTTGGTTCCGTCTGTGATTGTGACGTGAAGGAAATCCCGACGCCGCAGCCCCTCCGCTCTGATCCCACGCGGCTGCTCTGCCTCCGAGCCCTCCGACACCACCCGCCAAATCAGCTTTCTCACACAGATATTTGCACCCTCACGGTCTACCTCACCCCACCTCGTTCGTATACCACCCAAACACAAGATGGATAATGATCTTCTCTCCCGCCGCCGGGGCAAAATGTATATCTCACCTCATGAATATTGTACCGTCGCTTACACCCCCCATGGCGCGAATACTATGTAGTAACCCTCAAACGACTTGCAGTCGTTGTCTTTTGTCTTTGTACCTCTTTTTTGTTGTTTTCGTAAGACTATGCAATATATTCTTTTTTTTTTGCACCATTTGGACCAAATCTTGATCTCTCCCCAAGGGAATATATGGTGGCATGTGCACAACATTTATGCCCGACAAACTAGCTGCAACTATCTCACCCGCATCCGCTGCTCCTTCGGTACCCCCCACATATCTACCTTCACAAGGATGGACACCACAAATCCACGATGCATGTCCGTAACCCCAAAAAGGAAAAAGCAAGAGAGAAGGACGGGCGTGGAGATACTGTATAATAGAAAGTCGAGACGAAAGTATCCTAGACAAACCAAAAGCCGTTAAACGCGTCGACGTAACGAACCCAACGGCGGGGTTGGGTATCCTCTCCCCGTTCTCGATCAGCTTCCTGCGTGCGGTCTTCGGGAACTCGGCGAGTTGGGGCGACGATGCACGAGGGGCCTTGCGGGGTTCCTGGATTAGGTCAGGTTTTTGTTGCGGTTCATTTGAGCGATGTACCCATGAGGTCGAAACTTATCAGTAGAGATCAATGATGGGGAGTCCCGGAGATGTCGACGTGCCGCTCTGGACGAGGGCGGTGGCACTGACCCGGGGTATTCGATTTGCCCGTCGGTGTCGCTACTCCCGGCCGGTGACAACCATTGTCTGGATGCAAGACGAGGTGCGGAAGGCACTACTGTAAACCTTTTCTTCCTGGAGACCCAAAGGGCAGGGTCACCCCTCCCGCGTATCGGTGGCCAGCGAGAGGCGTCCACCCGCAACCGGCCCCCATTGGTCCATTCGCCGGTATCCCCAGCACGTTGGCCCCGCTCAAGACCCGTCACCAGCCGGGAGGGGTACGTCCAACTCGTCTGCCTCCTTCAAAGTCCGGACTGACCGAAAGGCATTCCGATGATGTTCCAGAGTGTGCAGCAGGCCATCCAGCCGGAATCCACCGGGGAATCGAAGCTGTGTCCGGGACATTGCGCATGGTCAGAGATGCCGGGACCCCATATTTGTTCGTAAATCAACACAAGCATGGGCCTCATAAGCCCAACCCACGCCAAAACCACGCCCGCACCCGCAAGCCGAATGCGCAAAACCACTGGACCCTGCTCATTTCGCAGGCGACCACCCTCAAGAAGCCGGAGGAAGAATTGAAGAACTCTCAAAGCGTCCCATGAGGAAGAAAGGTTCGGGCGCTAAAGAGAAAACTCCAAGCGAACGCAAGCGGGAAATGAATGAGCTGACCCATGCACTGGACGCCCGCGATGCCGCATTACAAGCCCTGCAAATTCAATCCGACCACGCGCAAACAAAAGAAACCTTCATGACAGAGCAAGCACGGGTGGACGCACACTATCGAGAGTTCATCTGCCCCTCGTCGACGACCTCCCAGATTCAACTGCTGCGATCCCCAGCTGGATCCCCAGCGATCCCGGCGTGAGATAGAGAATCTGCTTGATGAGGCCGACCCTCCGGCGTTTCGCGAAAGATGAAGTAGATGCTGAGATGGAGTGCGAGGCGGGAGGATCCGGCGGAGCGAAGGGAGATGGGAGCTGCTCTGCGACAGAAAAGTGCGTTGGACTGTCCGGCACTCTCTCCAGAGAGTGCCGCCGGAGCGCCCTCGGCGCGACTGCGGGCGAGTATGATACAGTATGATACGAGACCTTGGCACGAGTAAGGGGAGGACCGACCGCTCTCCCACTCTGTCAGCCGGACACACCCATGTCATAGGAAAAACATATATACTTGGAAATTTGGGGTGTAGATTCTCTCTGTACAGTGGCAATCCCCCAAGGAAAGATTGACGCGCTCCCGTGCCGGCGGGGCATGGGCATGACACCCGAAAAGCAATGGCAGAATGCCCACCCACCAAAATGTCAAGCTAACAATTACGGCTGGCCCGTTATTTTAGGAACGTACCGGATGAAGATGGGGCCGTGAGGGGATTGCACGGGATGGGTGCAGACGGGCGAAGATGTCGAGGGATCTGTGCCACTGATTCTGTGGACGCGCGTAATAAAGTCACTGAGAGCGTCGCCCGAGTTCAAAACCGACCCAATGTCATCTCATTCCCGTACCCAGCCAACGCAATGCAAAAAAAAAAAAGCAAACGAAAAAGGGAACGATCACCCAAACCGGCGAATACATGCGCTAAACTGCTACAGAGAGACCCGTTCTGTCCAATCATAAGAGAAAAAAACTACACTGGGGCGGGAGCGAGAGCCCCACACGAAGTCAACACTCCAATGTTCGCAGAAGGGTAGCTTTTAGGTGATAACCTGTATGACAAGCACAAGCAGAACACGTCCGTATAAGTTGTCGGCCGACCCCAACCCAAAAAAAGGGTTACATGTGTCTCAACTCACCGTGGGCTTCTCCCTCCCGGTCTCCTCCCTCAACCGACTCAACGCCAACGCGACGTCGATCAGATCCTGGATCGCCGCCTGCGTCTCCGTCTTGTACTCCTTCGGCGCGTACTTTTCGACATACAGCCGGATGGTCGCGCCCTGCGAGCCCGTGCCGGAGAGCCGGAAGATGATGCGCGAGGCGTCGGTGAAGACGATGCGGATGCCCTGTGGGGGGAGATAGATGGGGGTTTGTTAGGGGTGGTGGGTGATTGAGATGTAGGTGTGCTCTTTTTTGATTAGGGATACCTGGTTTTTGCTGACGCTCCCGTCGATGGGGTCAGTGTACTCAAAGTTGTCGGCGGTGGCGACCTCGTACGCGCCGAGCTTTTTGCCGATCGAGGCCTTGTCGTTGATGAAGGCCGTGAGGTGGGACATCACTTTCGCGGCGTGGTCGCTGTCCACTTCCTCGTAGTCGTATCTAAGATTCACACAAGGGGGGTTGTGTGAGAATGTGGGAGGGGAGGAGCTGATGTATGGAGGAGAGTTACCTAGAGAAGTAGTTACGGCCGTACTCCTCGTAGTGCTTGTTGAGGATGTCGTTCAGACCGACCTTGGGGTTCGACTCGCTGGCGTAAGCCACGATGGAGAGCCAGGCTGCAACAAACAGAGAAAAAAAGTCAGTCCCAGTCCCTTCATCCAAGCCGTAACTTTCTAAACTTTTTTTCAACCCACCAATGATAGCCCATACGCCATCCTTCTCCCGAATATGATCGCTCCCCGTCCCGAAGCTCTCTTCTCCACAGATCGAGCACTTGCCCGCATCCATCAAGTTCCCAAAGAACTTCCACCCCGTAGGCGTCTCAAAGAACTGGATGCCCTTCTTCTTCGCCACGCGGTCCAGGGCGCCGCTGGTCGGCATGCTGCGCGCCAGCCCTTTGAGTCCGCTCTTCTTGAAGTAGGGAATAGCGTCGGCGTATGCGGCGATGAGGGCAACCGAGTCAGAGGGGTTAACGAAGGCGCCTTTACCGATGATCATGTTCCGATCGCCATCACCATCTGACGCGGCTCCAAAGTCGATGTTCTCCTTCTCGACGCGGGCGACGAGGTCGTGCGCGTACGTCAGATTCGGGTCCGGGTGGCCGCCGCCGAAATCCTCCGACGGTGTGGCGTTCATGACCGACGATTCGGGCAGACCGAGTTCCTTGACGAGGATGCGTTGCGCGTACGGGCCCGTGACGCCGTGGAGGGAATCGAAGAGGACTTTGTAGTCTGGGCGCTTTTTGAAGAAGTTTTTGAGGAGGGCAAAGTCAAAGATCTCTTTCATGAGGATGACGTAGTCGTCGACCGAGTCGATTACTTCGATGGTGAAATCGCCGAAAGTTTTTGTGCCGAGGGCGGAGAGGTCGACCGCTGGGATGTCGGCTTCGGGGTAGGATGAAATGGTCGTGGTGATCTTGTAGATCTTGTCCGTGACCGACTCGGGAGCCGGGCCTGTATGGGAAATCATTGATGAGCATCGTCCCCTCTAAGCCACACTCTGAGACAGTAACTATCCTACAAACCTCCATTGCTCATGTTATACTTGATACCAAAGTCGTTGTCGGGACCTCCCGGGTTGTGGGACGCGGTCAAAAGGATACCACCTGCAAACAGATGAAGCATTCAGTTTCCAGCCCGGCCCGCCATCTCGCCCGGGTACATTCTCCAGTCTCAACATACCAGTCGCCTTGCGTTTACGAATAAGGTTCGAAGCAGCTTATCACCAAAAATTGAAGAAAAAAAACATAAGCGGCGCTCCCTCATCTACCCCAATATCCCCAACCACAATCCCCAACCCCATACCAGGCGTCGACAAGATCCCATTCTGCCCCACCACCAGCTTCTTCACCCCATTCCCCGCCGCCAGCCTAATGATCTTTTGCACGGCCTCTTTCAAAAAGTACCGTCCATCGCCGCCGACGACGAGGGTGGCGCCAGCGGGCCCGTCGGGGATGGCGGAGAGGGTTGCCTGGATGAAGTTCTCGGTGTAGTGCTGTTGTTGAAAGATTTTGACGCGTTTGCGGAGGCCTGTTCGGTGGGGGGTTTAGTTGCTGGATTTCTTCCCCACTAACGAATCCGATGGCAATGGAGAAGGGTATATATACGATACCTGAAGTTCCAGGCTTCTGGCCCTCGAACGGCGTGGTGGTCACCTAAGCAGAAAAAAAAGGGCGGTCAATACACACGTCTAGGAATCACAAACAGTAGCCTCGAATCCACTCCTGCACCCACTCACGCCGGCATCCACCACGCAAACCATACCTGCTTGACACTAAACTGCGAAGTCGGCATCGTGATGATCTTGGGTTCACAATCCGTTTCGATGGGTAGTATGATCCTGCGAGTGGCACGTTATAGGGTGCGTACGAGTACTTGTGTGTGTGTTGGGTGAGTTGGTATGATATGGTAAACAGGCAGATGGGGTTGTTGAGATGAGATGAGATGGCTGTTGGTTGTTCAAAAAAAGCCCCATCGATTGCTTGCTTGCCGGGGGCGTCCGTCTCGTGGTCGTTCGTGTTCAGGGCCTGTGATGTCATCTCGCGGTAAATTACAGACAAAATCGAGGATGGCGCCTCCCCCTGCGGGAATCGAACCTGTTCCTGCCAGTAGTGTCCCGCTCGCTAACCCTCGTTTTTTTTTTCTCGCACGAAAAAGCCAAAAGCCAAGGGTTGCGACGCAAAGTAAGCCCCACTTCGATGAGATATACCAGACGGGTACTGACAATAATGCATCCCTTCGCACGAAAACCCCCATACTCGATAGAAAAGCGGGAGAAATTCATTTCATATGTTAACAAGAAAAAAAAAATCACAGAGAAAAACCTGACAGGACAAAAGCGGGACGAACAAGGGGAGGGGAGGGGGGTTACTGAAAGGAGAAAACACAAAAGACCGAGAGGGGGGTTGACGAGGGGAAAGGAAACATCGCCCCCCATGAGCAAAGGACAACGCTGCGAACGGTCATGAAGGACCGGCGGCGGCGGGCGGCGCGACCTCCATGGATGGTAGGTATTGTCATGGTCAAAGCCGATCGCTGGGACCCCATCATCATCATCCATTATCACCCACGTCCTGCACCCCTCCCGCTCCCGTCCTCCCCACTCCCATTCCCGCCCTTACCGCCCCCAAATCCCCCCAACCCCCACCCCTCCAAACTGCCCCCCGTATGCCGATAATCCATCCCAGGCGCCCAATTCGAGTGCGCTAGAAACATGGGCGGTTTCTCCCCGTTCCCATTGCTAGTGCCAGACATCGTTGAATCTGACGGCGCAGAGTCGATGTCCATAGGCGTCGGGGACGCCCCACGGGATTGGACGCCGATGAAATGGTGCGCGGGCGAGGAGGGTTTGGGCATGGGTAGGATCGGGTGGTGGTGGTGTGGGTGGTGGAAGCCTCCTCCTTCATGGGAGTCGGAGAGGCCGATGGGAAGGGATCGCACGGAGGGTGCGCCGCGGTGAGGGGAACTACTACTGTGATGGTTGGTGCTGGTGTCCATGCCGTAGCGGTGCATGTCCATGTCCGGTGGGGCGGTGAGGGCGGAAAAGTTGGAGATGACGGAGGGTGTGCGGTGCAGCTGGGTGTGGGAGGTGGAGGGCGAGTTGCGGGAGGAGGTGGAGGAGTGGTAGCCCTGTTGCTGCTGTTGGGCTTGTTGCACTTGCATGTGATGCAGTTGCTGTTGCTGTTGCTGCTGTTTCGCCTCGCTCTGGCGTCTGCTCTCTTCTTGCGAAGGGATGACGACCTGGAAACCTTGATGTGACCCGTAGTACTCCGATTGGGCAGGTGGCGCCCACGGCTCGTCCCTGCTGTTGAACGAACGGACGGACTGAGTGTCGAATGACCGGATGGAGTGATTATCATACGACCGGATGGACGAGCCGTCGTAGGACCGGAAAGATCTGCCGTCGTCCAGCGGCGCTTTGCTGAGGATACTGACATGCTTGCCCGAGTCGCGCGATGGGCGTGGCAAGCCCCCGTCAACAAGAGCGATGTCCTGCTGCGACGTCCGCGATTTCGCCGAGGATGGCTCGTACCGGTACGGCGAGGAATCACGGGCGCTCTTGGTCTTGTACTTGGCGACGGGGACGTAATTCGGTTTGCTAGAATCAGTAGTGCTTTGCGTGTGGGTAGAAGCGATGGATGTAAATGAGGTAATAGAGGATGACGACGAGGCGAGGGACGGGGTGGTGTTCTCCGGCATGAACTCGGGGTATATTTCGGTCGATATGACGAGCTCAGAGAACGAAGGGATCGACGACGGTGGGTCAAGGATCCGCTGGTTGAGGTCCGCTCGGAGGTAATATGAGACCAGGTGCTGTCGGCGCCCGTCGGAGGTGGTGATGGAGATGGCCTTCTTGGTTAAGCCATCTTCCTTGATCACGTACTCGATGCGATCGTCCATCCCTGGGATCTTGCTCTTGCGAGGCTCGACCTCACGGTAGATGAGGAAACTGCCGTTGATACGTGATGGAGACCAGTGCTTTCCATCTGTCCACCTACGAGAGAAAAATGACGACTGTTAGTGAGGAACCATTTCCAACAGTCATAATCAGTTTCTCCACAAACGCACCTTTTGATACCACTCTCCTCCTCATCCCACAGGAAAATCGCCCCCGACTTGACATACGCTATGCGCTCCGAATCCGACAGCCGCCTCTGAATCCGCTTCATGTGACCAAGCCGACACGCCTCAAAAAGCAAAAGCGCATCGTTCGGCGAATTGATTATACCGTGCCACGTCTCCATGGTTGTGAAGCTTTATACTATATACGGGCCCGACAAAAAATCTTTATACAGGCGTTTCCGCGAACGCTGATTGTAGGGGCTCGACTTAATTGCGAACCGATGGAAACCGCTGCTTTTTTCCCCAAAGTCCAGCAGGGAGATGTTAAGCGCTCTTTCTCTCTTCCGAGAGATGAGACGCCGGTTTTAGGCCGGTATGCTTGTGGGTTCTCGCTTGTTCGTCTTTCTGTGTTTGTGCAATTGATCGTGAATGACCTGTTGCAAAAGTCGAAGGAAACGTGTTTTCTGAAGGTTGCGACACGAAATTCGGGTGGTGCTGGTCGCTGAGTGGGGGTTGCAACGCTTGCTGTATTCCACAGTCGTATTAGCGACGAGTTATCTGGCTGAAGTGGGAAATGCTTTAGCGTGGGAGCATTTACGGGACAACGTCGCACGTGTTAATGGAAGACATACCCGTCTCTGTGGAGTACTTCCGTCAAAGACTAAGGTAGTAGGACCCTGTATAGAGGAGCCGTAATGCTGAGTATATGGAGGTGAGAGTCTCAGCCGTAATTCCGGGGGGGGTTGGTGTCTGTCAGTGTGGTCTCTAATGTTGTCTCCAGTCCCTTTCGCTTTCGCTTTCGCCGAGTGAGGGAGCATAAGGTTGGGGAGTGCGTCCTTCCTTTGGGTCGGGAGGAGGAGCGGGCGTTTTCCCCCTCTTCGCTTTGGCATTATCTCATGACCTTAACCTTAACAATATCATAGGGGGTTCATCATGGACCGCCAGCGACGCCAAACTCAATTTTATTTTATTACTCCACCCATGCATGGATTATTATTTCCATCCATCCACACACACACAGCCCAGTTTGCGGCCTGCAACTTGTCCCTTGTTTAAGTGATGGCACTTAACATAACTAATTATTAACTGGCCATGAAGGAAATGCTTTGCTTTCGGACTCGGACTTCCTATTGTGCGACCCCCCTTTTGCCAAACCAAAAGCCTTCCGCACGTGATCTGGGCATGACGGCAAATCCGACAGCGCGACAAGGCAACGGAGCAACAAACGAACCTTGCGCAAATCGTGTAATGCCAAATTATTAACTGCTTCAGACGTTCTGCGCTCGACTCACATGCACCCATCTCGATGCTCGACTCTATCCCATCGTTGCGTTTCTATGTAGCTTGCGCAGCATGTGCAAAGTGGGTGCGCTGGTGGGTGCAGCCGTCCGAGTTTGAGCTCAAGAGGCTTGCCCCAGGAGTCCGCTTGGCCCTCTAAAACCTTCGCCCCCCGCCCTTCCCCTACTTAAAAACAACCTTGTATATTGAAATCTTCGAATATATCACCCCATGAACAATAACCCTAACCCTAAATTTTCAATCGCTGTGTAGGAAGAGGAGGGCGGAGCGGGTCGTGCACAACCTCTCACGTCCTATCGCCACGCACGGATGCCCAACCGGTCATATGCCGCTTTTTCCAACTCTTCTCTATGCTTTGGGTGTGCGATGGATATCAACAGCCTCGCTCTGTCATGCATGTTCTTTCCAAATAGGTTTACGGCTCCGTGTTCCGTTACGACCCAATGAACGTGCGCGCGGGTGGTGACGACCCCCGCTCCAACTTTCAAGGTCGGCACGATGCGTGTGGCGCCTTTTTTGGTCAAGGATTGAAGCGCGATGATGGGCACGCCGCCGTGACTGATCGCAGCACCTCTCTCGAAATCGATCTGACCACCTACACCGGAGATCTGTGTGGTTCCAACGGAATCCGCGCACACTTGCCCGGTGAGATCGACCTCAATCGCGGAGTTGATGGCAACAACGCGGTCATTACGGCCGATCGTCACTGGGTCGTTCGTCTCGGCCGAGTCGAGGAAGACCACCGTCGGGTTATCGTCGACGTAGTCGTAGACGCGTTGGGTACCCATCACAAAGCTTGTGACCAACTTTCCTGGTAGGAAGTTCTTACGGAGATTGGTGACCACGCCAGTACGGGTGAGATCGATGACACCCTCCTCGAACATCTCCGTGTGTATACCGAGATCTTTATGAGATTTCAATTGCTGGAGAACAGCGTTTGGAAGAGCTCCGATGCCCATTTGGAGACATGCCCCGTCAGGTACAAGCTCTGCGATATGCTTCCCAATCCTCTGTTCGACATCGGAGCACGTAATGACTTGTGATTGTGGGAGGGGTTTGTCATGGTCGACGACGTAGTCGATGGAGTCAACGTGGATGTGGGCGGAGCCAAACGTTCTTGGCATGTGACGATTGATCTGAGCGATGATGATGGGAGCCGTCTCTGCTGCCGGTAGCGCGCAAGCGATCTCAGTCCCAAGCGAGCAGTAACCATGCTTATCCGGCGGCGACAGGTTGAGGAGCGCGATGTCGGGCCTGAGGCGGCCCGTCCGCATGAGTTTGGGAATCTCGCTTAGAAAGACCGGAATGTACGCGCCAGTGGATTTCGCCACGTTTTTGCGAGCGTTGCTTCCGACAAAGAAGTGTTGGGTGAAGAAGCCACGGGCAGATGTCAGAGCGGGGTCATCGCACGGGTTGAGGGTCTCGAGGTGGAGATGGTTAAACTCAAGATTGCGCAAGTCTTCTCTCTGCCGAAGGGCAGAGAGCATGTCGATCGGAACAGCGGAGATACCGTGGACATAGATACGGTCTCCTGACTTGATATGCGAGACGGCGTCTTGGAGGGTTTGGCAGCGGACGGAAGGACCCTTTCGAGTTAGCAGGGTGCGGGCAGGAACGACCGATGTTGTTGGACGGCCCGGCAACAGTTGACCGAGACGGGAGGTAAGCTGGCGACGCCCACTCAGACTAAGGAGACGGTTCATTGTTGGTGGATATACAGTATGTATGTACGTAGCGAGCAGCGAGAGAGAAAGGGACAGATCTTACGGGCAAGAGCCAGCCAAGCGGAGAAGGAGCATCTATATATATATACTGTATAGATATGGACGTGGGATCTGGATTTGAATAACGCAACGCACGCAACGGACGCCCTCACGCCCCGTCTCATGTGTGTGCGGTATGAGTGCGTGTGACGCGTGGTGGGGTACAGTACTGTAATATGTGCTGCGTACAGTACGTGTTCTGCGGGTGGGATAATTGGATTGGGGGTTTATTGGGGGCGACTAACCCATGACGTTTCGCGCGTCACATTCCAGAGCTACATACAGTATCTACTATCAAGCTCGCTCGGCTACGTGCATTTAATGCCGTGAGGACAGCTGAGATTCCTGCCAGAGAAAGAATGGCCCCGTGAATCGGAGTGAAGTCAATCTGCGGTTCGCCTTTGCGAGACGGAAGACTGCGTCATCGTTCAATCGCGACAAACCGTGTCCCAACTCCAAACTTCGAAGATGGATGTGCGATCCGTCCAGATACTCTATCCATCTATCTGCCTGCACGAAGTAAATTCCCAGAAGGGTCTTTCGTATGGATTCGAGAAAGTTTGTTAAATACTCCTGAGGAACTTCGGTGGACACCATACGCGTTCGAAATCTAGTAAGAGTATTCACGTTGGAGCCAAATGGTCGTAGATCCAGCGAGACGTTGCGGAGAGTATCTTTCGAGTGGTTGGCGATGTTTTTGTAGGCCGAACGACACATCGAAGGCGCATTGAAAGCGATGCCTTCAAAGCGGGTGAGCGTACCAGCGCGCCTAAAAGGATATGTGCAGTGGTCCTGCATATCTTCACCCCAGTCATCGTCCAAAAACTTTCTTGCATCCGGGTCGGGGTCAAGCAGTTCCCGGTCCCAGTCTGCGTGAACGAACACGACCGTTTCAAAGTTCCTCAGCCTAGCAACGAAGAATCTGAACCATGGAGAGTCCACATATGCCCCTGTAGCGATTTATTTGATGAGTATTCCCTTTGTTGATGGAGACGATGAATCCCACGCGCACACCTAATATAAGATGATTGATGCGAGGGCTTAGAGCGTCAAACTCCTCCGCAGTGATAAACCACTTATGGGGATTCCCGTGGTAACGCCAATCCGGAGGCACATCGGCGTAGTTGCACAAGTTCGGCGTTCATATCGCGATACCCATGACCTCGGAAGTCCAGAGTATGGAGGGAAGTGAACTTTTCGCCCAGCACAACGCCCGTGACTCGAGGAGGAATATGCGTTGCGCCCGGCCAGGCAACTAACACCTTGACCAAGCTGGCATAATCCACGTAAGTCGGGCCGTCCCGCTTCAGCAATACGCTCCAGAAGCGATCCATCCTGGCGATTCGGTCGGCTTTCGGCGCTTTCGGGTCTGGTGGGCGAAGGAGTGCCGCTCCTCGGAGTGCCGGTCGCTCGGAGGACGTGGATGGGTGGGGTGCGCGGAGTCTCGATGCAAAGGTTTGAGGAGATTCCCTTCGGTGATGAGAACATGGGTGGCGTGAATTGATGTCGCGGGCGGGCGGGCGGGCGAGAACCGGAGAGTTGCGATCAATATCCATACTTCTGAGTTGCGGCTCTTTCCAGATGGCATTCTTGATCGTCACAGGTCCGTGTGGCAATAATATATGTAGATGTAGTAGAATGGCTCTGCGAACGAGAATTCTAGCCGAGGTGCCAGCATCTAGTCTGAGAAGGAGTCGGAGGAAATAACCAAGCGTTGCTTCTTTACGAGTATACTTCCGGTTCTCTTTAGATGATGTAGACAGTATCGTGTCTGATATGATATTAGGCACGGATGGGAAAAGCCTTGTGAATGAGAGTCGTGTCTCCGTCGATTGGGTTGAAATTGAGGGATCATCTGGGATGGGGGCTATTGACAGGCAGTGACAGTATTCGTTTGCGCAGCACCGTTGCGGCCTCCTTCATGATCCAACTTCCAAGCAAAGACCTCGCTTCCCACCGGCTGCTAAACTGCCTGCCGCCGAAGGATTCGGGATTTGTCCCTAGCAGCTTCTTATCGCAGTATCCCTCCCGCTGGGACCTCACGGAGTTTCAGTGTTAGGTGGGAGTCCTCTCCCAATAGCTGTCTTATTGCCTCGGAGCGCAGATCACATAATGCCGAACGACCCATCCCCATCCGATCACGCCGTGGACGCACTCACCGGCGTGCATCAACGCAAAGGGAAAGGCAAGAAAGATAAAGACGCCTCCAACTCCAACAAAGAAAACAACAATCCTGTCGACGACTCCTCAACTACCACCACTGCCTCGTCATCGCCACCGAAAGCAAAGTCCGCTGAGCATTCCCCTACGCGCGCCGCAGCGATCCAGCATGCGCTTTCGCATAAAGGGAATGTGGGCGTGGGTGTGGCGAGAGGGAACGGGAGGGACAGCGAGGGGTGGTACCAAGCGGCGTTGGTGGTTGTGACGCTGTTGTCGTTTGTGACGAGGTGTTGGGGGATTGGGTATCCTGGGCAAGTGGTGTAAGTTACCTTCCTTAGAGGGATGTGAAGCGGAGTTCCTTCTTCCAAGGGATATAGGAACGTCGAGGGCTGATTTTCATTCCCGCTCTTCTCATAGCTTTGACGAAGTCCATTTCGGCAAATTCGCCTCGTACTACCTCCGTCGGGAGTACTACTTCGACGTGCATCCGCCGCTCGGGAAGCTGTTGCTCGCGGGCGCGGGTTGGTTCCTTGGCTACGACGGGCACTTTTTGTTTGACAATATCGGCGATGACTATGTGGCCAATAATGTGCCGTACGTCGGGTTGAGGCTGCTCCCGGCCACGTGCGGGGCTTTGATTGTGCCTGTGGTGTTTTTGACGCTGAAGGAGCTGGGATTGAGCGTTGCGGGAGCTACTTTTGGCGCTTTGTTGCTTGTTCTTGGTGAGCTTTACTGAGTTGGGAAGATTTACTTGGTTGTTGTGAATGCTAACATCGATATACGCGCAGACAACTCCCTGATCACGCAGTCACGGCTGATTCTACTGGATAGTATGCTGACGCTCTTCTGCGTGTGCTCCATCTACGCCTGGGTCAAGTTCCAACAACACAAGCATGAGTACGGATCACATATGTGGCAGAGTTGAGAATTGGCACTCGATGCTCATATTTCTTTTCCGACGCAGGCCTTTCAGTCTACGCTGGTACGGATGGCTTCTCATGACCGGAGCGGGACTTGCGTTCACCACAGGGTGAGGGTCCCATTGGGATTCGTATCCTTCCTGCCGAAGATGGTTCTGACAAAGTTGCACCTCTTATTGAATAGAGTGAAGATGGTGGGAATGTTGACCATCGCTGCCGTCGGAGTCGCTGTTCTGTTTGATCTCTGGGAGTTGCTCGACTATCGTCGGGGTCTGTCAATGGTGAGTATATCTATATATTTGCGGAGACTTCCCCGCACAGGAAAGAATGGCAAATCCTGATAGATGGTATCATATGATTTTTAGCGCCAATTTTCCCGCCATTTCGCGGCCCGAGCGCTGTGCTTGATTTTCTTCCCGTTGGCAATCTACCTGTCATTCTTCTACATCCATTTTGCGCTGCTCATCAAGAGCGGACCTGGAGATGCTTTCATGAGCCCTGGATTCCAGGATGGCCTTATTGGGAGTGAGATGAGCGTCAACTCGAGTGGTGGGTTTTAAACAGCAGGATTTCGTTCTATGTTCGTGCGCCGAAGATGCTGACTCGGCTTATTCGCATTATAGCTATTCCATACTTTGCCAACGTCACATTGAAACACCGCGACACAAAAGCATTCTTACACTCCCACGTCGACAAATACCCACTGCGCTACAAAGACAACCGTGTCAGTACGCAAGGACAGCAGGTGACCGGGTACCCGCACCGGGACGCCAACAACCACTGGATCTTTGTCCCCGTCGACGTGGAAAAGTACCCCGCCGCACCCAAGTACGAGCCTACCGAAGAGGAGATCTCACGTAACGTTCGCTATGTCCGCCACAACGATTTTCTGCGCCTCCAACACGCACGCACGGGAAGCTTCCTCGTCACACACGACGTCGCATCGCCGTTGACACCCACGCATATGGAGATGACCACGCTGATTGGCGATGTCGCCGAAAGCCGCTACAACGAGACGCTGTGGCGCGTGGATGTTGTGGATGGCGAGGTGGGCGACAAGGTTCGCAGCAAAAGGAGCCATCTGAAGCTCATCAATGCCCACCACAACGTGGCCGTGCACTGCCATAAAGGGATCCTTCCCGAATGGGGTTTCGGACAACAGGAGGTGAATGGAAACAAAAACCAGGCGGAAAAGTTCAATATATGGTGGATTGACGAGGTGCACCACGAGCGCATCGTCGACGGCGTCGAAAAGGGCGAAGACGATGCTGAAGCCGCCAGAGAAAAAGAAGAAGCCGCCGCGAAAGCCAGCAAATCCAAGAAGAAGCTCAGCTTCCTCCAAAAATTCCTCGAGCTCCAAGGTCTCATGATCGCGCACAACTCTGGCCTTACTAAACCGCACCCGTACTCGTCCACGCCCATCACATGGCCCTTTGTACTCCGCGGCATCTCCTTCTGGGAACGCAAAGAAGGTCTCAAGCAGATCTACCTCCTCGGCAACCCGCTTGTGTGGTGGCCCGCTATCACGGGAACGGTCATGTACGCCGCCATGTGGCTCATCGACCGATTGCTTCTCCGCCGCGGGATCGACGATTTCGGACCGAGGATCAGGAACTGGTGGGATAAAGCTCCCGGGTTCCTCTTCGTGTGCTGGGCAATGCACTGGATCCCGTTCTTCCTGCAGGGCCGAATGCTGTTCTTGCACCATTATCTGCCGAGTTTCATCTTCTCGGCGATGGTCTTTGCGTGTATCATCGAGTTTGTGTTTTTGAGGGTCGCGGAATCGCCGGCGCCTTTGGGCCCACCCGTTCCCGTGCCAAACACCGCCACGGCCGCGATCGCCACCGACACCTCCACACACCTCCAACAACGCAAACCCTCCCGCGGTCACCTCGCCCACACCCTCCCCGCTCCTCTGCGCCGCCGCCGCGCAACACCACAAGGCGGCCTCACATATTACGCAGGCCTCGCCGTCCTCGTTGCCGTCGCGGCGTGGGGGTTCGCGTACTTTTCGCCCCTGACGTATGGGACGGGGTTCCCGGATTTGGTGCAGTTGAGGAGGAGGAAGTGGATGAAAAGTTGGGATTTGCAGCATGCGTAGGAGAACGTTGGTTTGGTTTGGTTGGGAAGGGGCTTTCTTTTGCTTTCTATGTGATGGGGGAATTCTTGTGTTTATGTATCTGTTCCCGATTTTCTTCGAAGACGGCGCTTCATCTGGAGCCTCCCCCCGTCTTGTATTTAACCGTCCGCTATTTCAAAAGATCTGGTGGAAACCTCGCAGATTTTCGGAAAGTTCATGGGAAACATACAGTATGAAGAAAGAAAGGTTCTTGCGACTCGTTCCGCGTCCCCATGCCCGTCAAACATCCTTGCTTCTCCTACTATGCAGGTGTAAGAGACGCAAACCTACCCATCTATATATCAACATCCGAAGAAACAGGCGCACCCAAGATGACAGCACCAAGCTGGCAAAAATGACGGCGCATGGAGGCCCGGGAGGCTCAGGTTCGATTCCCGGACGATCCAGACAGTTTTTGCAGTTTCTCCCTTCAAGTGGACGTCATTCTCCGCCGCGGACCCGTGGGCAAGTTCCAACTCCACTTCGACTTCAAAACTCCACCAACGACCTGCCCGACGACTACCTATTCCCTCATTTTCCCACGCTGGCTGCAATCACAAGCATCATACACACACCAGCACTACACACACATAGAAGGCAATGAAACAACGCTTCTCAACGCTCGACGTCTCGGCGCAGGTCGCAGAACTGCGGCCGAGGCTGGTCGGCTTACGGCTGCAAAACGGTGCGTTGCATTGACCCACCCCTCTGACCGAGTTCCGTCGTCCCCGTACTCACACAGCAAGATCACCTCTCTCCTCGTCTTCTAGTCTACGATGTCACCAACAAGGTCTACCTCCTCAAGTTCTCCCGCCCCGACAACAAAGAGATGCTGCTCGTCGAATCGGGCATCCGGGTGCATTCCACCGAATTCGCACGGGACAAGAACTCCACCCCCTCGCATTTCTGCATGAAGTTGCGCAAACACCTGCGCACCCGGCGGTTGACGGGTCTGGACCAGTTGGGTGCGGACCGGGTGATGGATCTGCGATTTGGCGAGGGCGAGCATGCGTACCATTTGTTGCTCGAATTTTATGCGTCGGGGAATGTGATCTTGACGGATTGGGAGTATCGGATTTTGGCGCTGTTGAGGGTGGTGGAGATTGAGGGTGCGGCGGCGGGAGGTGCCGATGGGGCTGCGGCTGCGATTACGGCTGCAGCGGCGACTGCTAGTGGTCCGGCGGATGCGGCTACGGGTGAAAAGACGGAAGGCGATACGAAGTTTGCGGTTGGAGAAATTTACGATACGACCCGCATCAGAGAATTTGAGGTAATTACGGAGGAAAAGATCAGAGCTGTGCTGGAGAGCGCCGTCACGGAAGCAGCTGCTGGTGCTTCGCAAAAGCAGACAGCCGAAGATTCGAACAGCGCGTCAGCGGAAGACGCACAGAAACGGAAAGGAGGGAAAGGTGGAAAAGCGGGAGGAAAAGGGAAAACTGCCGGCGGAGGTGGCGGCGGAGGGTTCAAGAGCGCGAAAGACAAGAAGGCGAATGATCTGACGCTGAGGAGAGTCATTCGCGACAAGCTGGGGCACGATTATGGACCGGCGTTGGTGGAGCATTGCATCTTGCGCTCCGAATTGGACGCATCTATGAAAGTAACGGCCGAACTCGACTTGTCCTCAACATCACACGTAGTTCAGGCACTGTTGAGAGCGTTCCGAGAAGGCGACGCAATCGTAAAATCTTGCATGGATTCCCCACAAAAGGGGTGGATCACAGTGAAACAGATGCAAACTGCCGCCAAACCCTCCGCCGGCGCCGCGGAGACCGCCGAAAATACACAATCCTCATTCGTGGCATACAACGAATTCCACCCCTTCCTCTTCCAACAATTCGCCACCAGTTCCGAAACCGATCCACACGCAGACCCACCGGCGATTGAATACCCCAGCTTCGACAAATGCGTCGACGAGTTCTTCTCCAAGCTCGAAGCCCAGAAACTCGAAATGCGGGCTCGCCAAGCAGAACTGAACGCCATCAAGAAGCTCGACAGCGTCAAAGCCGGACACATGAACCAGGTCCGCGGGTTGGTGACCATGCAGGAGCAGAGCGCAAAAGTTGCTCAGACGATTGAGGCCAATCTGGCGCTGATCGAGAGTTTGATCAATACTGTCCGAAGTTTCATTGCGTCGGGTATGGATTGGGGCGATTTGGAGGAACTTGTCAAGGAGGAGAAGAAGAATGGGAACCCAGTAGCGAGCGTCATTTCGAAGTTGAAGTTGGATGTGGGGATGGTGAATATACGCCTGAGGGACGCTACGGAGGAAGATAGCGATGACGACGAGGATGACGCGACGGAGACAGAGTCAGAGGACGAGAGCGGTAGTGAAGATGATGAGAACATGAATTCATCTCATCGCAAGAAGCGCGACCAGCCAAAGCAAAAGAAACCCCAACCAACTTTCCTCTCCATTGACATTGACATCTACGCCTCCGCCTATGCCAATGCTCGCCGCTACTACGACACCAAAAAAGTCGCAGCCGTTAAACAGGACAAGACCCTGCAAGCCGCCTCCAAAGCTCTCAAATCCGCCGAACGCAAGATCGAAACGGAGCTCAAAACCACGCAGAAAGCCGCGCCGGCCGCTATCACCAAGATGCGCAAACCCTTCTGGTTCGAAAAATTCCTCTGGTTCATCTCCTCCGAGAACTACCTGGTCGTCGGTGGCCGCGACGCCGGCCAGAACGAACTGCTGGTTAGACGATACCTCGGCAAAGGCGACATCTACGTCCACGCCGACCTCCACGGCGCCGCCAGCGTCATCGTCAAAAACGTCACGGACCCGGACGCGCCCGCCATGATCCCGCCCACCACCCTCCACCAAGCAGGAACAATGTCCGTCTGCCAGTCGCGCGCATGGGACACGAAGATCGTCACGTCCGCGTGGTGGGTCGAGGCGGGCCAGGTCAGCAAGACGGCGCCGACGGGGGAGTACCTGACCACGGGCAGTTTTATGATTAGAGGCAAGAAGAATTGGTTGCCGCCGGTGCAGCTGGTGTATGGGTTTGGGCTGCTGTTTAGGGTGGATGACAGTTCGGCGGGACGGCATTATTGGGAAAGGAGGCCGTGGAGAGGGGATGCGGCGGGTGGGGGTGTCGTTGAGGCTGGGGGGGAGAAGGAGATGGAGTCTAATGAAAGTCTCGTGGAGGACGTTGAGCTCGACGATGCTGAGGGCAACGATGACGCAGCAGCTCAAGACAACGAAGGGGCTGATGGCGAGGACGATGCCGAGGCGGAGCCCGCTACCGCCCGAGAGGATCAAGCCGGCGATGATGAGGCAAATGGGGGCGCCTCTGGGTCCGGCTCCGAATCCAGTGACAACGAAGATGCAGACGACATTGCTGCCGATCCATCCGTCAGCACACCTCCCCTTCCCACCGACACGAGCATCAACACTCCCGTTATTGTCTCAACCGACGACAAATACGGGCTCGCAGAGCTCAACCAAGACAACTCCGACGACGACGATTTACAAGGCGGGATCGCTGACATTCTCCGTCCCAACCCGGCCGGCCCTGTCGTGACGAAGAAGCGGCTGACGGCGAAAGAGCGGCGTGATTTGAAGAAACAGAAGGCTGGTGGTGGTGTGGATGACGGGTCTGTTGACTCGCGGGACGATAAGGTCACACCTGCTCCTCAGCGATCAAATGGGAAAGATGCCGATGCACTGGCTAAAGGCAAGGGCAAGAACAGGAACAAGGGAGCGGATCAACCCGCACAACAACAGCAGCCACAACAGCAACAAGTCCGCGGAAAACGCGGCAAGATAAAGAAACTGAAATCGAAATACGCGGATCAGGACGAGGAGGATCGCGAGATGATGTTGGAGTTGTTGGGGAGTCGTGGGCCCGCGGGGACTAAAGCTGCGGAAGAGGGTCGGCCGACTTCGGCGGCGGTTGGGGAAGGGAAGAAGGGAAAGGGTGGACGACAGCAGGAGGCTGTGAAGGTGAAGGGCGGGAAGCAGCCGCAGCAACCACAGCAGGTTGCAGTAACGGAAAAGCAGCAGTCCGGGACCGTCACGCAAACCAGAAACGGCATCGCCACACCCGAGTCCACCACACCCACGGAACAACAAACCGCAGCAGCACACGCAGATCTTACCCGCCGCAACTCAACAAGCACCGCCGCCGACTCTCTCGAAATTACCCGTCTCCTAGCCGAAGAAAACATCTCCTACATCTCCGAAACCGCCACCTTCCTCGACACCCTCACCGGCCAACCCCACCCCTCCGACATTCTCCTCCACGCCATCCCCGTCTGTGCGCCTTGGAGTGCATTGCAGAAATACGCGTATAAGGCGAAATTGATGCCTGGGGGTTTGAAGAAGGGGAAGGCGGTCAAGAGCCTTGTTAGTGCGTTTGTGGGTGTTGCGGAGGGGAGGGGGAGGGTTGCGGAAGGGAAAATCGCGGGGAGGAAGATACCTCCGGTGGCTGTACCGCCTGTGAACGGAACGAACGGGGATGAAAATCCGTCCCCGGCCACGCTACCCACCACCGCCGCAGCCGAAGAAACAACGAACGAGGAAATCGACAGTGCGAAACGACAAAAGGAGCTGATCAGAGCGATTCCGGAGATGGAGATGATGAATGCGCTGCTGGGCAAGGTGAAGGTTGTGCTTACGCAGGCGGATGCGGCTGCTGCTGGTGGAGCTGCCGGAGGTGGGAAGGGTGGGAAGGGGAAGGGTGGGAGGAGGAAGTGATGGGCCATGTAACTTTATAGCTTCCGCCTGTAGAATATCATTTCTGTTACTGGGTCTTCATAGTTTTGGATCCCGCATACACATAAACGTTAGAATACTTTCGAATAGACTTCTTTTATGTCATTAAATGCGGTGCGTTCTGTGCGGGCTTCTCAATTAGGCCCTTTGGCTACGATAGGGACCAAGTGGAAAAGATACCAGCGAAAAGACCTGCAGGAACACATTTCGCATTGGAAAACATCTGTCTATGCCAAACAGGGAAACCTGGGAAGCGGGCCAAGATGCTTACAGCCAACGGCCGTGCCCGAGGATGCCAGGCACACCAAGCACGGATCCACTCCCACATCAGGCGAAACACACATCGCATCCAATTTTCTCCCTTCAATTCATAAAACAAAAATGTCTGCAACTCTCTAGAGTCCCCAACGTACTTCATAAACACAGGGAACTGCTTTACAAGCCACAAGCCCGGGCGTTGGCTCCGACACCACCGACACCGGGCCCTGGTTTCCTCCTCTTCCGCCTCTCAGAAGGTCAAGCACGCCAACCGTGTAATGTCTTGGGCGTGGACCGCAGAAGGGGCGGGTCTCTAATATCCGTACCACTGTCCGTCCTCGCGAGGCCTGGAAAAGGAGTGTGGGAACAATCGCAGCGACACTGCCCGTATCGATTCCGAGACTCCGCTTTTTCTCAGGCCTCCACGAACGCAATACGCCAAATAACACACGAATGGTTTTGCCACCCTCCGCTATCTGTCGCGCAGCCTCAAAGAGATCCCCTTGACAAGACGCCGGGTTTCTTCATCGGGTGATATGTGTATTATTTGTATTGCGTGGCCGTGGGTTTTACCCCGACGGCCGGTGGAGAAAAAGTGGGAAGAGGGGATGGACGTGCGGGCTTATATACCGATGAGAGTGAGTGGCGCAGGGGTGGCTCGAGTGGCTTGGGCGGAAGAAGAGAAAGGTGTTTTGAAGCCACACGTGCGCCACCTGTCGAAACGCGCGTTAGGTAAGCGGTAGGTTTAGGTAAGCGGTAGGTTCAAAATGTAGACGTTTTGTGAAGATTTGACGAACGGGAAGGTCTTGGGATCTCGTTGTCGCTTTGAAACCGGACCTCTTGGAACCGCTATTCTTTCTGATGTGGACCTCAAGCAGAGAAGGCTCGCTGAGTCGGGGTTCGGGACAGTGTGCCTGTAACATTTCCTTCGGCGCGCAATTTTTTTGCCCATATCCCTAACCCCATGCGATTGCTTTGCTTCAACCCTAACCTCCACTGCAAACAAAACGTGGAAATTTGACTCAACCGACTCTGACTCGGAAGCTGCGCAGCACGTCGAATGTGACACGGATTGCGGGTGTTTAGCATGGCTGTGCCACGCTGCGAGCTTCTTCCACCGACTTCCCCGACATCTCCACCATCCCGGCCGCCGTCTATAAAAGGAGCCCCCGTCCCCGCATCCCCCATCTCCTTTCTCTCCAATCCTCTCTGGCCTTTTGGCTAAGATCAAGTGTAGTATCTGTTCTGTTTAGTTTGACAACTAAACCTACTCGCATGCCGAGTATCTTTGTCAATCAGATTTTTGAAACTCGTTGGGCCCACCATGGGCTTGCTCATGGCCCTGACACTGGTGTCCCCAGTATTGCACTACTTCTGGGTGACGCCGAAGCTCCTTGAGCACCACAAATAAAGGGAGAAACATAAAATGGAGGGACTCTGATGTCGACTTGTCAGCTGGTGCAGTCGCATTGGGGAGAACGGGCGAGGCGTTTGTAAATCGGCGGGGAAGTTTGATTCCGGGGTTCTTGAAGCACTTCATAACTGCGGTTTACGAGTATGTTGAGGTGCGTGCAATGGCGCTTTCTGTTGGGATCAGTAGCCATGCGTTCTGCGCTGATATCCAACGATTGGAACCGATCCTCCCGGTGTAAGTTCATAGCGGGTAACCCTACTGATGTAGAGGCTAAAGTCAGCAGACAACACAAACACCCCCGGTCTTACCAAACACCATTCCCGCCCTATGGATTACGTTCATAACTCTTTGTTGTCATTATACTGCAAAGCATCACTGCTCCTCGTCGCACTTGGCTTCATGTTTGTCTCTCCAGGTTGCACTCTTGAACTCTCTGTTGCAATGGCGACATGTGGGCTTCGGTTTCGACATGTCCTCTGTTGCCATAAAGCAGGTCGCACCTGGCCGTGCGCAGTCGGCCCCAGCAGTGGTTGCCTAGGACAGTGACAGATTCAGTTCAGATTAGGGGTCTCGTATGATGCAATGATCAGCGGCGAGGACACTCGGACACTCACTTAATTTCGTGGGCGACCTGCTTTATGGCAACAGATTGTACATTTTGCTTCATGGTTCGAGAGGGTCTTTGCGGTGGCAAAGTTTTCCTTCTGGCAAAAACGGCAGATCAAGGGGACCCACGCAGGGTTCTGGTCGCATTTCACGATGTGATGGTTGTACGAGTCCTTGTTGTTGTACGTGGATGGACACCATTCGCACGTCCAAGTGCGACAGTCCGAAAAGTGTCGTTCGAATGCACGGCGACCAATATCCTTGTTGCATGTGGGACATCGCTTTTTACATATCATGTTTGGTGAAATAATGATTCCGAAGGAGCGTTCGCGGATTCCCCTTGATATTAGCGCCCACCACATAAAGGCACGCCGGGAAGGTGCACTGTTTGTGTTCTTCCACAGTACCGGTCCGGGCACGAAAATCGGTACGAAAGAAGGACCTAAACGAGCCGCACTGCATCTACCCAATGTACCCATGCATGTGCGTCTGGCTGGACATTCCCGCAGATCACAATCAAACGAAACCGTCACCTACAGCCCATCGATGTATACGTAAAACGAAGAAACGATACAAACTCCCATTCTTGCTTCCCCAAACCCATCATCGCCCCCGAAAACGCATCTTGCCCTCCAGACCAAAATATTCGTCGATGAAAGGACACAGACGCGGAAGACTGTCTGTGGGCAGATAATGCGCGAGGGTATAATTCGATCGGTCGCGGACGATATTTGTACACGAAGCAAACAGGTATTCGCGTCAACGCAGAGAGGTTCATGACCAATGACCGGAGATGCGGCACACACGCACCCTCCATACTCCCACACCACCAACGGCGCCGTGAGTACCCTCCGTCCTGCGTTGTGTGTAATAATTTAGATGGAATAACTTGTGTTGGTATTGGCCCGGATGGAGGTGGTGGATGTGTCTGGGTTGTTGTGTTGCGGTGTCGGGTGCGGGTGGGAGCCGTGTATATACGGGGCGTAGGCCAGGTGGAATTGGAGGCGAGTGGATGTCTACTCCGCGCATACGTTCGCGGGTATGAGTTTGCCATCGGATCCGTGACTGGGAAGGCTCGTCGCCGGGTTCTGTTGGCCCACACTCACGCCTAAAACGAGATAAGGGTCAGCCCACGCTACCCTCGCACACCCCTCCCCCATGACCGAGAGAAAGCCTTACCGGCACAGTAACAACCTCCACGCCCCTAACCATCCTCGCCACCTCCGCCTTCCTCCTCGCGCCCCTCGCCACCCTCACCTGCCTCCTACATCTAAAGAATACAAAAACCGCCCCAAGCACCACAATCACAATCCCCTGCTTCAGCGTCGCCCCCACATACGCCTGATAACTATCGTCCGTCACCGTATACGGACAACTCCCCGTCAACCCGTTCACCCAGCATGTCGGTAAAGGCTGGTGCAGGGAGATCCAGATGTGGGTGTGGGGGGTGGAGAGGAGGAGGGTGTGCAGGGCGTGGGATTGAGGGGAGGTTTCGGGGGGTGTGAAGGTGTAGGGGGCGGGGCAGGCGGTGGTGGCGGAGGTGAAGGGGAGGGGGGTGGGGTGGATGTACCAGGTGTAGGGGTTGGAGAGGGTGTGGTTGGGGGTGGTGAGGTGGCAGGCGACGGGGTGGTGGGTGTCGCAGCGGTCTACTGTCCTGTAAACGGGAGCGAGAGAGGGGTGGGTTAGCTATTTGGAGAGTGTGGACAACGCATGGGATGATGTGATACGAACCACTTCCCGGTATCCCGCTCCATCACAGCACAATCATAACCCCTCCATTGAGCCGGCTGATTCGCCTCCCACGACCAGGTACTAGCTTGCACCAGCGGCTGCGGCACGCCCACACTAAACAGCGGGAAAAACCCGCACTGTAATATTCTCTCTACCGTGGCCTGGTCAAAAGGCTTCGCGGTCGATTCCGCGACGTACGGCCATGAGAAGGAGATGTTGCGTGTTGAGGTGGCGAGTTGAGCGGCGGAGGCGGTGAAGTTCGGGTTGGCGAGATCGAACCCGGTGCCGAGCATCGCGATCCCCGGCCCGGGGTTTGCGCAGGATGTGAGTTGGGACCCAGGGTAGATATCCGCGGTGGTGAGGGGGGGTATGCCGGACATTTCGGCCGCGGGGAAGATAAAGTCGGCGTCGGCGGTGGTGTCGTAGCCGGAGGTGGCATTCAGGTTGTTGGTTCCGAACGCGATGAGGACTTGGGTGCCGCTTGCGACGAGGTCTTTGCCGAGCGGCCAGCGGGCGGCGATGGGTAGGGTTGGGTCGGTGTTTGGCGGGATGGTGTGGTAGGGTGAGTCGGTCGCGTTGCTGTCGCGGAAGGCTTTGAGCATCACGGGAGTGTAGACTTTGTTTGACGAGATGGTTTGGGACAGGTTCCGTGTCGAGCCGGGCGTGATGGATGCGTCGTACGTGGTTCCCAGATCATGTAGATTCAGAATGAGTTGCAGGACGGTATTCTGCGATCCCCCGTTCTCCTGCGACGCCAGCCACGTCGGAAACGCAGAAACCACCGTGCCTGCCTGCAATGGTACCGCCGAACACACCGTCTCATTCCCCATACTCATCTCCTTCGCCATCGCCGCATCCGCTCCCAATCTGATCGCCTCATCCCACACGGAGTCGGAGTACGCCACCGGACACGTCTGCCACGCCTTCCGACGGTTATCCCAATACAAATCCAACACAATACGACGAAACAATCCCGAAAGCAGCCGCTGCGTCTGCGCGAACGCCGTGAGGGTGTAATTCCCGTTGAGCACGAGCGGGTCGAGGACGAGTCCGGCGCCTGAGGCGCGGTTGGCGGGGAGTGAGAGCGAGAGGTCCCGTTGGGTTCGTACGGCGACGGTTATGGCGACGGTGTCACTGTCCTTGGTGTCAGAGTTTGAGTATTGCCCACGGGCGGGGGGAAACATGGCGAAGAGGGTGAGGAGAACGAGAAGTGTGAATGTCCATGTCGCAGGGTGCCGTCGGTAATTGTGTATGAAATGCGTTGTTAGCCGTTTCCGCGCACGAGACCTCTCCGCCACCACCTTCCCTCTGCCCAACGACGCCTGTTTAGTGGTCATGTTGCTAGTGATATTGGTCGAGCGCTGTGCGGCATTGTTCGTCCTCCTCCCGGCCGCCAATGGATGTCCACTTCACACTGAAAACCGTAGTGTTGCAAGTTCCTTTCCACGACTCCCCGCGGGTATGTACTTGCAAGGGAAGTTAATATTCAAAACGAAGCGAGCCGCCTGCAGATGGTATGAGTGGGGAACAGGGGAGGGTTAATGAGGTTAATGTTGCGGCATTAAAGTGGTCGGAGTCGACGCAAGGGAAAGAAGTCTCACGCGAAGAACACCCCGCGCCACGACGTCTCACCTCCACTCGACAGAGTCCTGACAACCACAACCCTCACACTGCCCTTCGGAAGCACAACTCCAAACCGAAATGTTCTCTGTCCAGGCCCGCCGCCGCGTCGCTACCGCCCTGTTCCAGACAAGGGTGAGTTTCGAAGGGTGAAGCACGCCCGCCAGTGACAGGTCATCTCCGCCAAGATGTCTCACGGGGTGACATCTCCTTCACTCTAGTCCTTCACAACGACGACTCCTACCGCCTTCCTTCGTCGTAAGTCCCGGTCTCGGGCCTGGAGACTTCTACTTCCTAAAAAGATCACTCGGCACATATACTATAATCAACCGGATTCTAACGACACGCACCCCTCCCAGCCGACTACCAAAAAGTCGTCCTCCTCGGCAGCGTCGGCGAAGACGCCAAGCGGATGACCTTCAAAAACGGCGGCTGCATATGGAAATTCCCCCTGGTCACCAAAGAGCGGAAGAAAGATAAAGAGACGGGTGGATGGAAGACGGTTAATCTGTGGCATCAGATTTCGTTTAATGGAGAGGAGCTGCCGAAGGATTTTGAAAAGGGGTAGGAATGGACTTCTGTGGGAGATGAAGACGATTGTGTTGGTTGATTTGAGGCATTGGTTTGGGGTTTGTAGAGCCTATGTAATCGTTGAAGGGAAGCTGCACTACTACAAGCGGAAAGGCGACGGCCCGACCGTTGCGCAGATCAAAGTGTCACAGGGTAAGTTGTCTTCGGCGAATAGTTGGCAAACCTCATCCTTGGCTTCTTATCCGTCAAGTCTGTGTATGCAGAGGGGCTCAATGTGACACGGCGGGCGGATGAGGAGTTCGGTCCAAGTCAGCAGGAACAGGAAGATGGTGGGGAGGGAGAGCATCAGGCAGAGGAGAATGGGAATCAACAGGAAGGTGGGGAGGGAGGCCAGGCGTATGGGAGGTAGAAGCTTTTGGTACAGTATTTGATCTCGACCCATACGGCGTGTTAGGGCGGATGTAGACAGTCTCGCGGGAACAGCGTCTGCTGTATATAAGGATTCACGAAATTGAGGACAAAGGCCACACTGTACATACTTGTCGTGATAGGAGCAGTGAATGAAATGAGGGTAATGCGGCCATTGCAACGCATCGATAAGAATCAGAGGAAACGGTACATACGGTATCTAGGTCTTTTCAGAAAAGTCCGTTGAGGGGGATACGCGATACGCGCCTGTCATTTGGCGGAGGAACCAGAAACTGACAGCGGATCCTGCAACTAACTGCAACTACTGCACCACCCGGTGGAAGACAACATACGACAGCCGCACGTTCAAACACTTAACGCACACAATGAGCCAAGCGGCAGATCCCACAGACAGACCCGCAAGCAATCAAGGTATCTACCGCATAACCGTCCCTCATAGCACACGTGCAGACCCTTGAACCAAACGACCTATCTGTTTCGCACCAGTCCCCGAAAATGCAGCAGATAAAAGCGTTGCGCGGGGTTTGGGAAAGTAAGTCCAGTTATCTCCGCTTCAAACTTCCAAAGAGCGACGACGATTCGCAGACTGACATATGATGTGACGTGATGTGATGTTCGTTAGGACGGGAATGAACGTCGACGTGCAACAATACATGAACATGAACCATTTCGAGCAGCTCATGGTGCTCTTCCAGGAACATGAGGACGAGACGGGGGAAGGCGGGTTTGATATCGACAAGGTGCGTCTTCATTCCCATCCTTTATTATTTCCCCCTCCCACCCCCATGACTGATAGAATGAGTCGTTTCTTTTTCTTTTTTAGTTTAGGGAGGTGTTTGGCATTGTAGTAGGCGGCAACCTAACACACGACCAGATGACGATGCTGTTTATGAAGATTGACGCAAACAGCGATGGGAGTGTGGATTGGGATGAGTTTAGTACTTATATGATGGGTAGGGCTAAGGAGAATTCCGAGGCGGTATGTATTTGGGAGAGGAGAGGGGGGAGGCGGGAAACAAAAGGCTGGGGCGAGCCGTGAGCGTGGGACAAGGAGGGTGAGGCGGGCAGGTGCGGGCCGGGTGGTACACTGCGGGGTTGCTCGAGGATGGGGAAGCTGATTCCATCGTGCGATGGCGAGGAACCTGTGGGGAGCGAGGCGGGTCGCAGGGATACTTGAGACCTGGCATCGGTTCTATCTGCATCTCGCGTCCAACATCCTCGTACGAGCAAGCTGAGGGAAGCAGGGTATCGTTCATCCATGGTCCCCTATTAACGTTTCTGCCCCTCTTTTTTTTCATAGCAAAGCATCTTCGACGAACGCGTCCGCAAGCTCTTCAACTCCCCGCACAAGGACATCATCCGGTACATCGACTACATCGCCAAAGAGCGCAAATACATCACCGTCAGCCGCGAGGGGACGGTCTGTTACTGGTCCTCCACCCTGAAACTGCAGCGGATCATCGCCGCCAAGGATTTCAATCGCCATGCGTGGGTGGCTGATGCGGTGTACCTGGCGGAACATAATCGGTTGATTACGGTGACGGATGATCGACAGTGAGTAAGTGTGCGTGTGAGGTGCGTGTTGTGGAAATCTGTCCCCTTGCTGATCTGTTCGGACTTGTGATTCCCCTGGATAGTTTCTGCGTACATGACATAGCCTCCGTCAAGCCGCGCCTGGTCGTGACGCTGGGGCAGTTGGAGCATAACCCGCTGTGCATCGCCTACGGAGGCCACCTAGACGAAGACCGCGACCTTATCCTCTTTGGCGACGAAGGCGGCTACGTCAACGTGCTCAACATCACGCGCAAGTTCCTCACCGATAACGAAGCCCACGAGGAACTCTCCCCGTTGAAGCTGAGCAAAAAGGACTCGTTGAAGAAACATAACGCTACGTTCCTCCGTGTATGCCTCATCTCCCCCCCCCGCTTTTCCCATCATATGCCCCCACTCACTAACCCGCCCTTTTCTGATCTCTTAGCGAAAAGTGCACAACGACTGGGTCACCCGCGTCCACTACTACCCCGAAATCAACGCGTTCATCTCCTGCGCGCCCGAAAGCATCCGCTCCCTCGTCATCGGCGACATCGAGCGCAAAAGCTTCCGCAGCGTCAACGTGCCCAAAGGGATCAAATGCTTCGAGTTTTGTCGCCGCCCATCGTTTCTGGTTACGGGCGGGAGGGATAAGATCATGTATGTCGTGGGACACCGTTATGGATGTGTGTGGATGTGAGGGGACTTATGAGTGATGGGTTCCGGTGACAGACGGCTGTGGAACCCATATGTTCTCTCCAAACCCGCCGGCACGCTGCACGGCCACACCGCCGCGATCGCTAACATCTGCGTTAACCACGAGGAAGGGCATATCATCTCCCTGTCCGAGGACCGGGTTCGTACAATCACCCCCTGTTCCCAACCCCCATCATCCTCATCCCGTTAACGGTGATATCTTTCCACCAGGTGATAAAGATCTGGTCCGCCCGCAGCCTCAACTGCATGCAAACGCTCGCCGAAAAGATCCCGCAGAAACCGGACGACCTGATCTCGGCCATCTTCTTCGACCAGTGGAACGGGCAGCTGGTCATGGGGAGTGAGAAGTTGCAGAGTTGGCCGGTACCGTGCGGAAAGCCGAGGACTTTGTCTTTTGAGGACGAGAATCGGGGGCGCTGATGAACCGTGGTGTGGGTTTTGTTTTGTAAAGCTGTATAAAACCCATCGCGCGGCTGTGTCGAGGAGCCATGACGCTGGCGTCGTCGCTGCCATGTTCAACGAGAACTTCCATCAGGTAAACGGTCCCCTCCCCCCTTTCATCTTCAGCACACCCGACGCTCACCATCTTCTACTTTTGTAGGTGGTCAGCGGCGCGCAGGACGGCACGATCTGTATCTGGGACATTGCGACGGGCGAGCGCGCGTTCTCGTATCATAACGCTCATGGGGTACGGCAGCTTCACTCCCCCCGGCCCCTTCACTCCCGATGAACTGATGTAGGATATTCTGCCAGAAACTGGAAATCACAGCAATGTGTTTCGACCGCAGCGGCCGCCGGCTCGTCACGGGCAGTCGGGACGGGGTTATCAAGGTGCGTTGCATCCCCATGCCGTCCCATACCCATACCCATGTCCCCATGTCTTTTCCTTCTCCCATCACAGTGAGACACAATGACTGACATCCCCCCTGATTTCGCAGATGTGGAACTTCAACAACGGCCAAATCCTCCGCCGCATGAACAAAGACAACGCGTTGGAAGTCACCGACGTGCTCTACGTCGAGATGGTAAAAAAAACAAAACCAAAATACACAAAACATACCCTTCCCCCCTCCTCTCCAGCGATATTAATGAATGTGAACTGTGCGTTAGGGAGCAAACCGGTTCATCGTAGGCGTGGGCTGGGACCGCAAAGTGACGATATTCCTGGACGACCCGGGCCATTTCGAGGCGCGGCCGGTGCGGATCATGCATGGGGGCGGGGCGGGGACGCATCGGGGGTAAGAGTTTTCGAGTCACACCCCACGACATCTGCGGGGGATGCTGATCTCCCCGTTGTGGAATAGACATCAGGATGATATCTCCTCGGTCGCGTTCGCCCCGCCCTCGGTGCTCGCCACCGCAAGCGTCGACGGGATCATCGTCATCTGGAGTCTCGAGTCCGGTAAGCTTGCCCCTCAAAAAAGAACCCACAGCCACAGCCACATACCTCATCCCACCACCCCCCACCCCCGCGCAGGCTACATGAAGCTGACCCTCTCGGAACCGTTCCTGGACCTCCGCTCGAAAGAAGAAAAATCGATCGAAAAGATCGTGTTCATGCCCTCGCTCGATAGGCGGTCCAAGAAGGTGCCCGTGCTGGTGTCCGTGCATGCCGATGGGTGTCTGAGGGCGTGGGATGCCGGGGAGGGGGGGATGGTGTTCGAGGTTCGTGCATACATTAACGGGGGAATTTTTTGGGGTACTGATATATAATGGTCTTGGGTAGATGAACTGCCAGGCGTCGGAGGACGAGGGCCTGACGGTGATGTCGATCAGCTCGGATGGGGGGTTGATTATCCTGGGCGGGTCGAAGGGGCATGTTAGGGTACGTGTCACCACCTCCTCTTTCTCTAGCCCGTCATCTGACCGGGGCTGTGATGTGCACAGGTGTTGGATGTCAACCCCGCCGCGCTGGCGGCTAGACCCCCGGGAGGAGGAGGGAACGGGGACCCGTTCTGTGTGCAGAAGACGATCTGGAGGGCGCATATGCAGAGTATCTCCAGGTATGCCGCCTCGCAATCCCCACTCATAACATATCCCCCCTAGAGTCAGAGTCACACACCATCCACATCGCATCTGTCCCAAAACCCCACCCTGCATCGATTGTCCTTACTCGATTGTTCTTTCCGCAGCGTCAACTACGCCAACGTCCACAACATCATCCTCACATGCTCCAAAGACTGCACGATCCGAGTCTGGACGCTCTCGGGCACCCACATCGGGATCTTCGGGCAAGACACGCCGTGGATCCTCGGCGACGCGTCCACGTACCGCCCGCACCCGGAGGACGTGCAGCAGGCGGCGCGGATGGAGGCGGAGTACATGCGGATGATCGTGCGCCATCAGGAGGGGCTGAAGAAGAATGTCATTGAGAGTTGGAGGGGGTTGAGGGGTGCCGGGGCCGTGAGTGCGGTTTTGGGCGGTGAGTAAAGGGGTTGCGGGGCGGATGATGGTTTGGGGATTTTAATGATGTTTTGGATGGGTGCGCATAGACGACGACCCACCGCGGCAGGTGACGGACCCGAAGGAGGGAGACTCACCGACCGAGGACCGGTCGTCGGCCTCCTCGACGCCCGACAATCAGCAGATCTTTGAACCCGGCGAACGGGCCGAGTCACAACCTCTGGAATCGGGCGGGAAAGCGCGCGGCGGGACGGCGATGGCGGATATCAAGCGGATGCGGGTGCGGGCGATCCGGATGCAGGCTTTGACGAAATGGTTTGGTATGCCCAGTTCAATACTCCAAAAGGCCCTGGGAAGATAAAGGCTCTGCTTCTGACATCTGTTTTGGGGGAACCAGATGTATACGAACGCCGAAAATGTGCGGCGGATTGGACTGTTACGCCTGATTTGACGGGTGGCGGGTCGCAGACAAAGGTACGTCTTAATATCACCGAAACCTCCTCCGCCCCTCTCACTCTCACGCTCCCCGATGATGACTTCACAGGCCCACCACTTCGCCCTCCGCCCCCCGACGAAACCGCACCCCCCGCGCCCGCGCCTCAACGTCAGTTCCTCGGCGGTATACCACATGCTCGCATACTACCCGCTCGCGCAGATCGAGGTGCCGAGCATGCTGGGTGGGAAGCGGAGGGGCGCGGGTGACAAGGCGGGCGTCGACGTTGCCGTGGGCGGGAAGACGGGGGGGTTGCCGAGTTTGGTAGGTTTGGGTGTTCCGCCCCGGCTTGAGATGTTTTTGGATGGGGTTATTAACTATTTTTTGTGGGCGTAGAGGAAGGAACGGGGGATCCCGCAGGTGGCGGGGAAACAGAATGCGATCAAACTGGCCGATTGAGATCCCCCATCTGTATAGCTATAGAGCGTCCGTGGTTTTACATCATCTCCGACCCGCTCCTAACAGATGAAAGTACCTCTGTTCGTTGTGTATATATCACGCTGTACTGTACTTTGTGTGTTACCCCAATGACGATGTGTGTGATGCATAATGGAACTGGGATTGTTCTCTCAGACGGCTGCCGGACCACTCGTCCTCTCGTTACCCTCTCTCCCCATCAGCAAGCCGCTCCTGTCCAAAGCCTCGATGAAGCGGCCCATCCCCGTCTCCGTCTTCAATCTACGTTCAACTTTCCATTCACGCAGAGAAAACAACACAAGTCTGAAATCGACGGACTGTGAAAGGCGCGCCGGATAGACGCGATATATTCAATGCTTTTTTCACAAGACTATACGGCCTGCGCACAGGTGGAGTCGGCGCGGGGGGTGAGCGAAAAAAGCGGGGGCTTAAACATATACAGGTTGCAAAAGAACGACTTGCGGGTGGGGTGGGGTGGGTATCGTGGCTCATGCGCCAGGTCGTGACGGCTTGTTCTTCATCGCTACAACATCGAGCAAAAGAATGAGTATATAAACGACGCAAATGGCACTCGAATGGAACGCCTCCACCTTCTTATGCGTAGCAGCACACGCGGGACAGAACCACGACCCTTTAGGTGGCGCGGTGAGGCCGACGCATTCGTAGTGGAACCATTCCAGGTCGCACTATGTGTGGGAAAAAGGGGTTGGCATATGAGGATGTCTTGTACATGCAACGAGAGGAGAAAACTTACATCCGAATTATCACACTAAATCATTTTAAAAAAACCACATAGTCAGCATCATCCACCAATCACCAAACCACCCCCACAATAACCACCACCATCCTTCCGTTACTCACCCCAATCATATCCCCAAAACTAACCCGCCCACAAATACAATACGTCGGCTCGTTCGGATCAATCGGTAAATCCATCACTATCTTATCCTTCAACCCCGCACCCGTCGTAGCTGTTGTTGTTGTCGTTGTTGCCGTTGGACGTTTATCGAGGGTTGGGTGGGTGGTTGTTGATACACTGTCAAAAAATGTTATGAGATAAGTCTGGGCGTGTGATAGGAAGGGATGCAAACAACCGTACATTTTCTTGGTATTCTTCCCCTGCGTCGCCGCCGAGCTCTTCTTATTATTTTGCGACACCAAGTCCCTGTCAGCGACCGAAGACGCGCGCGTGTCGTTCCCCGGTTTGGGTGTCGAGCGATCCTCCAGACGTGGCGTGCCCCGTTTTTGCTCTAAAGTATAAAATCGATCCCATGGTCAACCACCGTTCAAAAAACGCAAATGCGCAATCACACGAACTCACTCTTTTTGGGCGTCTCCCCACCCGCACCGGGTAAGCCACGCTTATCACCCTTTTGGAAAGCAGTGGATCCGCGGCTGTGGGAGGACACATCGACGTTCATCGATCCGTAGGCTTTAGGCCCGGTCATTTGCTCTTCTTCGAATTTGGAAAGGTCGTCGTCTAGCCGGCGGCAGTGTTTGTCGACCTGCAAAAAATACAAGGAGGGAAGCGAAGCGAACGAAAGTGGGTCAGCCGAATGGAGTGAGTGTGGATGGATAAAGCGTTGCGAAGCGAAGCGAAGGTTGGTTGATGGAAGAAGCGACATCCTGCTCGCTCCGCTCGCGACGGTGAGGAGGTTGGGTTGCGGTGGGCAGGAGCGTAGCTCGCTTTGCTCGCTAAAAGATCTGACGCTCGCTCGCTAATTAACGTGACTCGCTAACGCTCGCCAATCGAGGGGCTCGCCATCGCTCGGCTCTCGCACCCACCATTTCATAAGTCTGAACAGCCAGCGCGACCTTCTCCTCCCCATGCCTAAGCGTCTCCTTCAAACACCTCGAAATCTCCTTCAATCTATTTTCCACCTCTTCTGGGTTCAAATCCTTCAGATCATCCATAAACTTCTTAGTATCGGTTGATATGCGGGTTGTTGCGTCGTGGGCGCGGGAGTCGAGTTCTCTCATCTGAACATGGAAATAAGTAAATTCGGAATGGCTATTGGTACGTAGACGAGACAGGGGGTATTAACCAGGGAGAAGTTTCGACCGAGCTCAATTGGGAGGGACTCGATCGCTGCGGGGGGAGTTACATAACAACGGAATGGTAAGAACACTGTCCCACGTTTTAAGGAAACACCGCGCGGCGGTCGTTTTGACAAGCAGCGGCAAGGTGGGGGAGTGCTTACTGTCGAGGTAGTCCTGCGTACGAGGGAGGGGTGGTGGGTGTTAGCAGCGATATGGTATGGTGGGGGTAGTAGTGGGAAGGGTGTAGGGGTGAGGGTACCTCTAGGTATAAGAGGGCCATTGCTGGTGCAGGAGTCATTCGAAGTCTCGAGAGGGAGGGGAGTGTAGGGGCTCCTTTGGCGCTAGTCCTGCCGCTGGCTGGGTTTCAGCGGGGCTGCTGGGGTTGTTGTAGGGTTGGGGCAGAGTGAGTGCTAATGTGAGGGTGGTGGTTGCGCACAGCCGTCGTCGTCGGTCCAAGTCGCAAGTCGCCCCGTTGCCCATTCTCTCCAGTTTCCCACGCTCACTCAGCAAAGGGCTCACAGGGCGTTAGGCAAAGAGGGACCTCGAGAAGCGCCCAAGCTATTCCCTATTCCCCACTGGCACGCACAGCAGGCTGATACCCTGTCCTACTGTATATGCCTGCACGCTTCGCTGTAGTGTCCCCACTCCTCCCATTCCCCTTTGGGCAAAAGTCATCGCCAAAGATGCTCGCTGCATACGCCTCCCCAACCGTCATCCTCCCCACCAACACCCAAGAAGTCCCCACCACCCTCATCCTCGGCGGAAAACGTCTCTCCCTCTCATCCTCCCGTACACCATCCATCACCCTGCCCGGCGGAGGCCGCTCCCTTACCGGTCTATGTGTTCCATCACGGCAATTAACGAAAAAACAGCAGCAACCAAAACCGCGACGGAAAGATGAGAATAAACGACGTCCGTTTTGTCCGGCAGGTGTGAATGTGGGGAGTGGGGGGGGATGGAGGCCCAGGTCTATGCCGGAGATTAATGGGAAGATTATTGGGGTGGGGAGGGATTCTACACATGGTGAGTGGCCGAACGGAGGCAACTCTTAGCGAGCCTCAGCGAGCACCACATTGCGCCAAAGGCGCAAGATTCCCCTCATCCACGCAGGCCAACCTCCTCGTCGCCGGCGGAGCGAGCAGGGTGTCATTAATTATCCGACCTTCCAACCATCTAACCCCCATCAACCTTCGCTTCGCCCACCATCACTCATCTGTCGCTTCGCTTCGCTCGGCCATCCTTCACTCCGCTCACCGCTGCCCAACATCCTTGGTTTTTAGAGCAGCCTCAACATGCGTCTCAAAGCAACAGCAGCAGCAGAAGCACCGTGTCGTTGCCATCGACATCCACGTTTAGAGCGACTGCAGTAGCGAAAACGAAGCAGAAAAAACCGCCGGGGAATTTGGTCAGGGCGGATAGGACAGAGTCGAGGAGTACGGTGGCGAGTGGGAGTAGTGCTAGTAGCTGTGAGTCACGCAAAGAAAGTATTCCATGAGGGATGGAAGGGGAATTATAATCGGTTCTTTTTTCCGTGTAGCGACCACGGCATCTGTTGAAGGCGGCTTGACGGTATGCCTACCATGCTTCAAATTCTGTCGCGATCCATTATGGCTAACGATCAACGCCCCGTTCACAGAACCGCACCCTAAAACGACGCCTCAAACAACTCAGTGAGTTCCCTCCCAACCCTTCCACGCTCATCCCAACTCAACCTTAATGATCGCACCCCAACACTCTCAACAGTCAACACTACAACCATCCCAACCCCACCAACAACACTCGCATTCGTCACCGACTCGACAGCAACAAAACAAGCCCGCATGCACCGCCGCGCCCAAATTATCTGTCTCAACACTTTATTGGCACATGTGGAGGAACAGATGTACAAGAGGAGTCAGGGCGGGGGGTGTTTTGCTGTTTAGGGATAGGAAGGGAGGGGGTTAGCGATTAGAATAGAGATAGATGGCCGGGAGAATGTTAGAGGTAGTGGCAGGTTTTAGGGGAGGACGGCTTTGTCTTATGATGGGGAGGCACCCCTGGCACCCGAGCCCAGCGAGGAACACATGAGGGGCGACGGTGATATCATATAGAATGGAGGGCTCACAGGAATACGGGGGCACATCTTTATGAATAGATGGGGGCATGTTTGATGGAAAGACTTTTTGCGCGGTGTTGGACTTGTTGCAGAGGGGCGACACATGCGCGTCAGAAGATGCGGTGCATAGATTATTTGCCTTTAGGTAGCCGTGGAGTTTCCCCGGGCTGGCAGCCTGTGTTTTTTCCAGAACACCCTCAAAGGGCGCTCATCTGCCGAATACCAAGGCCCGAAGTGAGGCATTGAACGAAAACTGTATGTACACTAACGTCGCCAGGCGAGCTGAACGAACCTGTTTTTCATTGCTCTTCCGAGTGGATAGCATTGGACGGCGGGCCTGTTTCGAAGTGAACGGAAGGACTGTACTGACGGGCATCCTGTCAATCCACCCTCCACAGATTTTTGCCCCCGGCGCCGTCCGTATCTGTACCGCTTGTCGTTGTTTCCCCCCCATACCCAGACTCATGCAAGAAAATGGGGTTTCTGAGACGGGGTTGAGGACACATTTCATCGTACCTGACGTCCGTTTAGCGGTGGAGCTGAGGTTAGAACAATTGCGGGCTTCGAGGGCGAGTCGACTCGGGCGTGGGAACCCAAACCCCTTTGCCAGGAAACCAAGACAGTTCGGACCCCCTACGGAAAGGAGACTCCTTTTTCTCTTCTCACGTCCCCTCAAACATACAAGAGCATGCCAGGCGGGGAACGCTCTATTGCGGTGCGTGGCGACCATCGGGCTTCCCTGTTGGGGGAAGGCTTCTGGGCATGAAAAATTATGCTGAACGATGGTTCCACGGAGTTTAGCGAAGGGGGTTGAGGAAGCGGAGGAGGCGGCGTGACGTGTAGGTCGAGGAGGGTTGGGTCGCCAATACGGTCGATGACATCTCCCCACGGCGATGGCGGGGCGACAGGGCGGGTCCACGCCACTCCCCGCCCCCTATTTATGTCCAAGGAGTATCGGTATGTGTCGCCGCGTTCAAAGACCGGCGGGCACCAAGATTCTCTCTTGGAGAGGAAGGAATGTGCGAACCGACCATGGGGGGATACGACCTTGTGGATACAGTGTCCCTGATTTGGTGGGGGGATCACGGAGGGCAGCTGGAGGGCAGGGTTGAGACGCGCATCAATGCGAAGTGCACCGAGAGATCGTCTGGACGTTCCGATGCGCCGAGCGTAGCACAACGGAAGTGTTGTTTCTTGCAACCCAGAAGGGACGGCCCCGCGAGCGGTCAGTGTCGATGGGGAGCTGCCGAAGAGACGGAGAGGTTTGCCCGTAAAGCTACACTGATCGGCACATCGCTGCCTGGAGTTCCAAGGACGCAGAGCAACGAAGATTGGGTCAGCGCCAATTCCGTTGGCGTTAAAACATCGCTCACACGACTTCTGTCATAGACGGAGCAAAAGGACTGGACTGGGAATCAAAAGAATTTTTGGAATACGTCGAGCTTGATGTCGCCAACTACGATCCTGCCGTCTGAGTGACTTGATTGCTGCAATGACATTTCCCCAACGAGAAGACAATGGAAGCGTCCTATGTGGCTCCGTTTTCGTCAAAGCCTAACCTCTCTATGTCTGTTTGAAACAGGTGACCTCAATCGCGTTGGTGCGGACGAACACGAAGAGGTAGGGGCAAAGGGAAGGGGAAGGCGAAGGAGGGAGATGGAAATTGGGTTGGACGGCCGCGACGACTAGCAGCGATTGTCGAGCAGCCGCGCCCATGTTGCCGCTTCACGACGGCAACCGCAACCGCGGCCAATCGTCATTGCCGACGAAGAGCTCGCCGCCCTGCCGGACTAAGCCGTCGCCCTTGACGCCGTCCTCAAGAACCTCCTCTCCGCCGCGATCGCCACGATCCCAAAACCCCGGACGCACACCATGCGCGCCTCACATGGGCGCAGGGGAAAGTTTGCGAGATTGTCTCTCTGTGGCCCCTGTAGAGGAGGACTTCCATGAGAGCGATGAGTTGCGCGACGCGGATTGGGGAGCGAGGTTGCTGATGGTGGAGGGAAAAATCCCCCTGAATCGCCCATTGAAAGGGAAGGAGTCCCGGACAGTGCATCGGGGCACGTTTTGGGAACGCTGTGGCGGCTTTTCAAGCGAACCGGGACCGTCGACGCATACGAGACAGGGGTCTGGACGCTGCGGATGCTGAACACCTTTGCACACGGTGCAGGCCTCCGCAAAAGGCGCGTGATCGTCAGGTTGTTTGCAAGTGTTGTCCACCGGTAGTTCATCCACCTGCGAAGGGCAGCCGCGAAGAGAACGAGGAGGATGCCGCCTCTCCACCCGCTTGCAGCATCCCGCACATCATGCTGATTCCCAGACACCATCGCCGCCGACAGGCGACCCACCCTCGTCCGTCCGCCGATCCCCATTTGCACCATCGCATCATGTCCCCTCGTCCAATGATGGGGTTCATTGCTAACGCCAACCACGTGTCAGTGCGTCTGGAGAAACACAAACCTTAGCATTCCTCGCATCGACACACGAACAAAAAAACACACCACTGTACCATACTCTTGCCGTCAACCCCACCAACAACAAACAACTCGCCCGCCTGTCCTCTGCCGCACCCGCCCCCAGAGAGGTTTGGGTACGACCGCCTGCAGGAATATCCCCACGCTTTTCCCCCATTCGCTTCCTTTGGGTTTAGGAGCAACAAGACACGCTGTGCGCCCTGATCAACGTCTTGGCGGGAGATCAACCTCACACTCCGCCTCTTAAGACTTACGCCACAGCGGGGTGATCAAATGCACGGAGCCCAAACCGGCCATCGGCGGAACGACGTAGCATGCGCAGCTTCTAGAATCTATGTACACGCCTGATGTCCCACAACGTCACGATTCATCCGCAAAGGTTGTGACCTCGAGGCTTTGCCCCCTAAGGTCCAAAATGCGATGACATATGCCCAGCACGGCTGGAAGGACGAAGATATGGAAGAAGGTATCTTGCGCACGGAGATTGGTGGTTGGGGATGACGACGGCGAGAACGATGCCTCCGTCCTGACTGTATGATGGAGCTTCGCCAGGAGGTCGCCGATACTCTACCGCCATACTCGTGCCACTCAGCGACCCGTCCGACCCACTGCGAGGCGCTTCGATAACTCCACATGAGGTCAAATACCTATCATTCCGTCCTACTACCCAACCACGCATACGTCCGCCTCCGGCATGAGATTAAATATATGCTCCTACCACTCTTAGAATGCCGCCGGCTTTTAGTTCATTCGTGCCGGTCTCATTCTCCAGTCTGGACAATTGCTACGTTTGCCTTAGTTTCCCCGAATTTCACCCTTGTTCACAAAACCCAAATACACCGCATACGCCCTACCATACTCGCCCATCCAGATCGCACAACTTGTTTGCGAGTTTGGGAGGCTACTACGGTAGCGAACGTACATGTTCCTCTGTTGTACCAGCCTTAGACCAACACTACCCTCGACATGAATTGATTGCAAGCTGGTTTCGGGGCTAAATCTTGTCATTCTAGTTTTGACAGGATGCTGTCATTTTTTAAACCCACAACCAACTTGCACCAGTTGAAGAGGAAGTGTCATGCTCCACGGGTTATCCCCATTGAAAGCCAGGACTCTGCTCTGCACGACCCATCTTGGTACAGCGGGCAACTTCACAGCTTGACTGCACTGTCTCATGAAGCACTCATGGCTACAATGAAACTTCCTCCGCCCAGTATTCGGATTCGTCAATCCCTGTCGGCACCAGTGAGTCGATCAGAATGCTCTGATACGTAACGTGCCATTCCACGTAACGTGCCAATCCAATTAGTTCTTCCCCGTCAGCGCCCAGCGCCAATCTTTTCACTTCATGGAGGCCGAAAGAGGGGAAGTCTATCGCACACGAGAACTTGATGCAGATTTTGGGAGATCTATGTATCTTCTCTACGCCTCGCAATACTAGGTCTAAAGGTGCATGATGGAAAACGGGGATCTATCTTCAGCGGAGGGAGAGGAGAAGCGATGTTTCAACGCGTCAAAAGGTCGGTGGCTACCCCGCTAGACTCCAGATCTTGGCCGTCTTGTCGTCGTAACCCCCGGTGAAGAGATACGCTCCGTCGGGTGACAGGGCCAGTGCGACTACCCAACCAGTATGCGGCACAAAAGTTTTCAGGAGATTGCCAGTTGCCACATCCCAGATCTTGACGGTGGAATCTCGCGACCCAGTAAACACGAGTTTGCTGTCGGGTGATACGACAATCCACCAGACCTGGTTCGAATGACCCGTAAGGTTGCGGAGCAGCGCGCCGTCGGACAACCGCCACTGCCTGACGGTGTATTCATTCAAACTCGCGCTGAAGAGTTGCGCGCTGTCAGGGGTGACGCCGAGAGAGATCACTGCACTCGGAAGGCCTTCCAGGGTGCGCAACACCGATCCTCCGAGGATGTCCCAATGCACAATTCCAGTGCCGTTCCCAACTAGAAGGCTCCGACCGTCAGGGGTTATAACAAGGTGTGCGATGGCGGAGGAAGTTGGCATGGATAGCAGCCGGTCGGGATTGCCGGCGTTGACGATGCTTCCTTTTTCGATCGTCCACTTCTTCACAACATCGAGAGGCCCATCCAATCCCCGAGCATACAGCTGGCGACCGTCTGGTGTGACAGCCAGGGTAGGGAGCCCATTTTTGTAAGCTGCGGGATCGGATGTAGAGGAATTGCGTGTCGGGACATCGTACTGCCAAATGGGGGAGCTGTCAAACCCCCCGCTGAATAACTTCGACCCATCAGGTGATATAGCGAGGCACCACATAACGTCAGTATAGGTCAAAGTTTCGACAAGCTTCCCAGAGGGACTTCCCACATTTTCACGGTGCGATCTGTGCTGCTGGTGAAGATGTGCCTGCCGTCGGGGGCGACGACGAGATCGTACAGGGCGTCAGTATGACCTGTGAGAGTTTGGACAAGCCTGGGTGTCCCGATGGTTGTTGTAGGGCTCGGTGTCGCTGCCGCGGGGGAGGATGTAGTGGTGGAAGGTGATGACACGGCCGACGGTGGCGCCTCAGCCGCTGCCGAACTTTTCCGGACGATCACTGTGACAGAGACGGCGGTGGCTATCAAGACAAGGATCGCACCGAGGAGGAGGTACCGAAGCTTTTTGTTCTGCCGAAGCCCCGCCCGCTTGGCCGGGTTCCCTTCCACTTGCGCCATAGTCGACCTTGGGCCGAATTGTTTTCCTTGATCATTCATCGATATCGAAAATAGCGGCGGGGTATGGTCTCGAGCCACCAACGTAGCGGACGATGGTTCCGGGGCATCATTAGGGCCCGCTGGTGGGGCCACTACATGTTCGGTAGAAGTGAGACCTTCGGAAGAATCGTTTCGTACTTCGGCACTCGTTGATTGCCGACTAGAGTCTGTCATGATCGCCACGGGCTTGTACATGCCGGAACCCACTGGCAATGACAGAGTGGACTCTCTTTGCCTGTCCACGTCAACCACTTGAGCATCTCCCTTGTGACGAGCATGTTGCGGTGAAAGTGGTACATGTTCATGTTCGTTCTCAGGAGCAGGAAGGGAACTATCGACACCTGCCCTCTCAACGATGGTGTAGGAAGGAGGAAGAGCGGCAAGGTCGTGATTCACACCGTGCTCCGGAATTCTGATCACGATATTCAAGCCCGCCCTCGAAGTGCACTCGTCCTCCGACAAGACCTGTCACACCTGTGCCAAGGGGCTGTCTAGAAGCGAGAGCTGAAGATTGTCGGCATCGTGGAATTTACCCGGGACGTCAAGTGAGCTGTCCGCGGCGGTAGAGCGAGATGTCGGTGATATCGTAGTAGGTCGGAAGACGAGTAGGAATTTGCGCTAGTATCTGGTTGCGGAGTTGGGCGACGGTGAACGAGCCGGTGGGGATGTCGACGGAGAATGCTCGAACTGGATCGTCGCCGTAGACCAGGCAATGCACGGCCGTCATCGTTCGTCTTCGGCGATCTTGAAGTCCGCTCAAGATTAGCTCTGAGTTTTCACTCCATGCCGGCGGTGCGACTCGGCTTCCAGCGGCTCAAATCTTGCTGAGGATATTGTGCGACATGGATGGCAGTACAGTGCAACAATAATAGCATGGCGAGGTGCAAAAAATGCAAGTGTGCCGCGATGCGCAGAGAGCAGAAATTTGTATGACGAGTTTTGACGGGGTTTGACAGTACTGCCTTCTTTTTTCCTTTGGTCTCCAAAACTGGAGCTGTCCCTAAACCTGCTATGGGAGACCAGCATTGTCGCGCGAGGCGCTGGTCCCTTTAGAAGGCTAGCAAAGCGCCCGCCCTAAACGCAAGCGTAGCGCACGGACGACGGCGACGAGCAACACTGCCAACTTTTTCTGCCACACCCACTTCTTCCATCCTGGAATGACGGTGACAACGCCCGGGAGCTGCATGCAACGCAGTGGCGTGGGCTACGTTGGTATATGCTTCGACTCCTTTGCATTCTCGAATCCCATCTCCAAGAGAACGCACATGGCCTCGAACGTAGTTACCGGGAGAGACTCCATCCTGCCGGAATGTAGTGCTTACAGCCTCCATGCACTGGACTGTGGCAACTACGCAGCTTGTGTTGCAATTTGCACCAGGAACAAACTTGATGATTCGCTGATGTGTCGAGCGACGACTTTCCGAACGTCGGAAACAGCCTCGCGAGCAATAGAGATAGTTGCATCTTACATATGTGGTCCCCGGATGCAACGTCGCATACCTCAAAAACCCACAAGACTGACCACAGCTCCTCTCGTCACAGAGGAACCGAGCTCAACTTCACAATCGCTAAACACCGAAATGAGCGTCCCGATCGCGCCCAAGTATGGGAGATCCTCCCTCTCGCCAGTAGAGGTTGCGTCTCCGGTTACACCAAGGCAGACGACCAGGCTACCATTACGACATTGTCCTCCCACGTCATCTATGCATCCAACGACTTTGACGAATAGAACATGTCATCACTCCTTCCAACTTTATACAGCTCGAAGAGTCTGTGGGGTTCCGGTTCATAGAGCAGGAGGGCGAAGATCAAGACAAGGACGATGATGAGGAGGAGGTTGGCAAGGAGGAGGACGCGATTGTTGGAGGCTACGAGAACAAACCTGGCTGGACTTGCAAAACAGCTTGCGCAGGGGCTCATCCCAGTTCAAGCTCCCCTTTCTAATGAGGGAGGTGAAGTAGTGCGTGATCTTCTGCAAGGCAGTCCTGAAGATGGACGTGCCGCTGCGGCCACCTCCCGCGGGATGCTGTGAGGTGTAGGTGGATCTGGAGGCGCGACAAGGGTTGAGCTGAGGCTGCAATCCTCTGAAGCAACCACCGACTCCGCAAAAGAGCACACTTGCTCATCTTGTGTTTTATTTGAGTTTACGCAGCGCAGGATCCCAGGGTTCTGCCGTGCTCTTCTCCAATGGCTGCCGGTGGAAAAGTTCCTTACACGTATTAGAACAGAGTATCGCTTCGCAAACCAAATGCTCGCCGTTAAATGTCCATCTCCAGTTTCGGCAAAGGAAAGAGACGGACTTCGCCCGGCACATGGCAAGGGAATTTTATGAGAACGGACTCTTGTTTGGGTCTTTACAGTATGTCCCGGTTGCCAGTTGGGGAAGGGTGATTATGAGCACGCAGCCTCGTTCGAAGACAAATCGTGGACGAGGGAGGGCCAGAGGGACGAACGCAAAAAGCTGCCACACTAGTGGAGGTTTCATTCCCCCAAAAGCTTTCCACATCAGCATCTGATTCATGCAGACACGGAGGCGCACACAAAAGAATCCACCCAGCGTCCTCCTTCTTCTCAGGTACTGTACGTACGTCAATCACAAGAAAGAAACTACCCCGCCGATCCATGAACCTACCGTCCGCGCTAACGCCCGCGACGCCGACCGCAAAGGGCAAGCACCAACCAACGAAAACGGTCCCTGGCAAACAGAGCACGCAGCGTGCCCGTGTCAACCGCCCGCGACTCCTTCATTGCTATCGGCGCCAACCACCAAACGTCTCCTCGAAACCTGAGTCATCTCGAACGCTTCACACAGACTGGGCTGCCGACACCGACCCTGTACGGAATCGACCGACGCCACGCCCTTACTTAGCACTCAGAACGACGTTGGGCAAAGGCCTCACATCCGGCACCACAAACCCCGTCCGCGACTCCACACTCCCATACAGTCTCTCCTTCGTGTAGTACGTCAGCGGCAGCGACCCGTCCGCGAGGTACGGGCAGAGGGATAGGAGGGCGTGGAAGGATGTTGACGCGCCGGGTGTAGTCTGTGTGCACACAGGTTGTTAGTGTGTGACGTGGGGTATACAGCAAATGGAGTGAGAGGCAACCGGACCTTCAACGCCCAATCAACCATATGCAGCCAGAAATACGTGACGGTGACGCTAAACGTCTTCGCGGTGGTCCTCCCACTGTTCTTGATAAAGGTCTCGATCGAGGCAAAGATCTTGTCTTTCCCCTTCTGCCGCCCGTACGTTGTGAGATACACATACGCGATGCGGAGATGCGTGTAGTGGTCCCAGTTCGGGAGTGTGAAGGTTTCCAGTTGCGTCAGAAAGACGGCGTCCGGGACGTCCGTGCGGGTTAACCACTCGGCAAGGGTTTGCAGATGGTTCGGGAGCGTCCGGGGAGGGGTTGTGGGCGAGGCGGAGGTGGCGGTGATGAGGGTGGTGAGCCAGTGGAAGGGGGCGTCGAGGTCCGTGGTGAGCGGGGAGGTGCTGGTTGTGGGGAAGACTTTCCAGAGGGTTTTGGGGGGGATGTGCGGGGCGAGGGCGGTTTGAATCTCGGTGAGGGAGAGCGCGGTGGGGAGGTCTTGTTTGTTTGCTAGTCTGGATCATGCAAACGATTAGTCCGGTGTCACCGTTCTTTCCTCGATCTGAACAGAGAGGATCTCGGTGTTTATCGTCGGTCGTCAACCCCACCCCTCGTCAATACTCACACAACGACCGGCACACTCCCCTCACCCTCCCCAACCTCCCTCGCCAGCCCCCCCAACTCCCTCCCCGCCTCCTCCACCCTCCCCGCATCCGCCGAATCAACCACATACACAATCCCCTGCATGCCCCCAAAATAGTGCCGCCGCAACGGCCGCATCTGGTCGCACCCGCCGATGTCCCAGAGCGTGATGGTGCCGCCATTCACCGACACGGTCTCGACGTTGAACCCGATCGTCGGGATCGTCATCACCGTCTCATTCTAAACCGACATGATATCATCAACAACCGCTGCGATACACGTGAGGATGTGAGGGTACCACTTACGGGACGAACAAGCCGGTATAGAATGGTGGTCTTCCCCGCGGCGTCCAGGCCGAGGACGATGGCTGCGCAGGTCGGGGTGGAGCGGGCGAAGAACCACTTCGTTGAGCATGTCGTGGCGGTCATTATGTGATGGCGGTGTGCGATGCCGGGAGTCCAAGTGTGCAGCGGGACTTGCCCTCTTGACGCTTCTTTCGTGCTTTCTGAGGCCGGTGGGCGGGATGAGTGGATGTGGACTTGCAACCTTCGGAATCCGGATTTGAGATCACCGAAAGTGCTCGCGGCCAAACGTGGCGCAAAACATCCCTCAGCACGCACCATCGGAGCTTTCGGAGCCTCCTGGTGTTCTGGTCGCTAAGCCCTGCCCCTCTCACAGACTATTAGATGATGTTGAGAGCTCACTGCACATCGACAGGGACAGGGACAAGGTACACCCGGTTGGCGTGAGACCCGTCTGCATTGGCCCAACTCAACTCCCGTCATTTGAAGAGCAAGATGCAGGGTATTAAAAAGAAAAATTCGGACGTAAAATGGAAAGATGTATATACAAAACAAGACAGAATTGCAAAGGCAGTGCAACAAAGAACCAGGGCGAAAAGGAAGCGTCCACCAAAAAAAAAGTGCCTCAGGGGAATCATCAATTTCTCTCCATCCCTCCATGCCCTATCTACCGCCTCTCCTGAAACGCATCCCTTATGATACACCTCAACATCTCATTATCCTTCCTCTTCTGCCCCAACTCCACAATCTCCGGACTCCCCTTCCCTCCACCCAGCATCCCCGCTGTCCCCACCGCACCCGCGTCGCCCCCTTCCCCCCCACTCTTCCCCCTCGACCCCCTCAACACCCGTTCATTAATCAGCGCAATAACCTGCGCCATAGCCCTCGGCGGCGGAAACCGTCTCCCAAACGCCTTGAGCAGTCTCACCACACACGCAAACCGCCTCTGTGAATTCTCCAGCTCGGTTTCATCGGACATGGCGGCCGCGTACGCGGACAGCATGATCTGTATGAACCCGGCTTCGAGGACGCCGAGGGAGGTGATGTACGAGACGTTGTGCGCGTGGCGGGTCGGGGCGTCCGGGGAGACTTTTTCGAGCAGTTTCGCGGCCATGTCGGCTACCGCGTCGCTCGCTTTCTTCGCGTTCTCGATCGCCTTCATCGCCTGGGGGGTCTTGACATCCGCCGTCAACGCCGCGATGATCCGTGGCCGTCTTAACAGACACAGCGTGGCGATATACGTTAGATGGACGTTGACCGCGTGGTACGGCGTGGCCGATTCCGATAGGGAGTCGCGAGTGAATTGTTTTGCGGTCGGGACGGAGTGCACGAGGGGGGAGCATTGGGCGTACCAGTGCTCGACTTGGGCTTCGAGGAGGACGGCGGTTGGGTCGATTTCGCTGAGGGTGAGGGTGGGGGTGGCGAGGGCTTCGCGGTTATATCTTATTGCCTAAATTTCAGGAAGGATTATATTGTAAGCAAATATTCACGTTTCGGGAAGTGCTTGTGCGAATCTCCTGATAGTTTTTCCTTACCTTTGCGTAAGTAGGACAAAAGCTAGTAACCGCCGACAAATAATTATGATTGTCCATCCCCATCAGATGCGCGGGGAGGTTGCCCTCCGCGTCGCAGTTCTCCCATAACCCGTCCGAACATGGAAGTTTGACGTTATGCGTTTTCGCTCGTTCGAAGAAGGTCGCTTTTCCTTGCACTGAGCCTTTTACACTAGAAAAAAAAATGAACGCGTGAGTGTTGGTAGAAGGGACCAGTAAACCAACCACCCAATGGATGTGAATACATACAGATCCATGGTCCAAACCCCCCACCACAACCTCCTCCTCGTCTCCACCTCCAACCACCCCTCAATGCCCAACTCCTCCGGATCCAAATCCAACCTCAAAAACTGCGCCATCCGACACGCCATCCCATTGAACATCCACGCGGTACTCATCAACCCGAGCGCCATACTCGCCGTCGCCAGAAAATACAACGCTTGTAAACCAGAGACCGACGGGTTCTCGAGGTGCACGGGGACGAGTTTACGCGCGCGTTGGTAGAAGAACGTGGCGGAGTTGCGGGTTTTTGGGTCAGGGGAGTGCGAGCAGGCGTCGGCGTAAAGGGCGAAGAGGAGCATGGGGGATTCGTCGGCGATGGTGGAGAGGAAGGAGCGGCGGTGGACTATTGGGTACGGGAGGAAGCAGGATGATCGGCTGAAGGAATCACATAGGGAGTTAGCAAAGAGGGGTGCGGTACATGTGAGATATTGAAGGCGAACGCACCTAAAATGGACATCCAACAAATCCCTCCGAATAAGAATCTCATTCAAATTCGGCAACATCTCGCTCTGCGGCACCGGTTCCTGCGGAAATGACTTTGGACACTGCTGCTCACAGGTCTGCAATGTCAGTTTATCCTTGAACACTGACACGAAATCCTTGAACCACGATTTTTTCAGGTCTTCGTTCAGGAGCGCTGATTGTGCTTTACCAGCTGGTGAGCTTGAGGGGGCGTCACTTGTTTGGTGGATTTCGGGGGAGAAGAAGGGTGTGTTGCCGGGGAGGGGGGGCTTTCCGTGTTCGTCATATGAGGGTTCCGATGTCGAACCAGTATTATTCGCGTTCGCGGCAGCCAACAGAGCTTCCAACGCCACCACGCGATCCTCCAAAGCCTTGACATCCGCTGTTCGACGCTTTGGTTTTTTCTGCGTGGAGTCGGTGGTGGGATCATCCGGCCCTGCGCCCGATTTGCTGGTGGATAGATCGGCGGGTTTGTCGGCGTAGTAGACGCAAGTGACGCCTTGAGTTGATTTAGTGCAGGTGGAGCAGCGGGGCCGAATTCCGTCACATCTGAGTTTTTTGGCTCTGCATGGTTCTACCAGAATGAATAGTTCAATACGTGCCCTACTTGGAGAGCGACTTGAGGATAATTCTTAGCGGACATACCACAAGCTTTCCTCCGCGTATTCGGTTTCGCAATCAGACGCGTCGACACGGGATTCGAACTCGTCGACGCTCGTTTCGAGGACGATCCGTCGCTTACCGATCCGTTAAAATCCAGTGAACCCCCAACGGAGATCGAAGAGTCGTTTTGGGACTCGTTGAGGGATGACGGCGTTGCTGGGAACTGCGAAGTGAAGTGAAGCGGAGTGAGGTGAATGGGAGGGTATTGATGGTCGGTTGATGGAAAGAGCGAGGGGATGTGTGGTTCAAATGGTCGATGGGTGGACGACAATCCTGCTCACTCCGCTCGCGACGGCCCCAAATCAATCTCGCTATCGCGCACTCACCTGGGAGTAATTCTGTCCTGGCGACAACTCCGCCGGTTCTTCGCTGACTCCCTTCTCCGTGATAAGCTGACCTTGGCCTTCCGACGACCCCGGCGACATCGACCCCTGCTCGAATCCACCAACAGCATTCCCGTTCGAATTTCCACTCCCCACGAGATCAAATGGAGACGGCCCCATGCTGAATCCCTCGCTCAAGTCGGTACTCCCCGACCGACTTCCACCCGAAGAAATGATACTGCCGACCTCGGCCGCATACATCAACTGTTCCTCCCCACTAGTTCCCACTCCAAAGGGGGTATCCTCGGTGAGCAGTTGTTGGAATGACTGCGGGAATGGGGAAGCGGTGAGACCGAGGACGCTGTTGAGGTCGAAGGTTAGGTCGTCTTGGGCGGCGGAGGAGGTGGGGAGGTATGGGTATGGGTCGAAGGACTGCGGGTTGTTGATGGGGTTTGCGTAGTTATCGGTCCCAAAGTGAGGGTTTTGTGCGTACATTGTTTGACGTCGTTCGTCTCGCGCAGCGAATGGAGTGCGAAATGTAGAGAGAGTACTAGCGTCTCTGCTAGAAAGAGATATGCGGCGGAGAGGCCTGCGAGCGGGCAGCAGGAGGATATTGCGGCGGCAATTGGCCGGGGTCTATGGGGGTGGGTGGGGTGTTTGTTTTCGTGGGGAAACTGGTCCACCAGCTCAGCCCTGCGCTCGCTCGCTTTGACTCCAAGCCTTCGTCGTGAGAAAGAACAACAACAACCGGACGCGTCGCTCTCGCTCCTTCCGACGACGTTGTTATTTGCAGGGCTGGAGACGCACACCCCTCTCCTCTCTCTCTCGCCTGCCTGCCTCCAAATGGGCGTTTTTCCCTCTCGTCATAATACTGTACATATCGATTATTGACATGTGCTCTGTATCTAATATCTATATATACAGTAGGAGCCCCTCGGCTTGAGCCAAATATTCTCACATCCATATCGTCCTGTTTTCATGATGATCGCTGCCTAAGATTCGGAGCGGTTTGGCCAATGAGACCATCATTGCATACACGAACTATTAGTCATCACGGCAGGACGGAGCGCGCGGCTTTGGTAGGCTGCCAGGGTGCCACGTTTCCCCCACTTTCCTGTTGTGTTCCTTACCGCATCCTCGGAACTCGGCTCGAAATAGAAGATTCCGGTACGGCCCTCCCTCGGAGTCCCTCCACGCGGATCCCTGCACAATCACAATCGCAATCGCAATCGGCGATTATAGAGACACACTCGCTATTTATTTGCATTTAATTACAGTGGGTTTTGAATTCAGTTTGTTTCCTCGATTGCATGAACTTTTGGAGAACCGTATAGTACTGCACACAAGCGGGCCGATCCTTTTTCGATGGCAATTGACTGCACAGGATGGCCATCGGAGACAAGCGGAGCCAATGCGGTAGTAAATCTTTGCGAATACAGTTGAAAGCCCTGAACAACTCGTCTGCACATGAGCTCGTCATTGCTGTCTTTTTTGCGGAGGTTGTGCGAAACCGGGAAGGCTGCTCAGCGTGCATGGTTGGATTGCCATCGTTCCAAACACCACACAGCGTCGAATGTTCTGACCATCGGTTTCCAACACGGGGGAGTTTTCAGCATTGTAGTGAATAAATCTCTCGAGTTCCCTTTCCTTATAGCCGAATTTGAAATAAACGGCTTGGACACCCACAAGGACTTAACTTGGTGGCGTCATCAGAAGCGGCCTTGGGGCTCAACTCAATTGTAGCCCATATGTGTTCAACCGAGCCCGACCTATCCATGTCAAGATCTTCGTGACGCTAGTAACCATCAATTTCCAAAAGATCAGCCCACAAAGGATGAGCAGGAGGCGGCTCATGAGGAACGTCGCGAATACAAATTCCTCGAGACATTCGGAGGCGTGGAGACGGAAACAGATGAAGCAAATGGCGGGAATGATGCCGACAAGGACGACAATGCCGAAGTGGTCGACGAAAGAAGCGGCTCGAACATTCCCTAGCCTTGTTCTGATCGTGTCAGATCCGCCATCATTTTCCTCTGTGTATGTAATGTTGTCATTTTCATATGCTTTCGCTCCCCCCCGTCCCCCCGGTCCCCTTGCTCCTCTGTCGGTACGCATAGCGTTAAAGATCAAACCGAAAATCAAATTCCAGTGCGTCAACGGGGTGGGCTCGATGGGAAGTAAGATATAGCAGTGGGATGAACGCGCTGTCGAAGTCTGTCAATTGTGTGACGTAACAGCTTAATAGTGACACCGCCCACAAAGAGACAAAAATACCGCCAACACCGCTTTGACACCCCACCCAGCCCATAACTGCATCGCCCCACACTCTCTAGACTTACATCTGCCACAGTTGTCCCCACACTTTGCTTACAACCGCAGCCATGGCGAATTCCAAACAACTAACCGAACAGAACCAAAAAGACGCTGCCGCCATTGCTGCCATCTCCTCCATGGCCAGTCCCACCTCGCAGCGGGTGCTCGTCGCCGTTCGCAGTAAGTCCCACCAAACCAAACCTCACCCCACAAGAGATTCATATACTTACCCCCTCACCCAGTCCGCCCGCCAACAATCGACCGCAAATCCCCGCAAAAATTCGCCACAAACCTCACCTACGACCCAACCGCCTCCTGCATCACCTACACGCCCTCCACCGTCGCGATCCAATGGCCTTCCAAAGCGCCCGCCTCCCCAGCATCAGCAATGTCCCCGACATCGCCATCCCGGGGCGCGTCGGCGGTGACGAGTCCGACGCCCGCGGGGGGAGCGAATAAGACGGACCCGAAGAAGTTTAATTTTGATTCGGTGTTGGGGTACGAGGAGGGGCAGGGGGTGGTGTATGAGAAGGTTGTTGAGGTGAGATACCCTCATTGAAGAGGAGATGCGTTACGGCCGTGCTTGTTTATGCTTCTGCGACTTTTGTTGATGAACTGTCTGGGTTCGTGTTAGCCGCTGATTCGGAAATGTTTGGAGGGGTACAATGGGTGTGTGTTTTGCTATGTGAGTTCGAAGAGTGCATACCCCCCGTGCGGCAAATGGTGGTAGCTAACTCGGTTGCATGTTCTCAGGGTCAAACAGCCAGGTGAGGGATGATGGAGGTCCTCGCCGAAGGAGTTGTGATCGTAGTAATTGGAAACCCGTGCCCAGACATCCCCTAGGCTCCGTTTACTCAAAGAGCCCAACTCTTCCTTCCCACCCAGTGGCAAAACCTACACAATGGAGGGCCCCAAAAAAGGCCCCTCCCTAGAACCGCCCACCGACCCGTCCGACGCCGACACGGGCATCATCATGCGCGTAGCGTCCCAGATCATGCAGCACGTCGCGGACGCCGCCAAATCGAAGGATAAGGAAAAAGCGGAGCTGGAGTACTTCATCAAGGCTAGCTATTTGGAGATCTACCAGGAGGGGTTGACGGATTTGTTGGTCGGGAGGGACGAGCAGGGTCGGTAGCGCCCGACCGATTCTGAGCGGAACATCCGATGGAGGGCCTGACTGTATGCTTGGTTTGTGCAGGCGACCTGAAGATCCGACAGGACCCGGAATCGACGACGGGGCGGGATCTGTATATATCGGGGATCACGGAGCGGTCGGTGACCTCTGTGCAGGAGTTTAGTAAAGTGATGCAGATTGGGGGGCGGCATCGGACGGTTGGGGAGACGAATATGAATGAGGTGAGGATCAGAGTGCCTCTCGGTTACGGTTTCCAGTTGGCTAGACCCGCAGAGCCGCCCGATCCATTGGCACTCACCCACGCATCACATGCATGCAGGTCTCATCCCGCTCGCACGCCGTCCTAACAATAATCATCGAAGAACGCCGCAAAACCCACGCGGGCATGTCCTCCGAAGAAGCCGCCATGCTCGCCAAGCACGGCAAAAAGCGCTCCAAGATCCACCTGATCGACCTCGCCGGGTCCGAGCGAGCGAACGCGACGGGGGCGACGGGGGATAGATTGAAGGAAGGCTCGGCGATCAATCAGAGCTTGAGCTGTTTGGGGAACGTCATCAATGCGTTGACGACCAGTACGAAGGTCAGTGAGCAAATCACCTAGGGTGGATCATCGGGTTTTCACCATCGCTGGGTCCCAAAACCCAGATTTCTAACATTAACGACGCCGTAACATCTTATAAAGCATGTGCCGTATCGGGATTCGAAGCTGACTTATTTGTTGAGTGATAGGTGGGTGGGGGAGTCGTACGAGTTTTTTTTTCCGAGGAGGTCTGGCGCGGGATTGTGAAACGCATTGACTTGTTTCGTGCAAAAGTTTGGGTGGAAATTCGTTGACGCTCATGATCACATGTGTCACCCCGACGCTCGTCAACTACGATGAGGTACGGAACTGGGGTCATGTCACCCAACTAGCCCATGCAGTCCATAATGTTCTCTCTTTGCCATCCCTCACTAGTCCCTCTCGACCCTCCGCTTCGCCGAACGGGTCAAGAAAGTCAAAAACGCCGCCAAAGTCAACGTCGACGCCACCATGATGCGCATCATGATGCTCGAAGCCGAGATCCGCGAGCTGCGTGCCGCGCTCTCCCAATGCAAATGCGGGGCGGCATCCCAACTAGGCGGACGCGCAAGTACCACAGGTATGGCGTCCGGGGGCACCGATGCATGGACTATGGCTCATACTTCGGGCGTTAATGTCTCGACTGGGACAGACAAAGTCCCGTGGTGGCGGAGGGTGTTTGGATGCGGGTGTGCCGCCGGTGGGGGTGGAACGGCAAGGAGTGGGGGGAAAGTAGCGCCGGTGGAGCGCGGGATTGTTTCGTCCAGGGGCGAGGATCAGGGCAGTGAGACGGTGTTGAAGAGCGTTAAGGGGAAGTTGTCATTTGCGTAGGACATAGAAGCGCCAATTGAGTGGGACGGGGGAGAAGAAACATGATTACCTTGCGTGTTGGCCCAATCTGGTGTAACTAAAAGCCTACTATTTGTTTGGACCGGCATGATGAATATACATAGAGTGAAACGATTGTGTTGTAGTTGAGTCGATAGTATGGGACAGCTAGAATGGACCGCTTCCTATTCTCGTGACGCTCCACACGGCGCAAAAGTTCCTCTGCAACACCAAACTGATTGGGCAGGAAAGAGGACGGCATCTCAAGAGACTGACCACTGTGATGATTATGTTACTACGGGCATTATCCATCTATCCTAAATCGACAACTCTAACGAGGCTACCAACTCCGCATAAACCTCCTTGAATATGAACGGGCTTCCCGACAGCCGCTTGATCCGAACCCCATGCACCTTCAACAGCCACACCTTACAAATCTCAATCTCAAACTCCACATTATTGTCCGGGTCCGCCTCTATCAGCTGGCACGTGAACATGTAGTAATCCTCCACGCGCTTGTACGCCAGACGGTTGTCGTGGTGTCGCGCGAGTTCAGCAAGCGCTTGGTGCACCTGCTGGAACATGCTCGACGGGGGGGAGGAGGAGGTTGTGGCGGACTGCACGGCGAAACGAACGGTGCGGATGGTCTTGGGCGGGCGGTGGAGGGAGTGCCAGGTCTCGATCTCCTTCTGGGACGGCTGCACGGCGGTCGCGTCGTCATCATCGTCGTCTAGATCGGCGTTGCCGAAGAGCGAGGGGCGGGGTTCGGCCTCGTCGAAGAATTCGGGGTCCGGGTCGTCGGCTACTGGACTCGCTGCTGATGCGTCTGCGGCTTTTGTGGGGGAGACCATGGGGCTGACCATCGACATGCGCCGCACGACGTTGGCTTCGCGGGAGGGTGGCAGGCCGCGTTGGCCGCCGCGTCCGGTGCTGGAGTTGGGCGTCGCGGAGATGGATCGGCGGCGGTTGTTGTTCAGGTTGGGTTTTCCGTCCGCGGCGCCGCTTGAATCTACAGGGCCCGTCGGCGTCCTCCCGTTGGAGTCGAGGGACATGCGTCTGCCGATCCGTGTAGGGAGCGGGGCGGTGGCCGTTCGCATGCGCTGTTGCGGGCCGGACGTGGGACTGTCGTTGGGGAGCTCCGTCACTTTATCCCCACTGTCATCTTCTTCCAACGTGCCTCCCAATGCGGGAGGTGCGTGGTTGTGCGGCGACGTAGGCTGTCCGGGCAACCCCGCCGACGCAACTGTCAAACTCTTCCTCCTCTTCAAATCGTTCTTCTGCGTAGGCGAAATATGCGCCACCGCCGCCGCCGCCGCCGAACTGACCAGCTCGTGAGCGGCGCCTTTTGCATGGACATGTTTCCTGAACGTGTAGATCACAAAGTGCTGGTCGTACGTAATGCCCGTGATGAACTGTCCAATCTGACTGGCGTCCGAGCTCCCGGTGACTTTCGGCACGACCCTCAGAGGTCGCTCGATCTCCTCGTAGTTCAGCCATGGATCCTCTCGCATCGCGCTCATCTCAATGCGCTGTTTGGGGTCTTTGACGAGGATCTTAGCCAGCAGAGCGCACAGCCCCTGCGAGAAATACTCGGGACACTGGTAGTCCACGGCTTTGATCTTGTTGTAAAGGGCAGAAATGCTATCCCCCGAAAACGGCGGCCGGCCGGTCATCATCACAAACAGAACGACCCCCATTGCCCAGATGTCGGACTTGACGCCTATGTACGGGATACCGGAGATCAATTCCACCGCGGCATAGTTCGGGGTCCCACAGAACGTCTTCAGCAGCTCCTCTTGATCGGATCGGTACGTTCGCCCTAGGCCGAAATCGGAGATAAGGATATTCCGCTCGCCGTTCATGAGGAGATTTTCGAGTTTGAGATCGCGGTGCACGACGTTGGCCATGTGGCAGTGGTCCATTGCTGAGACGATCTGGCGGAAATAGCGTCGGGCTTCTTTTTCGTTGAGGTGTCCGCGGGCCGCAATGTACTCGATCAATTCGCCACCTTGCGCGTATTCCCTAAATCAATGGAGAGCATCAAGAGTTAGCCTTTATTGATCATGTTGAAATGCCATACAGCAGCATATGCACTTACATCACGACGAAGCACTCATCCTCCGTCTCCATAACCTGATAAAGCCGAATCACATTCGGATGATCCAATCTCATCAACAGCTGCACCTCCAATTGCAACTGCGACACAAATGACGGCACAGGTGCACCCGGCGCCGCATCAAACAGTGCAACAGGGGTCTTTCTCTCCGTCGACGAAGCGCTATCCCCCTTGACCGAGGAAGGCACGCTCGGCCGCGCCGATTGCGGGGCGGACGGCGCAGCGGTGTCGGCAGCCTGCGACGGCCGTCGTTGCGCATGTGGGGATTGCGTTGACGGGCGCTGTTTCTGCTGATCCTTCTTCTCTCGATCCTCCTGCGTCTTTTTGGCCTTTTCGGCCTTAGCGGCCACCTGCTTCTTGTCGATGATTTTGATGGCTACTTTTTGGCCTGTTTCTTTGTGCACGCCGATTTTGACTTTGGAGAATGCGCCTTGGCCGATTGTCTTGCCGACTTGGTAGTCTCCCAGGACTTTCTTGCGAGCGAGCATGGTCGTGGAGTGCGTTCTGGTATTTCTTTACAGATGATGTTGTAATCCGTGGTATATGCTGCTTCCCGTGAGCCTCCTTAAATGTCGACACCAAAGCCCGGCTGGTGATGGTATCACAGTTCAGCAAACGAGACGACGTCAAAAAGGAATAGCTTTTCCCACGATCTTGGGCAGACGATCCAATCTATGTCTTGCTCTTGAAGTAGCCCGGTCCGTCTCTTTCACAATATGGACAAGATTCTCAAGTTCATCCTCTTCAAGCTCGGCCGGTACTAGGGCTTTCGGGCATGAGTTCTTCAGAAGATCTATTTTGGGGAGCATTGTACTGCCGCAACCTACGTGCGACATTTGCTTTACAAGATTTTTGGCACTTATTGTTTTTGGAATCCTACGTCAAAGAAGCTTAAGCAAATCGCGGCGGAAATTTCGATTCGCTGTCATTTCTTCTCCGAGTTGTCATATCCTCGCTTGTGACTTTCAGCGCAGAGAACTTTACGCTTGGACAGAATGCAGCCTGCTAAATCTCTCGATCTTCTCCGTCCCGCAGCCCAGCGTAAGGCGTGAGGTCCTCCGGCACATCAGAAGGCATAGGCACGAGAGCGCATATAAACTTGGCCCCAGTCGGAGTTATATACGTACGTAAGGCCAAACGTGGCTTGTGCGGCGCAGCACTTACCGGCACCCAGAACCACGGAGTCCGGGGCGTTCCGCAAACCGAGATGTCGGAATGCCGCTTGGAGTTTGACGCCTCTGGAAAGCAGGAGCACATTGCACAGGACAACCCGAAACGATGATGATTGCGTCGACAGCTTAATGACTTGCTTCAGAGGTAAGAACTTCAGCTGCAGCTCCGTACAGCACATACTGTATGTGGCTGGCCGAGACCTCAAGTCTTCGAGACCCCTTCGAGACTTCGACAGGCGGAATGGACACACACACACACGGCGGGCCCCCGGAAAAGCCGCCCGTCCGCTCGCGTCACCTCAACGTCAACGTCAACGAAATGCATAAAAGGATCGGCGAATGGAGCACGGCACGATCGCCTTCAATAATATCTGTCCAGCAGGACCGACAAGCAAAGTACAGCAGACCATTCAGACAGCAGTTCAACTTTTAGGAGCTCAACACCGTAAGTGAGTTTGTGGTAGTTTACTGGCTGCTTTTGACGCGTTCGTTCATTCCATTTCTCCATGCCTCTAGGAGAACCCACCACATCGTCCCAAAGTCGAAAAGATCAATAGAAATGACGGCCACAATGCGTGCAGTTGGTAGGCCTACGTGTCTAGGGGCCAGGTCCACATCTAGCGTGGAAGGGATTCCTGACGCTGAGCAACTTCGCATTTCAGATATCAAAGGTGGCTCTGGCCCAGCCGATGCGCTGTTCATCGCTACAGACATCCCGAAACCGTCCCCTACTGGCGCGCAAGCACTGGTGAAAGTCAAAGCATTCGGCCTCAACCGCATGGACCTGATGCAGCGAGAGGGAAAGTACCCAGTCCCAAAACAGGCACCCAAAATCCTCGGCGTGGAGTTTTCCGGCGTGATCGAGAGCGTCGGCGACAAACCGGAGGGATTCAAAGTGGGAGACGAAGTCTTCGGTCTGGCGTACGGCGGCGCTTACGCCGAGTACATCAACGTGTCCACGCGTATGCTTGTGCACAAACCGAAGGAGCTGAGCTGGGAGGAGGCCGCTGGTGTGCCTGAGACTTGGATCACCGCGCTGCAAGCGATGTACCTCGTTGGCGAGTACCAACCCGGCAAGAGCATCCTGTGGCACGCCGGCGCGTCCTCTGTCAGCATTGCGGGCATTCAACTCGCGCGCGTGGACAACGCCTCCGCCGTCTTTGCCACAGCACGTCAGGACGAGAAATGCGACTTTTGCGTCAAGGAGCTTGGCGCAACTGCTGCGTTCAATACTAGCAAGAGTGACTGGGCTGATGAGGTGCTCAAAGCCACCGACGGAAAGGGCGTCGACATCATCGTCGATTTTGTCGGTGCCGACTACCTCCAGAGCAACCTGAAGGCCGCCGCCCAGGACGGAAAGATCGTCTGCCTGGCTGCAATGAGCGGCACGAAAGTCAAAGATCTGGACATCAGCGCGTTCGTTCAGAAGAGGGTCCGCGTTGAGGGATCTACGCTGAGGAGTCGGGACGAGAAGTACCAGGGGAAGCTGAGGGATCAGCTCGTAGAGCACGCCTTGCCCAAGTTTCAGGATAAGAGCTTGAAGATCTTTGTCGAGAAGGTGTTCAAGTTTGAGGAGATTGTAGAGGCTCATAAACTGATGGAGAGCAACAAGACGAAGGGGAAGATCATCGTCACCATCGATTGAGTTCCCATATATAGTCGTACTTTTAGGCACAATGCAATGTATATAGGACCGCAGTCTGCGCAGGTCACTCTTGCAATGAAGGCAGCTACACATCCCTGTTCACTGCTCGTACTCCCAGGACTCCCAGGAGCTCCGAGGGGCAAGCCCTGTTCTTGTGTGTCAAGGTTAACCTTTTGTGAAGGAACACGCGTAACGAATCTGGACCCACCGCAACGGAAAGGGGGACAGATAACCCGGCAGGTAGCCCCTCAAAGACGCAAACAGGTTGCCATGGGCATAGAAAGCAGCGGGAGAGCCTCCACAGCTTACAAGCTTGTCCAGCGGCCGTTTGGAGTCGCGAACTCTTTTCAGTCGATGATAAGGGACAAACCCTCCTTCTCTTCTTCGGACTTCCCCCACGAGCATCCGAAAGCGATGCAGCATCCGCGCAAATGATCACCTTCACCAATCTACTCCCGCGCCATGTCGTGCAGCGGGTGGAGGCCACACTGAGCGGGGTCGATGACGTCCACTGGCCTGGAGAGGAATTGCAAGACGTCGCGACGATGCTCGTCGACATTTCTGGGTACAGTCATCTTACCTCCATCTTGGCTTCAGAAGGCAAGATATCCGCCGAAGTGATAAGCGACTGCCGGGAAAATCAAGGTCGTCGCATTTTTTGTGGACCTGATATCGTCGTATATATATTTTTGGAGCCATGTGAATATGTGATTCAAATTCTCTCATGAAATTCTCTAGTCCTCATCTCGATTTGGACAATTTAGAAGTCTTTCATGTACCGAGTGGAATTCGCCACTTTCGTCTTGGGGGTGGGGTCGGAAACGGCCGGCTGCGCGCTGTCAAAATACTGTCAATGCGGACGTAACATCCGATTATTGCCAACCTTCCCCTCATCCCCTTCCGCTTGACCCCACATAGATCGTAACCCAAATCGCTCGAGATTCGGCACGCAATGCTCTACCTGGTAACTTATCAGCTCCGAGCCACTCTCCGCTGCAGGGGCTCGCACTTCCCAACAGTTTCGCCGCTCATCATCGCCACAAGTGGTCCGAAAGCATCTCTTATTCCGCGACGATGGAATTTCGGTTCGGAAATGTCTGACAACGATCCCGATATCATAGAACGTGAAAAGAAGAAGAGTTTGGCACGTAAGTGGCGGTGGGATGTAGTACGGGCTTCTCTTGGATTCCGTACGACCTTCATGGCCCATGTCTCAGGTCGAACGCGTAGCCGCCTGCCGGACGCACCCTTCTGGGACGAATTGCTGGCCTCCGAGTCTGAAGCTATAGTAAGCTAGTTTTTCATTCAATTTGCAGTTGGATGGATATGCAGTGTTCGGATCTTACCATGCGTCCCCGTGTACCTCACAGATCAAAGCAGAGAGATCCAAAGCTGTTCCTCCCGATCCATGCTCGTTGCAACAGACGAGCGTCGAAGAATTGCTCGTAGAAGACGCGGACGACTACACATGTGTCTCTGCAACTTCGACGACGGTGGTTGTTGAGCATCAGCATATCGATAAGGAGATTAGCCACGAGTCGCATGTCACTGGAGAAGTTGAGAAGAGGAAATGATGAGAGATGGAGGCAACGGTTCAAGACGGGTCGTTCTTTGCAACGATCTCGGGCTTCAATGCACATTCATTCCGAGCTGCTGATGCGAATACGGCAGTAGGAGAGAAATATATAGGTGCATATTGGTCGGGCACTTTGCACGGGAGTGTACATTCAGGGTAAGGAGAGGCAGGAAGCACGCAAAGCCTGGTACGATATGGCTTTGGCCCGGCGCCCTATTACTAGCAATGTATCTCCCATTTTGCTGTCAACTAGTTGAAGTTCTTCGAGTTTGTCTCATAGCCATCCCCGCTTTTGTATTAAATGAATTATGAAGGATTTACTGTGAACAAGGCATCAAAAGCTTTCAAATGCCATCACTTTGTTTCGCTCCCAATCATACGCTGGAAATACTACGCTTCAATCTTGCTTACTCTCGCCATGCCGCGGCAAGATGCAGAGAACATGGTGAATCACGGTTTCCGATCAAATCCATCAAGACCCGCCTCCCGAAGACCCATCATTACTTCCCTGTTTACCGCTTCTCTTTCTGTACATGAGTTCAAACACTCCGAGCGACGCCCTCTGCAGCTCACTATACTTCTCCTTAATCTCCTCAGTCGTAATTCCGACCCCTTTGGCAGCCCGCTCGAGCAGCTCTTCCACTCCGTGAATCTCCGCCTGTATCTTCCCAAGGTCTTCCTCACTGAGGTGGTCTCGGTATTCCTCAAACGCCTGCTGCGTATCATTAACGATACTTTTCCCATAATTCATCGCCTCAATTGCCTCCCGCCGTCGTTGATCGGACTCGGCATACCGTTCCCCCTCGCCAATCATCTCCTGAATCTCAGCATCCGATAACCCCGACGCCGTGGTGATGGTCACCGGCTGCTTCCTTCCCGTAGCCAAATCCCTCGCGGAAATAGTGATAATGCCGTCCGCGTTGATGTCGAACGTAACTGCAATCTGAGGCATACCCTCCGACGCTGGCTGGATGTCGACAAGTGTCATTTTGCTATGGGCTTTCATGTGCCTTGGCAGAACGTGCTCGCCTTGGTCTTGGTATACATTGATAGAGATATGGGCCTGGTTGTCGTAGGTCGTTGAGAAGCAGTGAGACTTTTTGGCCGGAATGCGTGTATTGCGCGGGATGATGAGGCGGGTGGCGTCTCCGCCTGGTATTCCGATTTTAAGGGAAAGGGGCGTAACGTCTTTGAGGTCGATTTGGTCTACCGCGCCAGACAGTACGCCGCCGTGGAGCGCGGCGCCAATCGCAACGGCCCCTTCTATGTTTGGGGCCCTAATCGGGTCCCGACCGAACAAATCCTTTACCATCTGCTGCACCTTCGGAACGCGGGTCATCGCACCCACGAGCAGTACGGCATGCAGATCTTTAGCGGCGATGCGCGAATCCTTCATCGCCTCCCTACACCGGTCGAGAGTACGCTCAATCAACGGCTTTGTCAGCTCTTCGAATGTGGCACGTTTCAACACTTCATGCATATGTTTGGGGCCTGTCGTGTACGCTGCGAGATACGGCAGGTGTATCTCCGTCCGCGTACTGGCCGACAGCTCGATCATAGCCTGCTCGGACGCGTCGCGGATGCGCTGGAGAGCCATCCGGTCTTTCGACAGGTCTACACCCTCCTTCTGTCCAAACTCCCTCAAAAGGTGGTTGACAATCGCGGTAACGAAATCATCTCCGCCGAGATGGGTATCGCCGTTGGTGGACAGCACTTCGAAAGTCCCGCCGGTCAGGTTGAGGACGGAGATGCCACATGTCCCGCCGCCAAGACCGTAGATGGCTATGTCACCCCGTAGGTGTTCACTTTCGCTGTATGCCAGTGCAGCGGCACCGGTTTCGTTGAGAAGGCCTTTCACTTCCAAACCGGCAATGTGGGCGGCGTTTCGGACTGCTTCACGTTGAGCGCAGTTGAACTGGGCGGGCACGCTGATGACTGTCAACATCTTTACATTAGTCTAACTTGAAAACTGGCGTACTCGACCTTGGGCTTGGGATCGGTAAGCGCAGTAGATGCAGGAATACTTACCGGCAGACTTGACCTCATCCCCTAAGGCCCTCTCCGATGTTCTCTTCAAATCCATCAACACAAACGCTAAAATCTGCGCCGGCGAGAATCTCCTCCCATCCGTCGTCTCCACTCATGCATCCCCATTTGTATGTCTTACGACCTTGTACAGCACATTTTTCATATGCTCGTGTACCTCTAGGTCGCTGAATTTACGCCCGAGGAGCCGTTTGATGCTAGCAAAAGTGTTTTCGGGGGTTGTGGCGGCTTGACGTTTAGCGGGCGACCCGACTAGCACCGTGTCTTTGCGGAAGGCAACGACGGATGGTGTTGTGAGGGAGCCGAGATCGTTTGGGACGACACGGGGGTTTTTACCGTCCATTACTGGTGGGGAAGCGTGAGATGACGGGGTCTGGGATGAAAATGGAAAGAGGAAACGTGATCTCACCGGCAACGCAAGAGTTGGTGGTTCCCAAATCGATGCCGATTGGTGTATCAATAAGTCTGCGACTCGAGTAACAGGCGCATGAGGGAGCAGAGCGGGAACTCAAAGCCTGGTTTTGAAAAAGAGGACATTCAAGAACAATCACGAAGCACACAGTACGAATGAGACTTAGAGAAACGGAAAGACACCTCCCTCCCCTCTCGTTAAGGCGGTCCCTACAGCCGATACGTACCCGAATCCCGCTCGCACGGACCAGGGCTGGTCTCGAAACCAAGAGACACCTGCTCATAGTTTGGAAGTTCGAGATGATGAACTCTAGATGTAAGTGAGGAACGAAGGCGAGAGACGTAGGATTGCAGAGTGAGTGGTGCGCTCATCATCGATGGAAGTATTTCCGGGCGTCCGGCATTAGTTGGCTATGCACATGCGGGGCGTCCATGATGCCGTGTGGAGAGGTTATATTCGTTGGGGGTGCTGTCGCTTCCGCCTGTCACTTTTGCTTCTAGATTGACAGCCTGTCAAAAGCGGACCAAGGCACAAAAAGTGGGCGTTGGAGTCAACGCAAAAATTGGAGGCACAAAAATTGGAGCCCTTGGAGACGAGACCAGTGGACGTCGACGAATATATAAGGAGAAGCAGCCAACCGGTCCAGCAGTTCCAAATCCATCCAGACAATCCAAACCATGTCCTCGTCATCCATCGCAGTGGCAGGCGGTTCAGGCGGTCTCGGCGGGTTCATCGTTGACGCCCTTGTCGCCACGGGCAACTTCCAGGTCAAAGTCCTCACCAGAGGAGCTGCCCCTGCGGAGCCCAAGCGGGAGGTGGAGTACGCGCAGGTTAACTATGCGGACCACGACCAGTTGGTTGACGCCTTGCGCGGTATGTCAAGAATTCCTCTTGCGCAAAGGCAAAGGCAAAGGACTACTTGGTTGAAAAGAACATGATTCACCCTCCGCAGGCGTGAAGATCGTCGTTTCGGCCCTGAACGCATTCGCCGTTGGGTTCGAGCAGCAAGCGCTTATCGCGGCTGCGGCCGACGCGAAGGTCGAGCGCTTCGTTCCCTCTGAATTCGGGTTGCCGCCACAGCACGGGAAGGATTACGGCTTTTACGCGGGAAAGGTGGGCCTGCATGCTACCCCGTTCTGGCCTCCCTCCCAGGTCTCATGTCCTCTCCCGCGCATTTCAGATCCGCGCGCAGAAAGCCATCCAGTCTGCCGGCCTCGAATACGTCCTATACGGTGTTGGCAGCTTTACCGACTATGCTTTCTACCCCCCCTTCGGGTTTGATTTCGACAACGACGCCGTCGACGCTCCTGGCGATGGCGATGCGCCAATCTCGTGGACGTGGAGGGAGGATGTCGGCCGGTTTGTTGCGGAGACTGTGGCGTTGCCGGAGAGTAGAAATGTGACGCTCGGGGTTGAGGGCGATGTGAAGAGTGTGAGGGAGGTGGCGGAGATTGTCGGGCGCAAGAAAGGTTTGTTGATGCACACTCCTCTTCGTACTCTATCACTCGGACCCCGAATCCTGACGCCAATTCTCGGCAGGCGTGAAAATGACCATAACACATACCCCTCTCGAAGATCTCGCCGAAGCAGCCAAAACATCCGACAACGGGTTCGTCGTCTTCGCGAGCGAGCTGCGGACCGCCTTCGCGAAAGGCGATATGAGGGTGCCTTCCCCGACGAAGCCCCGCACCTTCAAGCCCAAGACCGTGGAGGACTGGGTGCAGCAGAACATCTGAGTGTACAGCAGAATAATTCTTGGAGTCCAAAACCCCCATGGAAAAGTCCTTGACGCAGGCGGTATATGAAGAGAAGCTGGCGTAAATCATCCTGCATTGCAATGGGATGCAAAACAAATTGATCCATTCTTTCGAACACTTGTGGCTTGCACTTCCCCGCTGTAGAACACCCATGTTTGACATAGGACGATCCGAAAAAATGCGGAAATGTTTAGACTCCAATGATAACACGCGCAGTGAGGTAAAAAAATCAAAACCCCACAGTCACTGCCCAGAATTTCGAACTCCTTTGCATCATCCCATGACGTCCCCGGCTCTTCCGTCACCCAACAAAAGGGCGATAAGAGGAACGCAAATCGTTTGAGAGAGATTTGGAACGTTGTACGTTCCTCTTATCGCCTAGTACCATACGGAGACGAGGTTCAAACATTTTCCTTGGTCGTCCCCGGCTCTTCCGTCACCCAACAAAAGGGCGATAAGAGGAACGCAAATCGTTTGAGAGAGATTTGGAACGTTGTACGTTCCTCTTATCGCCTAGTACCATACGGAGACGAGGTTCAAACATTTTCCTTGGTCGTCCCCGGCTCTTCCGTCACCCAACAAAAGGGCGATAAGAGGAACGCAAATCGTTCCAAGGAGAGAGATTTGGAACGTCGCAGGCGCAATAAGAGTTGTATGCGATGCACAGGGAGGGATAACCCTGAAGATACCGCAATCGTCCAGAATCCAGATACCATCGCCCTAATGTTCGCCGAACGGAGCGGTCCCAGACTCAATCCACTACTACTAATATTCCAGCCGCGAAAAGGCTCCGCAATAATTACGGGGTCACTTATTACACATGCACGCCAAGTTGTGGACCCGATTTCCCATTCCAAGACGTCACCGCGAGCGGTTTGCAATGAAGATATCCATCCCATGCATAATGAAACCTTCCAAACGAACGTTCGGCCGAGGCCGCTCAGACCACAACTTCCCTAGCCATTTAGTTGGAGCATCCAAATTGTGGGGGACTGTGAAGCCTCACAGTACTGCACGCCAAGGTGTAGACCCACGATATTTCACTCTGCCATTCGCGTTGAAGGTTCCCCGTACAACTCATCATAATATACGCCCACCGTCCCACGAAAATCAGGCCGCCAAGATGAGGACTCGGAGATTTTCGTGGGATCGCCCTGAAGGGAGCGGGATCGCACATGGGAAGGGGCGATATAAATAGTTCGGAGGGCTGCCAGACTCGGGCCCTATTCGTCACTTCCGGGCTCCAGTTTAGTTTCCCCCGATCTCGACCTTCCGCCGCCATGAAAGCGACAGGCGCGACGGCGATATCGCCATCATTGGCCGTAGACGAGACGTCAACACGAAGCGCTGGACGTGTGCACCGCAACCTTTTATCATTTATAACCATTTCATGGCTCAGGTAATACCCTCGTCGGGCCTTTACTCGGGCCTCCACGAGCTTAACACTAACTGAACCACCCCCCCAGCCCACTCCTCAAAAAAGGCTACCGCAAATCCCTCCAAGAAGAAGATCTCCCCGCTATAAGTCGCAGCGATGAGGCGCAATCTTTCATTGGATCGCTGGACCCCTTTTGGACGCGCGTGCATGGCGCGCGGAAGCATCAGCAGGTTGACGGCGCGGCGGTCAAGCCGGTGTCGTCGGCGGCGCTTGCGTCGCTGCTGTTTCGGATCTTTGCGTGGATGTTCATTGCGGGGTTGGTGTTGAGCGGGGTTAATGTTGCTATTTCCCTGATTCAGCCGCAACTGATACAGAATGTGAGTGCATTGCCTAGGTCGTTGCGCGCGATCGGCATCTGCCATCCGCGAGCTCAAAGACCCTCCCGAACTTTGTATCAACGGCATCTCTTCTCCCGTTCAGGTAATCAATCTCCTCGACCCAACATTCGACCAATCCACACTCACGATCAAAAGCGTCTACATCTACGCCGCGATATATGGCCTCCTCAATATCGCGTACGCGGCCTGCTCAGCAACCTTCCTTTCCCTCTCCCTCGTCTTTGAAATGCGCTTGAAAGCCATCCTCATCGGTGCCGTTTACGCCAAAGCCATGCGGCTGTCAACCAAAGCGCGGCTCACCTTCTCCGCTGGCAAAATCAACTCCCTCGTGGATGTGGATGTCAAAAACCTTACACACTTGCTCAACGACGGGGTTGGGGCCGTTGCCTCGTTCGCGCAGATCGCCCTCGCGCTTTACTTCCTTGCCAGGATCCTTGGCGTCACCACGTGGGTATCTGCGGGGACCTACCTGACGCTTGCGGCGCTCTCGATGGGGCTTGTTACGCGCTTCCTGATGAAGGGACAGATAGCATACATGCATGCGTTGGACGGACGGACAAAGAAGCTCCGTGAGTTCCTGTACGGCGTGCGGATGATCAAGTACCAGGCGCTGGAGAACAGCTTTGTCGGCAAGATACTGGAAACGCGCCGAACGCAATTATCGGGACTCAGACTATTCCTGATAGCCCTGGCGGCCCTGTTCTCGATCGTGTCGTTCCAGACGATTCTAATGCCCACTCTCACCATCATCAGCTACTCGCAGCTGGGCGGTGCGCTGACGGCCGGGAACGTGTTCACCATCCTTGGACTGATTGGGGCGTTGATGCTACCCTCCGGCACGTTCCCGGGCCAAGCGATGACCCTCGTCGGCGCGTGGGTGTCGTTCAAGCGGGTTTCTGAGTTCCTCCTGGCTGAGGAGAAAGACCCGCAGGATTACACGACGCGTGTGGTACCGGACACAACATCAGCGCTTGCGGTCGAGTTGACGAACGCGACGTTCACTTATGAAAAAGCGCGGGAGGAGGATGCGCCAGAAGGCAAAGAGGCGGCCGAATCCGCCGCCGAACCGTTCCAGCTTACGGACGTATCGCTCGAGATCCCCCGCGGCGCGTTGGTCGGCGTGGTCGGTCCGGTCGGCTCAGGAAAGACGTCCCTGCTCTCCGCCCTGGTCGGCGATCTGCGCAAAGTAGGGGGCAAGGCCTCCGTGCACGGCACCACGGCGTACTGCCCGCAGGAGGCGTGGATCCTCTCCGCCACGGTCAAGGAAAACATCCTCGGTCCGTTCCAGCATGGTCAGACGACCGATTTCGACGCGGCTGTAAAGGCAGCGATGCTTGACGATGATCTTCGCCTTATGACGCACGGTGCCGGCACCCGTGTCGGCGAAAAGGGCATCTCGCTTAGTGGTGGCCAGCGAGCACGTGTCGGTAAGCAACGAGCCTGAGCCTTCCATGCTTTTGGGGAATGAACGAGTCTAATCAACGCTTTTCTTCGCCTCCTCCCGTGTATAGGCCTGGCCCGCGCCATCGGACACAACGCGGACATGTTGCTTCTAGACGATCCTTTGGCGGCGCTGGACGCGCGTGTAGGACGTCAGCTGTTTGACGAAACCATCTGCGGCGCCCCACTGAAGGGGAAGACTCGTGTCCTTGTCACGCATCAGCTGCAATACCTCCCGGCCATGGACCTCGTTGTCGTCATGGAGGCAGGCCGGATCGTGCAGAAGGGCACCTTCGACGCTCTGATGCAGGATAAGGAGGGCAAACTTGTGGAAATGATGAAGTCGTACCAAGCCGAAAAGAAGGAAGACGAGGAGGCTGTTGTTGAGCCGGATGTCGCACCGGTGGACAATGTTGCTGCGGTTATTGAGAAGGTGCAAAAGGAGCTGAAGGAACAGGAGTTGATTGCCGAGGACCGCAGAGAGGTATGTGCGCTTGTTCTGGTCGCACGCGCAACGACACCTTACTCACAACTGTCACGCAATTTCGTTTGTTCAGGGCGCCGTTCAATCCAAGTTCTTCAAAGCATACACCAACGCCTCGGGTTCCATGTTCAAATTCGGACTCGTCGTCGTGCTTCCACTCTTCGTCGCTGCGGCGACTCTCAACAAGATCTTCCTCGCCGTCTGGACGTCCGACGCATGGGGCTGGACCTTCGACCAGTACCTCCACTTCTACGTCGGCGTCGGCATGCTCGAGGCTGTGGTCATCGTCCTAACCTTCCTGATCAACATCCGCGGCTCGTACAAAGCCGCCGAGACATTCCACGACAAAGCGCTGATGGGGCTCTCTCGCGCGCCAATGGGATTTTATGACGGCCAACCAATCGGGAGGATTCTCAACCGCATGACGACCGACGTGCAGTCGTTGGATTTGGAAATGGGGATGCTGATCAACAATTTCGTTGCCAACGCCGTCATGCTCGTGTCGATGCTTATCATCGTCGCGTACGTCTCGCCGTACATGCTGATTCCCATCGCTGTTCTCGCGGGTCCCGCGTTCTACATCTTTCGCTTTAGACAAGCTTCATACCGAGAGCTGAAGCGGTTGTCGTCCATCATGCGATCGCCGCTGAACGCTCACCTCTCTGAGACCCTGACGGGCATCCCGATCGTCCGCGCGTTCGGCGCTCAGGACGCGTTCATCGCTAAACAGCAATCGACGACCGATCTGGCCAACAAGGCCCATTTACTACTCAACAGCACGGCATACTGGTTCGATCTGCGGTTGAATCTCCTCACCTCCGCCATCGTCATTGTCTTGCTCATCGTCGCGGGGTCTGGCGGCGTAAGCCCCGCTTCCATCGGACTAGGGTTGTCGTCGACCATCGGGCTCGGTCAAACGTTGCAGGGTGTGCTATTCATGGCGGGGCAACTTGAAGCGTCCTTCAACTCGGTGGAGAGACTCACTCATTATGCAGACGGTCTGCCTGTGGAGGCGCCGACACATTTGCCAAAGGACCCTGCGGAGGGAACATGGCCCGCCAAAGGCCATATCGCGTTCGAGAACCTGACCATCTCCTACAGCGCCGAATCGGATGCCAAGAACGTGCTCGACAACGTATCGTTCGTCGCGACCGCTGGAGAGAAGATTGGAGTCGTCGGCAGAACCGGCGCCGGAAAAAGCACCTTGATGGCGGCGCTGTTCCGGCTCGTTGAGGCGAAAGGCGGCCGGATTGTCGTGGACGGCCACGATATTGCTCAGCTCGGTCTCGCCACGCTGCGGAAAGGAATCACCATCATCCCGCAGGAACCTGTGCTTTTCCAAGGCACGATCAGGTCTAACCTGACCGACGCCAACGACGGCAGCAGTAGTGGAGCTGTCATGACGGAGAAGAAGGATAGTGACGACCGCCTCTGGCGCGTATTAGAAACTGTCGCTCTGCAAGAGTACGTGGCATCGCTCCCGGAAAAGCTCGACGCCCCCGTCACTGAAGGCGGCGACAACCTGAGCGCTGGCCAACGCCAACTCCTCTTACTGGGCCGCGCACTCCTCCACCACCCCGCAGTCCTCGTCCTCGACGAAGCAACAGCCGCCGTCGACGCCGCCGCCGAAGACCGGATTCAAAAAGCCATGGCGGAAGAACTGCAAAATACTACCGTGCTGTGTATCGCGCATCGGCTTGTTACCGTTGCCGCCTGCGATAAAGTGCTGGTCATGGACAAGGGCACGGTGCTTGAGTTTGACTCCCCGAAAACACTGTTGCGCGATAGGCCTGAGTCGGCGTTTGCGGCGCTGGTGGAGTCGGCGGGACCTGCTGAGGCTGCGCGGGTGCGGGAGATTGCGTTTGCGTAGAACTTTACTGACCCTGACTTCCCTTTAATTACCTCCCCTCTGCTTTCATCAATCATCCTTAGATAGTGGGTTAGAGCGGAGGTGGACATTGCTAGTGAGGATAGGTAACCTTCAGACCCCTGAAGGCACCCCTCCTGGCGTCTCCTGGCGTTTTCTTTCTTCTATACAAGGCGTATGACATCGCAATCCGACATATCGTATCAATACATCCTTATTCTCGTTTAGACCCTTGAATCTCTTATATCATACTGCGCTGGTTCGCCTTCATCCTCCCGGAGTCCTCCACTTGTTGTGATCCTTCGCATTTTGTGTTCTCCATCCCTTGCGCTGGAACTGACACGAAAGGGGCTACAGTGTCGGAGTTTTATGGTTGTGGACGGCTTGAAGCATTCAGGGTTAAATTGCGATGCATATATAGAAAGGGGTATCAACAAGAAATGAAAATGGCGATAGTGCTGTATGTGCAATGTCCCTGTAGATCTAAGACGACGCAGCAACCCTTTCCTTCGCAGCAATGGTCTTAATCACTCCATTCCCAATAACCCTATCCTTCGGCACCTCCCACCCATTCAACGCACAATAAATCAACGCCTCCGCCAAATCCTCCACCTTTACTACAATGAACGGCGCAATCGCGGCGGTCACCGCAAACGCCGTCCACGTCTCCGTCGCCTTCGGCGGTATGATCCCCGCAGGGTGGAGGTGGTACGTCTCAAACGTCGGCTGAGCGGCATGGATATCGTTCAAATGGCGCTCAGAACGGCCTTTGATATTCCGCGTTATCTTCTGCCAGGGGAAGACGGCGTCTTCATTTTGCGTGACGCTCATGCCGGAGACGTGGCAGAAACGGAATGTGGGAGAAAGGTGGGAGAGGGCTTTGGCGGCGTTGACGGGGAAGTCGTGGTTGATACGGATGAAGTCGGATTCGGACTGGTCGGGGCTGGGTTTGCCGCCGAGGCACCTGCGAAAGAAGAAGGAACATGGGGGTCAACGTGCGTTTGTATGAATTCCAGTCCATATGCATCATACGTACCAAATCAGAGCGTCATGACCCTGAAGCTTTCCCACGATCGAATTGTACTCGGTAAAATCGTTGTGGATGACCGTAACAAGCTTTGGAGAAGTGTTGACGGCCGGGTCGGTGAGTGGGCGGCGAGTGAGGACAGTAACCTTCTCGACGGCCGGGTGAGCGAGAAGCTGGCGTAGCGTTTCGCCGCCTGTCATGCCTGTGGCGCCGGTTAGGATGATTCTGGACATTTTCGGTGGCTTTCGTTTGGGTGATCTTGTCACTTTCAGAAACTATACGATATATGTGAGTAGTACTGGATCTGTTTATGGGAGGGACCAGCAACAGGACAGCTTTATATACGCTTGGCGATCCTCATTCTTTTTCTTCTTTTCTCGATGGACTCTCTGTGTGCCCGTCGCCGCCATCTCGCGGGTGTGCAGATATCTCGCATCTTGGGAGCGAAACGCCGCGGGCGTAGCTTTCTGACATGGTCTATGCAACCGCATTTCTGGAGGCCACGTCCAAGTCCTGCTGGCGGAGTTCGTCGCACACCAGCTTGCAACATGGAAGTGGATCATGGGCATCTGAGATGCATTCTGGAACGTGGCATGGTGGAACACGACGTGGAGGGAAATGAAAGGGATTGCGCTGACGTGGCAAGCGGTGTTCTCCAGCTGTTACTAACACCTCCGCGAGGCTCCGACGGCTCCCACATCCACATTCCATCACAAACGTTCTCTTGGAGATGAGCTTCTATTTCCGCGTGGGAACATCTCAGTCGGGACCCCTCTTGGCTATAGACTCTCAGACGGTGACTGGGCCGACTCGGAACCAGCACGAAGCTAACCCAACCATGTCAACGTGCCAAGCGATTCTAAACGAGAGAAGCTCTCGGCCCGGCCAACCCTGTGGGAGAAAGGCGATTCTAGGCTACTGCGATCAGTACCACAGCAATTTGAGGCCGTCGGCCATTTCCACCTGTACCACCGACAGCGCCCCTGTTAGCCAAACCAGACTCCCAGCTTCATCAAGCTCCAGTCGTCCCAAAACGCCTCCTCCCACTCGCCTTGCGAGGCAGATATCGCCCGCCGACTCGGGGTATGGGTCTGACACTGAGAAAGAGCTGGGAACTTCGCCGGCCAGAAAGATCGTGTTACCGGCTGGCCTCAGCGCTTCTCCGGTCAATAAGATCTTGTTTCCCGCTAAATCTGAGCATCGTCAGTGTCCCGCAACCACTTGCCAAGCGATTCTGGGCAAGACTGGGGCAGTGTGTGGAAGGCCGGCGGTTTTTGGCTATTGCGACCAGTACCATAGCAAATTGAGACTTGATGCAAGCGAAGCGTCGCCGGCTGGGTCCGATCAAAAGTCTGACAAAGGGAATGCGTCGATTGGGATCCTGTCGACAAGTCTGTTGCCTCGTGCGCCTGCGCCAATTCCGAAGAGTGTCCTAGCAAGCAAAGAAGGGGTATGTGCATATGGAGATTGGACCCATTCATTGTCTTGTCACGTACCGGTCGTCCAACACCGCTTTCGTATTGCAGAGGGCTACCCGTTCGGCTACAGCTCAGGAGAGGGACCAATTGAATGCTGCGGTTGAGAAACTTGGAATGAAGGGCCTACACCCGCATCAACTCGACGGCCTTCGATGGATGTTGCAGAAAGAGCAAGTGGGAGCGGTTCAGGAGCAAGTCCCGAAGAACACCGGCGGATTGATTGCTGATGATATGGGTGAGCAAGTCAAGTCAACATGCTTTTCTACCTCAGCGTCATACATGTCATATTGACAAGCCTCTCACGACTCAGGTCTTGGCAAAACCAGACAACTACTCTCATTGACTTTGGCCACGTGGACCCGCGGGACGGACAGCAACCGATTCTCAACATCGACTCTGATCGTATGCGACTTGGGCCTCTTCAAAACTTGGGAAGCCGAGATTTCGAAAGCTGTGGGCGTCGACCGTCTGCCATATATTCTCTTCCACAAGAGCGCTACTGACAGCAGATCCAAAGAAGCCTTCCTCAAGATGGACGCTGCTGAAGTTTCAAAGTACCCGATCGTAATTACAAACTACGAGCCATTCAAGAACCGGAGATCGAAGCTGTTCACTTGTCTGAATGCGATCTCCTGGCGTCGTATCATCTTGGATGAGGCGTCCAAAGTCAAAAATGCGGAGACAAACGCTGCGATCAATCTCAAGCGGCTTACGGCGTGGTCGCGATGGTGCTGCACTGCAACTCCCGTTGAGAATAAGCTTACGGACCTTCAGGCGTAAGTAATGGTTTGCCAGGTTTTCCGTCGACATACAAAACCCACAGCTTACGATTTTCTCAGGCATTTTGAGTTCTTGCGCTCACCCCACGCATACGCTGCTTTATTCGACAAAGATCCGTCAAACTGGACATTTAACGATGAGCAAATCCTCCGAGACACAATTCTTCGTCGCACCAAGCTCGCTCTGGCTAGCAGCTCAAAATCGGGTGGACAGAGGGGCGGCGAGCTTATCTTGCCGCAATTATGGGAGACGTCCGTCGTTCATTCGCTGAGCGATGATGAGGTAGATCGCATTATGGAGGCTCGGAATGAAGCCCCGAATGGATTGGTCAAGGCGCTTCGGGAAGTGCAGGTAACTTTTATCTCCTGCGCTTACCATGCCTCTGGACTACGCTTGAAGCATTCGACGGATGGTAGCCCCTCTTCATTCATTCTTCCTCTCGCAGGCAATTCAGACACCCGGCCCGGAGGACCCAAGTGGGAGTGCTCGCTTGAACACCCTCATGGCCCTCCTCAAAGACTTGCGAAAAAAGGTGCCGCCAACCCAAACGTTCAAGCGTTACCTTGGTCCAGGCATCCCTGCCGAAGTCAAAGACATGTCACCTGAAACAACCATCTTCAAAATCGTCATCTTCTCCCTGCACAAAGCGGACCTCGACCACATCGCCGAGCGTCTAACCGCCCTGGAAAAATCTGACCCAAAGAATGCAAAACTCTTCACCCACAGTCTTCTAACCGGCGAAATCAGCAAACCCGAAGACCGCCGAACCCTCATTGACAGCTTCCTCGGGTCCAACCCCAACCACGAAACAAACATCCTCCTCTCAACTCTCCACATCGGCGCCACAGGCCTCAACCTCCAGAAAGCAAACGTCGTCATACTTTACGGACACTGGTACAACCCGGCCATTGAGCAGCAGGCTATTGCCCGTGTGCATCGGATTGGTTCCACTTATGAGAAGGTTTGGTGCTTTGATTTGAAGTGTACGGAGGGGATGTCGGGAGTTATGGATCGGATGGAGGAGATTAAAGATGGGAAGATGGAGTTGGCGAGGGCGGTCATGGAGGTTATTGAGGTGGAGCATGTTGAGTAGGGTGGGAGAGGGGTAAGGAGGTTGGCGTATATTGCGTAGCTTGGAGGGATTGGTAGTGGAATATTACACTATATGACCCCGCTACCCCGATACACGACGATATCGGGTGGGTCGCTCGATTACTCCAAGGGATGAAAACTGCTGAAGTCGCAGATCAGACCACTTGGGAGGCGCTGTTGAAAGGATACGCGACCTCGGCCAACATAAAGCACATGCACGGTTACCTTTCCAAGCGTGTAGATCCGAACGCGGATATCCCAGACTCCGACGCGATGTCCGCTTTCCAACGCTCGTACATACAGTACTTCCCTTGTACTGTACATTCGCGGGCTGGATGCGCATGCCGCGGCGGGAGATGTCGCGGGAGTTGAGACCTGGTTCGTACTACTACACTCCGCTGATTTAGAGCCAGATATCTCCAACTCTCAAGACGAAGTCAGCAAAACGATGTCTCTTGGCCCCTTTGAGGTCCTGACCGTCGGAGACCCCGACTCTCTGAAGGACGCCGTCGACTGTCTGGCTCTAGAGTCTCTCGCTGTGCGCGACACGAATCAGCCTGCAATCCGGATGAGACCGGACCGTCTAACAAATCCACCTCTGGTGCTCACTCGCAACCTCACGACGGAAACAAATCCGGGAGCTCAACAGCAAACTGGCTTCTGATCACGACGACGCATTGTACAAAGTCCTTGAATCGCAGACGCTCCTCGAAATGAAGCCACTGCTGAATGCCACGGGCTAGCTGTTGACGGCCTTCGTCCTCATCCAAAAACAAGCAAGATGCACAATCCACCGTTCTACATACTTCAACGGCAACCTAGCCATCCTTCCCGCCGTGTCCTCCACCACGCTCTCCCTCCCGTTTCACCGATTTGGCCACCCTACCGACCTCACCAAGCGCCAATCCACCCTCCCCCAACGCCCAACAGCCTGCGGCGCCATCTACGGTACAGACACGTGCAGCGACACCTACTATTCAATCTTTGATCCAAAAGGAACGGATCGTCAAGTGCAGCTTGATAACTTGCAACGGGTTCTGAGGGTTGGACAGACTCCGTACCAGAAGATCAAGGGTCTGCTTGCTCTGATTTCTTCCCGTTTCAAATCCGTGTCCCCCGCAGCTGGGTAGATAACCGCAGAAATGTGGAAGCTCGCTGCAGCAGAGCTGAATCCGTCTTCTGCCTGCTCCCGTGGTGTGTACTTGACATAGATTAAGTACCTGGCACCCTTTTGCGCATATATGAAGATCTTCTCTATTCATCTTCACTTTTGAGGGCCGTCGGCGGTGCAGTCAGGTCCCCGCCGGCCTTCACGATGTCGAGGTAAGCACGATTTTCAAGGTCAGTGCTCGCAGACATCGTTCCACTTCTTCCTTTTGTTTTGGGTCTCGGCAGGTTATGGGCGTTCAGAGGCACCGACCGCTTCGTTAACCAGTGTGTCATAGCTGCTGAAGAACACGCTCGGTGTGATACAGTAGTTCCGCGCGGAAGGCTAAGGCGTGGCACCCATCCACATCACAGATGACCAGCTAAGGTCTGAGCCATCACTTGTTTTGGTATATATTGCTGTATTGTCTATTACTAGAACCCTCTCTCTCTTCACATCCTTTCTTTCTTTGCTGGCGCTTCTAGAACCTAGATCTCTACACTACATACATCACTGCACCAATCGCTCCTTAACATTTACATATACGCCCCTTTTGAAACCGCAGGTGATATCATCGACGGTAAACCTCAAATCCTGTCCTGGAACCAACTCAAAATCAAAGCTCTGCAGACACCTAATCAACACCATCTTCATCTCCAACACTGCCAACTTTTGCCCGATGCACATCATCGGTCCAGCTCCGAACGGCAAATATGCTCCAGACGCCTCCACCTCCTTGACCTTCTCTGAATCTTCCCATCTCTCGGGAACGAACTGCTCGGCGTCTTGGCCCCAGATAGCCTTGCTCTTCTGCATGTGGTAAACGTTGACCGTGAAATTTGTCCCCGCCTGAAAGTGGTGATCCAGCACGGTGACAGGTTTCGTAGACGTTCGCATGAGGAGTCGGACGGCCGGTGACAATCGCAGCCCTTCCTTCACGACGTAATTGGCGTAGGGGAGGTTCGTGTCGTATGTAGGGATTTGGTTGTCTGGCAAGGCGGCTTTGATTTCGGATTGGAGTTTGGCGTAAACCCTCGGATTCTGCATAAGGTGCACCATGATAGAAGTCAACGCATTGGAGGTTGTCTCATGGCCTAAGCGTTTTCAAGAATGCATTAACATTGCAAGTGTTAACAAATGTTTGTTGGGCGAAAGTCGGATGATGCTCACCAGCCAACATGAATCCAAGGATCTCGTCCCTTATCTCCGCATCGGACATACTGCCATCCGCGTCCCCCGCGTCCCCGGACATGATCACCCTGTCCAAAACATCCAAATCCTTCTGATCCTTCCTTTGGCGACCATCCGCATTCAACGCTTCCCGCCTTTCCTTCACGACCCGAGCAGCGAGGTTGTGGGCGTACTGAATGCCGTCCTGGGCTTGATCGTTCTCCAATTTCAACAGCTTCCATGCCCACAGCGGCAATCCGAAACGAGACCCTATCGTCTTCATGATTTGCTCAAACGCGATGAAACTCTGCGGAATCTCCCCAGAGCTTTCCCCTCTCGCATTCTTTATGGGAAGGTTACCCACGCTACCGAAAGGACGACCGCCTAAAGCCACTTGACCGATGATATCCAGCGCTAGGCCGCTGAGGTGTTGATGTAAATTGATCACAATGTGGCGGTCATTGCTTTCCGTGTTGCCGACCGACAAATGTTTTCTCCATGTGCTCAGGAGGTTATCGGTATTCTCAACTGAGACTTTGGCGCCGAGACGAAGGTGAGAGGGAGAAAAGGCGGGTTGGAGCAGTTTCCTGTGTTTTTTCCATAGATCTCCGGACGGAATGAGGAAAAGGCCGTAGCGAAGAACGCCGGTAGCGGCGATTTCGAAGGTATCTGACAGAAGAGCGTTGTGGAAGTTTTGTTAATTATTGTGATTCGCAAAGAAGACAGCGCTCTGAAATGTTTCACGGAATGACCCGTCATGGCAGCTCCCTCCCGCATCGCAAAAAAAGGTTAGGGTCTTACCATCTCGGACAAAAGTGGAGGTTTCCGTCATCACCCTTTTGGCGGTAGCGGGATCCGAAATTATGGGTGTGTATACGCCGAAAGTGTTCAAATTCCACAAGGGCCCCAGATCATCTTGTTGCTTGTTCAAGAACTCGGAGAGAGTCTGGTCCTTGAGGATGTGCAAGGCCTGGAACGTACAACCGACAATCGGAAGAGATCCCTTGGGGGTTGGGAGCGTTGGGTTCCTCTTGGAAGAAAACACGACGTGGTGCAGGAGATATGCGAGGAGGAGAGCGGCAATGGGCACGATCAGCTTGTACTCCGACAGCGGGTCTAGTAAGGACATGGCTTCAGATTCCGTATCGAAGGCGTGTGGAATCTCCGTGAAGTCCGTGGATGGTTTTTGTGGTGGCAAAAAGGTCAGCGGCAAGGGTCTCTGGTTACTGTATGGAGAGTGTCGTCCGCAACTCACAGCACATGGAGGCAGGAGACGGTTGGGGGATGTCGAGGAAGGGAACGTCCGCCCCTTCCGCCGGCCTCCTTCGAGCCTTCGTCCGCGTCCGTGGAGGTCAGGAGGAGCAAACGCGGTATTAAATGCAAGAAGCGCCTTCAGCCCCGCAGTGCTTGAAGGTACTGTACTCAGTGTACTGTACTACAGGGTTAGGGTTAGGGAAGCGGTGATAACGTTTCTAGGTTTGTGGGGAAAGGGGGGAGGCTCCGTCAGCGCTCCGTCGATTCGGCGTCGAAGGGACCGAGGGGAGTATAGACCAGACGTTCGGTCCCGATTAAATCGTGTGCCCCTGCGCACTCGCTCCAATCGTTCTGCCCTTACGCCCTCCGACCTCATACGCCGACCGATGCCAAGTATTGGGTAACAACAGCGAGATGTTCCCTCGCTTGGCCAATTATAGCAGCCTTATATTCTCGCAAATCAATGCCCAACTCGGTGCGCAAGAGTTCCAATGCGTCGACATTGCCAACAGTCGCAGCGATGCCCACAACGCGACTCTGAACTCCCTTCTTTTGCAACAGCCGTCTGCCTGTCCGGTGGGTTGCTACAGCCCGGAACATCTCCGGAGAACAACCCATGGCGTCAGTCATGGTCCTCCAATTAAGAGGGGCGCCTTTGTCTAAGAACTTGACGGCCCATTCGGGGTTTCCTCCATCGCTACTTGCCCGCCGAATAGTAGCTTCCATCAAAGTGCTCGACTTTACGGACGCCTTGCGCTCAAGAAGAAATTCCACAAAGTCCCATGCGCCGGCTCCAACGGCACATTCCAACGGGCTTGCAGGAGGATCGACGGATGCATTTCGTCCGGCCTGACGACGAATGCCGTTGACGTCGGCTCCGTAGTCGAGAAGCAGCTTGAGAACGGTCATATTCTTCCAGTCAATGGCGCTGGGGATAACAGCTGTTAGCACACTCGAATCCTCCTGACTTGCTGGCACCAGAGCCCGTCGCCGCTCGAGGAGTACTTTGAAGACCTCGGTTTTGCCGCAAGCGCCAGCGAGGGCATCTTCATTGATGGCAAATCCTTTTGATACGAGGATATTAACGAATTCCGTCCAATCAGCATCCACTGCGAATAAGCTTCCCTTCGGCCAAGAGAGGGAAGCCTGTCCCAACTGATCCATGGGGCGTGCTGGCGTCCTTTCCCATTGCTGAAGGCAGAATCGAAAGGTACGAAGTTTTGCATGCCTGTAGGCGAAATCAAGGACGTCTTTGATGGTGCAGAGCTTAGCCGACACAAGCCACTCGATCGTACGTTCGTCCACTTCCAGGAATGCAGCGGGAGAAGCATACATCTTCGGGGGTTGCCTCTCTCGACGGGGCACTTCTGTGACAATACGGTCGAGTAAGGGAACGCAATCTGGTCCGCGGCATATGAACTGAGAAAGTTGTATTGTCGCTTTGGCGTTGCGTAGTATGTCGTCAACGATTCGGTGAAGGACTGCGATAGTGAGAGAATGTTTTAGGCCTTCCGGAGAGCTGATCCTGAACTGGCTCACGAGGCCGGCCGCCCAGTTATAGTTCTTGACTCCGTCTGGGCTGGTGGGCTCATAAAGCCGGCGTGCAACATTGTACAAGATTTCGGGTGTTTGGAAAGCACTCAGTGACGAACACGTAAGTGTAAGGTTGACGACGTCTTGCAGTGAGGGGAGGTAGGAGACTACCAAGCGCAGGACTTCGTTGCTGAAGGAGGCCGGGAAGCGAACAGACGAGGTGGCCGCCATGGCGACGACGGCAGAGGGTGGCGGCGAACGCGGGGGAACGGCAAGGGGCAGGTGAAAGCTGAGTGAGAGGGAAAGACGCTGGACGACGCTGTTCCTGCAGTTCTCCTGTTCCTTTCCCGCTTTCCAAGTGCTCCACGAGATAGCTGAGCTGCTAGACGCGTCGGAACGGTTGCGACTTGCGAGTAGGGCTCCGTCCCGGACGCGTCCCATCCCGGGTGTCCCGTGGCCCGGTACCACCCGGGCCGGGTAGCGGGCTGGGATATATAAAGCCCGGCCCGGCCCACGGGCCCCCCTGAACTATAGAGCTGTCAGTTTTGCCCGTCAATTTTTTTCCGCGAATATGGAAAACGAGATATCCACCCAGCAGTCCCGCGATGGCTCCGTGCCTACGTCGCCCAACCCAGAGATCAAGAAAAGCTGGGTGTGGAAGTATTTCTTGCACGATCCCGCCGGCTCCAACACCGTCACTTGTCAAGTTGCAGGTGTATCTGGTCGCGTTTGCGGCGCAAAGTTTGCCTATACTCACAAGCACGGTACCTCCGGTCTTGCCCGTCACTTGACCTCAAAGTATCGCCTTACGAGCAGCGGTACCAGTCAGCCTGGGTCGATCACTGGTTACCTCACCAAACCCCGCCCTCCGTTGTCCCTCACCCGTGACACTCTGAAGTCTGCTATGGTGCAGCTGGTTGCCCGACGAGCCCTGCCATACGCTGTTGTCGAGTATCCCGAGTTCCGCCATCTTTTGATGCTTTGTAATCCAGAGGTAGCGACAATGTGGACTGGTGCTGACGCCATCCATGGAGCCACGTTGAACACGTTTCTTGAAGGTATTATATTCTGGTTCCACGCACAGAGAGACCTGATCTAATGCCATCTGCTCACAGAAAAAGAAAGCCTCAAAGAGTATTTCGACGCGGTTGACTCTAACATCAACCTCACGTGCGACATGTGGACTTCGCCTAACCACAAAGCGATTCTGGGAGTCACGGCTCATTGGATCGACCATCAATGGAAATTGCAAGATCGTGCGCTTGCAACCATTGTTATCGCCGGAGATCACACTGGGCAGAACGAGGCGAAGCATTTGCTGCAGATTCTGGAGGACTACGGGATTACACGCAAAGTTTTCTGTCTTACCGCCGATAACGCCTCATCGAACAATACAATGGCAACCTTCCTCGCCGCCTCTGGCAAACTTGACAACTTTTCGCCTGCGCACAACCTCCTTGGCTGTATTGCTCACATCTTGAACCTTGGGGCGCAAGCGGCCATCAAGGCGCTGGGTGATACGGGTGATGAGCGTGAAGCGACTGAGACTGCCGATTTGATGGATATTGGCAATTTGCTGGGGCCTCGGGACTTTGAGTCTGGAGAGGCTGGCCCCATTGTTGCCCGCATTCGAGGACTTGCACGCAGTTCTGCCAAGTCCACTCAGCGCCGTGCGCGCTTCAGTGCCACTGTGGAGTTTACTCAGCCTCAGGTCACTGCCAAGACGTTGATACAAGATGTTCCGACCCGCTGGAACTCCACAGCGCACATGCTCATCCGTGCGGAAAAGTTGCGTGACTCGATTGACGTATTCACTCGAAGTGAAGCCGGGCTTGCCCAGTATGGACTTGCTCCTCTCGAATGGGAGCTTCTGTCATGGACGACGCGTCCATACCATGCGCTTACCTCATGACAGCATCCCAACAGTCAGTCAATGTCAATTCCCTGTCAAAACCTGACATCTGCCAAACCTCGCAGCCGCACGCAGCCGCGCTACCCCACACCTGCCACTGCCTTCATTTCTCCACGCAGCCGCACATAGCCACACCTCCCAACACTCGGCGCTTACAAACCCTTCTCCATACTTCCCCACGTACCCGCCCACAGCCTCAGCGTAGCCACCCCATCCCCAGTCTTCTGTTTCTATGCTTCCCCACCCTTGGCGCTTCTCTTGGCTTCCCTCTCATTCCGTACCCTTCTGCTTCCCCACGCTTCCCCAGCCTTCCCAGAAAAACATAAATAGCCGCCTCCCCTGAGCTCCCCACTTCCTGATCCCCCAGCAGATCAACACCAGTTCTTCCTAGTCTTGTTCTAGTTCTTGTTTCGGTCTGAATACCATTACCTGTCAACAACCTGCACCACAAGTCGCCTCTATTTCCATCGGCTCCGCCCATTCATAACAGTTTGATCTGCTCAACAACCCCCACCCGCTGTACCTCCACGCCAAATCACCATGTCCGACGCCCTTCCCCTCACGGCCGAAGCCTGGCAAGCCATGTGCAATGCGATTGACGAACTTCGAGCACAGAATCCCACCATACAAGCCGAACTAGCGCAAACCCAGACCACTGCCCCTGCCACCCACGCCCCTGAACCCAAAATCAGTCTCCCAGACAAATTTGATGGCACCCGAAGCATGTTCCGTGGGTTCCTCAACCAGATCCGGCTCATGTTCGCCCTCCAACCCAGGCGCTACCCCAACGATCAGACCAAGATACGAACTATTGGCACCTACCTCACTGGCACCGCCCAGGCCTGGCTGGCGCCCCTTGTCAAACAAGACCATCATTCCCTTACGAACCTGGATGATTTCATCCAGCAAATGCAAGCAGTCTTTGGAGACAGCGACAGGATCCGCACATCCGAAAACAAGCTCCAGAACCTTCGACAAACCCGTGCAGCAACAGAGTATGTAGCTGAATTCCGACAGCTGCAATGCGATGTGTTGTGGAATGACCAGGCATTGATTGCCACCTTCCGTCGCGGCCTCAAAGAAGACGTCAAGGACTTAATGCTCACGATGCCCCCTACCGCCTCAATCGACACCGTGATGGAACAGGCCATCCAATGTGACAACCGATTGTTTGAGCGCCGTCTAGAGCGAAGCAGGAACCGACAGCCATATGTGCCAGTTACCACTAGCCCCACCCTCATGAGCCCCGACAACCGCCCAGACGACCCTATGATCATTGACGCTGCTCGTCCGCGAGGACCCCTCACACCGCTAGAGCGCCAACACCGCATCACAAACAAACTTTGCCTCTACTGTGGTAAACCTGGCCACATAGCCAAACTCTGCCCGAACAAGATACGCACGGCGAATGTCGCGGTTAAGGAACCTGCACCCATCCAGGATTTTGCCCAAGTCCAGCTGCAGTAAAGGCCGAGCAGCTGGGCAACACCTGTCCTGGGCTTTCTCACCACGCAAGTACTGCCAAGGGAGAAGCCACAAAACCTTGCTCCGATCCTGGCATCTCCAGCAACACCCTTCTCCTGACCACCAACAATGCCAATCTCCTATCTGAGATACCCTCACCCATGCGGACTTTGGGCCCATCCTCACCATTCGAGTACCCTGTTACCCTGCAGATATCGGCCCAGCGAGCTCCAGTTCAGCTTTCAGCACTACTCGACACCGGTGCGATGTCGTGCTTCATCGATGAAAGTTATGCCCGCAAGCACCGCATCCCACTTGTCAAGAAGGAGGACCCCATTGCGCTTGAACTAGTTGACGGACGTCCCAGCCATGCGGGCTCCATTACCCATCACACCCAACCTTTGGGCATGTGGGTCAACGACCATTTTGAGGAGGTGGTATTCCATGTGACATGTTCCCCGCATGCGCCAATCATCCTGGGGCTTCCCTGGTTTGAGCTCCATGATGTGGAGCTACACTGGAAGACTCGCACTCTTTGCGTCCGCTGCCATTGCGGTTTTGGACAATACGCCTCCTGGGATGCCCTGCCAACAGAACCTAGCCCGAAGCCCTCAAAAACCCCTGAACCTCTGATCCGTATCCATCAAGACGAGAGTTCAGTCTCCCTAGCCCAGACACCCAACACACTGGACCCAGCACCCACACCGATCCACGTATCGTTTATCAGCGCCCCAGCTTTCCGTGTGGCGGCAAGGCATGACCAGGCATTCATTGCCTACGCCAATCCGACCAGTCAGATTCCCAAGCCTGGCGACCACTCCTCCAAAAGATCCGAAGGCCATCATTCCTGAAGAATACCAAGATTTTGCGGACGTCTTCGCCAAGAAGAACGCGGATACCCTCCCAGAGCACCGACCCTACGACTGTCCCATCGACTTAGAAGAGGGCAAACAGCCACCGTTCGGCCCGATCTATAGTCTCAGCGAGCCTGAAATGCAGGCACTCTGTGACTACCTTGAAGAGAACCTAGCTAAGGGGTTCATCAAGCACTCCAAGTCTCCCGCCGGTGCCCCAGTCCTCTTTGTCAAGAAAAAGGACGGTTCCCTCCGTCTGTGCGTCGACTATCGTGGACTCAACAATATCACCATCAAGAATCGCTATCCCTTGCCCTTGATTAACAGCATCATGGATCGTCTTCGAGGGGCACGCCGGCTCACCAAGATTGACCTCCGGGGAGCCTACAACCTTCTTCGGATCCGGCCAGGGGATGAATGGAAGACAGCGTTCCGATGTCGCTACGGCCTATTCGAGTATAATGTCATGCCGTTTGGGCTCACCAATGCCCCTGGAGTATTCCAACACCTCATGAACGACATATTCCGTGACATTCTCGACGTTTTTGTTGTGGTCTACCTTGACGACATTCTGATCTTCTCAAAAAACCCAGAAGACCACCCCAACCACGTCCGAGAGGTGCTCTCACGACTCCGCCAGCACGGGCTGTATGCGAAACCGGAAAAATGCGACTTCAACCGTGACTCTGTTGAGTTCCTGGGGTTTATCATCTCCCAGCAAGGCATTTCCATGGACCCAAAGAAGACGGCTGCCATTACCGAATGGGAACCCCCGACGAATGTCAAAGGCATCCAGCGCTTCCTTGGTTTTGCCAACTTCTACCGGCGATTCATCAAAGGGTACTCTGCGATCGTTGCACCCCTGACCACGCTCACTTGCAAAGACTTGCCATTCAAATGGACCCACGCGGCACACCTAGCTTTTGAAACCCTCAAGAAAGCCTTCACCTCCGCACCTATCCTGACTCACCCCGACCCTGACAAGCCCTTCATTGTCGAATCCGATGCCTCCGACTTTGCCCTTGGCGCCGTCCTCCTTCAACCCGATGACACAGATCAACTCCACCCCGTGGCCTTTCACTCCCGCAAATTTACTCCTGAGGAAATCAACTATGAGATCTACGACAAGGAACTCCTGGCTATCCAAGACTCATTTGCTCAATGGCGACACCACCTCATTGGTGCCCGCCACAAGGTCATCGTTTACTGTGACCACAAGAACCTCCAGTACTTCATGACTACCCGTACCCTCAACCGCCGCCAATCCCGCTGGTCAATCTTCTTTGCTGATTTCGACTTTGTCATCACATACCGCCCTGGTACCCAGCAACACCAAGCTGAGGCCCTCTCTCGTCGCTCTGAATACGAGCTAAGGGAGGAGGAAGAAGCATTCCGCTCCCAGGAAACCACGATCCTCACCCCTGACCACCTCCGCCTGGCCGCCACTTATCTGACCCCACTGGACTCCTCGCTCCTTGACCAAATCAAAGCTGCCCTGGCATCCGATGTGTTTGCGCAAACCATCCGGCGACAGCTTAGGGCCCCCATTGCCCAGCAATCTCAAGAAGACCAAGAACGGATAAAGCGATTCTCCGAGGAAAATGGGGTTCTGCTGTACGACAACCTTGTCTACGTCCCCACCAACAAGCTCCGTGCTGAGATCTGCCGGGACATGCATGACACGCGTTTGGCAGGACACTACGGCATGTCAAAGACCCTGGAGCTCATCTCACGCAACTACTGGTGGGCTAGCCAGTGGCGTTTTGTCAAGTCCTACATCAGGTCCTGCGACGTATGTGCTCAAGCCAAGACCAGCAGACACAAGCCCTACGGACTCCTCCAACCCCTGCAGGTCCCTGACCGCCCCTG